TTAAGAAATGGTAATCAAACCCGTGAATCTTGGTCTTAATTCTAGCAACATTCTGCACGACCATCTTGACCCTTTTATTTATATTCAATGGGAGAATCAGACGTCTCAACGAAAATTTTTGCTTCATTTTCACTTAATACATTTATGGCAGTACGGGATAGTAGGATAATCAATCTGCATTCGCTGACCAAATATTCACGTTAAGAAGAGTGTTGGAACATCGCTTCAAATATCTGCAATCCACCGTTATGCGGTTATGCGATTTCATCGCGGCTGCCTTCAGTTTGTAGAACAGCGCTTTGGAGAGTGATGGAACGTGGTGTTTCAAGAAAATTATTCGTTCTTCCGGAGGTAGAAACGCATTCTTCTGGAGCCGTCATGAAATGGAGCCGTCGTGAAATCACCATAAAAACAAAGTCCGCGTCTAAATGGCTGTGGTTCTTTCGATCTTGCTATATGGCTGCGAGACATGGCAAATGAGAATGGTGGCTATTAAGAAGTTATCTGCCTTGACCACTTATCTCTAAGGTACATTTTATGGGTCGAGAGGATAAAATCGCATATGATTGTATCCATCTCCGCTCAAATACCACCTGTATTAATAATGTTATCACATAACGTCGCCTTAGCTGGTTAGGGCACGTTTTATGTCGTCCACCACAGGAGTTGATCCATATTTCATTATTTGCTAAACCCTGTGATGGGTGGCATCAAAAGCAAAGTAGGCCAATTGAGACTTGGTATAATGTGTTCAGAAAAGGTTTTGAACGTATAGGTAGACCAACAATATGTGAACTTATAGACGATGGAAAAAGGATTGGCTTCTATTACTAGTGTCAGATGGCATCAAGATCGCGTAGCTTGGAGACGTTTGTGGCCAGTGGAGCCAGCCTAACCAGTAATGGTGGGAGTTTAGAAGAAGGATTGGAGGATTCACTGAGTTTTTTTTCGTATAGATTCGGTTCAGTTTTATTACATGCTAATCTTGAGAGTAAAGGTGATTGACAGGGAAAGGAATGAGATCAATGTTTATGATATTGTTCAAATTTTTAGCACAGACTGGGTGGTCGCGTTTCGACATTTGTTAAAACAGTGCCTCCCAATAAAGTGCCAAATGAAAAGACTTTATTTAAAGCTGTCGAACTTGGTGCTTCGTCTATAAGAGGAACAAGTTAGTTCAGTCCATCCTTTATTTGTTTATTTTGCAAAATTTTTAAAATATAGAATTTCATCCGGTGAATCTTATTAATATATTAAATTTAGTTTTTTTTTTGGAACTTTTTTTAATAAGATCTTGTTAATCTTTTAAATTTATCGTCAATTACTATTTCGCTTTTTTAAAAAATGTTTCGCATTTCGCACTTGTTATTTATTGCAATTCAGCAAAGGTTACAAAATTGCTTTTAGATGCGCTAAAAAATTATTTTTCAGTTGGTAATCCGCTAATGACTTTGGTGAAGCAGTCAGATATAAACGTTGTTGCAATAAATCTTGAAAAATGTCCAATCTTTGATTCGAGTGGACGGCAGGTTTTGAATTTTTTTACTGATTTTTTTAAAAGCGTTTTAACGATCGAATATTGCTAAGAAATTGATAATTTGGTTAAATAATCTTTGAGGGATTTCCATGTTCCATAGACTTTCTGCTCTTATTATTTAGGTTGAACGGCGAAGAGATCATCTTGTCGAACGTGCATTCAATAATATTTTGTTTGCTTCAATGTACTTGGCTCATATACAAGGAATCACTGAGATTGATGGTCGAACTCTGAATTTGGGTGATACAATGAGAATTTTGACTCAGTTATCTTTCGATTTTTCTGAAAATATTTTTCCATAAAGTAAAAGTGAAAAAAAAGTTTCCAAAATAAATTAGTCTAATTATCCTCACCATGATTTTTAGTAATTCTTGATTTAATGTATTTGCTTATAGGCAGATGGAAAGTAAACAACAAGAAAAACGGTTAAAATTTTGGTCTGCATATTATGAAACCATGGAGAAAATCAAAAAGCATCTAGAAGCGGTGAGTAAAATTGGACCATTGTATTTTTTTTCTCCCACTTTTAATAATTTTAATAAAAATGATCGGATTGTACTGGAAGTTGGTAATCCAAAAATTCGAGTTCAAAAAGATTATCGAAAAAATATATTACAAAGATAGGATCCTCGCATCTGTTAAAATGCAAAATAAAGAGGATTGCAAAAGATTGGATTATCTTATGATGTCTTCTCTAGATGGTTATTACAAAGAAAGCTATGGCAGCATATAGTAATTTGTTAAATGAATTACAAGCCAAAGAAAAGCAGGAAGACATTTCTGAGCAAGAAAAAGCTGAAATTGAAATACAAGTGAAATGTCTGTCGAAAGACATAAATGACTGCATAAAGGTATTTTTTTTCGGATTTAGGCGATGAAAAGAAGGTGTGTAGTAAATAGTCTGAGATAATGAGTTTATTTGATCATGCCAAATCTGATTCAATTCCAGTTTTTAAACAAAAACTTGATTTTTCGCTTGTATGGTTTTTACCCAGTACTTTCGTATTCATCAATATTCATTTAATTTAATTTGTTCTAAATTACGCAAATAAACTTTTTATGTAAACAAGCTGTGCGATTTGAGACTGGCAAAATTAAAAATGAAATTATTAATGAAAGGTAGCATCTAAATTTTTCATTATAGCAGTACGATCATTATGATGCTCGTCGTAAAGAATTGAGTAACTTAATTGCAGAACTTCGAAAAAATGAACCAAGGTAAGATTTTAATTAATAAAATCGACTGGTGGATCAGTTTTAGTGCCAGTAATTTTTATAAATTTGCATATCATTTATGGATTTGTTTGGCCATTTTACAAATATTACATTATAGATGCAAGCAGGTTTAAGTATTATTCAGATCTTTCATCCCTTATTGGTTATTTCGAGATGCGATCAAATTTCATATCTTTCCATCTCTTTTTCTAATCTTTCCCGTATTATTTTTTCTTTTTTCTTTTTATATTCTCACAGAATAATTTCCCATTGCGTAATGTGTAAGAATAGTAATACCAGTAATTTTACATGCAAACAAATAGAGATTAATGTTCATAGAAATACTAAAGAACAGATGTTGGTTGATTGCCTTACTGAATTTGGTTCACCATCATAAATTATAATGAAATTATATATTGTAATTTTAATATTATATTTAATATTATATATCACAATTAAAAATTATAATTATAATTATAATGGAAATGATATTGTCCATTAAAGTTTTTAATGGAATATGAAAAAATAGGGAATAAAATCGATTTAAAAAAGGGATAAATTCATGTTTTGACGTATTTTATTCAAAAATCTATGAAATTTATTGCATAATAAATGAATTATTTACCATTAAAGAAGATAAATATAGAGCGAAATTATTTTATGAATTTTGATTTTTGCAATTTGATAATTTTGTTAGACGACGATAATAGTATTTATATAAGATTAGGATATGAAATTGATAATTGATTATTGAAACTGATAACAAATAGAGTCAGAAATTCAAAAAATAAGAGAAAAGAACGAGTTTGGCGTTCTAAAGCCATTATTGGTGCTTAATTCATTGAAATGTTTCGATAATTCGGCTTTAAACATATTTATAGTCTTAGAAACTCTATGTTTGAAATAGTCGACAGTTGAATTTTAAATTTAGGAATATTCTTACTTAGATTTTTTTCGATTTTAGTGAAGTTTATATGAATGATTGTGACAAACGGCTTTTCGATTTTCATATTGCGAATTTGGAATATATATTGGGAACGGCACTGCAAAACTGTTCATTAAAACATTGGAACCATAGTTTTGCATATGAATTGCATGGACCACATCTTTTTGGTTAGTTGGTTTATTTTCAATAGGTTGAATAGGCGCTTATATGAATACTCATTAAATTATTCATGAATTTTTTACTTTTTGATTTTCTAGTTTTATTTTTACTTAGTTCATTGAAGAAAGCCTTATTATTTTATTTCTTAATGGAAATATATATAAATGTTCTTGTTTCTCAAGAAGTGTCTTTGATATAGAAATTTTATTATAATTTCTCTTTGATTTAGTTAATATTAAAGAAAATAGAGTGAGAATCGTGAATGTGATTCAATATTTGTATTTTTTCCTTATTTTTTTTTATCAGAATGGTAATGGAAAGGTGTAAAAATTTTTATTATTCCTGTGCTAAAAATACTACAAATCTGGTGTGCATAAGTTTTCTAACAAATGGATTTGACGGATTTTTCTTAGATTATGCAGATTTTAAATAGATTTTGACAAATTTTCTTTTTGGTAAAATATTTATTCACTGCTTCATTTCAAGCGCCTTTAGAATGAAAAAATTTACTTTTTACAAAAAAAAGTGGCAAGCAATTTTTTTTTAAGAATCACTCGGAAATGGCACACATTAGTATTACATTACGAAAATATAAACAATTGCTTAATTTTTATTGAGAGATTTTTAATTTATGCTTTATGTTTCCAATTTTATCGAAATTTAACGATGGAAATTTCACAAAATATTTCATTGAGATCGAGTTTTTCGTCTGATTCATCATAAGATTGATAAGAGCACCAATTTAACATTATAGAATCATTTTTAAACTCGTTATAATTTCTTCTAATTTAGCAAAGATTTTTTAAAACCGTATTATAAGAAAAAGCGAACAAATTTTAATAAAACTGTCGATAAAAGAAATCATGAAAGCTGAAAGATCTTCAATTCAAAAGAAAAATTGTAAAAATAGATTAAAATTATATAATTTTACCAAAAAACGGTAATTAAGCACTTTTCTTTTGTATAATACAACCCGTTAAAAAATAATACCAGAATAATAAAAAAAGACTAATTGATATAGAAATGTCATTTTAAAAAGAAGAGAATCATTTTATCCTAATTTATAAAAAGAGGAAATTTTGTCTTTTGGTAGAAACAAATGTTATTAATTAATTCGACTAATATTAGTTCATTAGTTCATAGTTAGATAATATTGCTAGGTACAATATTACCGTAACAATCGGAATAGATTTGCGATGAATTATTGCTATGGCCAGGAATAGCGCCACCAGCATCATTGTAAAAGTTAATTTTAAGTGGTAATGATGAATGTAATAAATTCCAAAATAATGGATCATTAATACGAATACAAGTATTTTTACGTAAAATTCGACCTAGTTCATGATCTAATTCATTTCGTTCAATGCCATCGCCTAATAAGGCAATTAATTTTTTTGTTCGGTTCTTAGCGAATAAACAATGCGATGTTTTAATCTGAAGTAACTATTAAAATATAGATTTCAAGATTAAAGTATAGATTATTTATTTTCAAATTTTATATTATTTATATATTTATATTTACATATTATTATATAATTTTATATTGTATTTTTTTAAATTTTTAAATTATTGAAATAATAATATTAAAAATTATTAAAATTTCAATTATTTGAGGTGAAATTTATTTCATTTAGACGATTGGATTGACGAAAAACATACGTAATTATGGTTTTTTGAATCTACAATAAAAGTATAAAGTAAGAAAAATAAACAAACTTGTAAAGTTCCCCATTCGTTTTCAAGAAAATTTTTTGTTAAAACAATAATTAGCGATTGTGAATAATCAATTTGCCTGATTAATTCATCGCAGACCGAATGTAATTTAATGGCACAATCGGTATTGTAATTTGGACAGTCACGATGTAACAGACATAGTAAATAATCTTCCGATTCTAATTGCCTAAATTGATATTTTAAGAAAAAAATCAGGAAAAGTTTGAAATTTTATGAATTAAAAAGATTAAAAGGATTGTTGGAATTAAGGTTCATTGCTTTAAGGATCCACCTGAAGTTAGATTCATTAATGAAGGCAAAAACCGAAAAATGAAGTGATTTTTGATACGAATATTCCTCAATATGGATTAAAAATTTATTTATCCTTAACGCTATCTATCTGAAAGCCTCATAATGATAGAATTTGTGGTGTTGTTACTGGAATATAATTGAATTTGGAGAGGGTTTCAAAAGGGTTGTGGTAAAGAATTTTTTGTAGCATTTAAAGCATTCGACTTATTGCACTTACAAACTATAAAAATTATATTAATTTAATTGTCAACAAAAAAAAACAAACCTGCATATAATATCATTAATAAATTTTTCATCTTTTTTCGAGTAACTTATAAATGCATCGTAATTAATTAATGGTACTGGACTGGATGATGATAATGTTATTGGTGTTGTTGTAGTAACTGTTTTCACAGGAAGTTTATAACGACGACGTTCTTGTTTTGCTTTTAGTACCATTTTGATTCTTTTTACAGTACTTATTGTAAATAATATTATACCAAATATTATTAGTACTGTTATTAATATTAATATTATTAATAATACTGAATTTATTCGACTATCATTACTAAATAAACCAGTTGTGTTCGGTAGACAGATTGTTCTAAATTCAATAATATTAATTGCAGTTTTGATTTAAATGATTTTTTGATTTTTCAAATTTCTTTCTAAACCAGTAAAAAAATTTCATTATTAATAATTAAAGAATTTAAGAATTTAATTAAATTTAATTGAACATTAAAGAATTTAAGCTAAAATGAGAAAAAAAACCAACTTATTAATATTTTCAATGAATTGTAACATGGGCACAGCATAGATTTCGTGACCAATATTCGGTGGATATGCACTTAATATTGTTGTATCGTTTTTAAGAAACGCCTCCGTAATATTTTCAATACAAAAAATATCTTTAACATCAGCGATAACTTTAATATTTTCGATAAGCCATGACTGCATACGAAAACGATTATCACAATCGCAACGATATGGATTTTGTCCTAGTGATAAACCAGCGAAATCAATTTTTTTATCAATTATCTCTGGTATATTCTGTAAATCAAAAGATAGAAAGATTTGACTTGATTTGACTGGGCTTCATAGCAAAAATGAAATTCTTTCAGGCTGCTCTAAATTTAGAAACACGAATATATATTAGCAATCTGGTAATGTAAGAGTAAAAAGAATAAGGCATGCGTTATCTTGCTGGTATCTAATCTAGCAGAAAGATAGATAAGTTGTTATTTTAACAACCATCACTGGTCAGGCTGGCTCCACTGGCTATAAGGGTAGGTGCCTCGAAACATTTTGATACGATATAAGATTAATCAACTAATTACTGCTTATGTAAATAATAAATAATCGTTTAAGTTTTCGCGAAGAGAATTTGAATAATAATTAATAAAAGAATGAAAAAGTATTTACCTTGAATTTATTATCATGTAAAGTAATATATTGTAGTAATGGCATTTCTCTGTTCAATTTTTCGTGAAGAGATGTTAAATGGTTACTATTGAGAAAAAGATGTGTTACTTTATTTGTTCGATACATTTCGTCACCAGTTAATGTTGTCAATTTGTTACCAGAAAGGTCCAAAAGCTAAAATTTCAATGAGGTGGCTTTTCAGATTTTTCAAAAATTTTAAGAAAAAAAATTTTTTTTGAAATTATTTTGTAAAATTGACAAAAAAAACAGAAACAAACCATTAACGAAGGTAATGTATTGAAAGCTAATGGTTGAATTTCTTCAACCGACGAACTATTTATATAAAGTTTTAGTAAGCGAGTTCGACCAAGAAAATCATGGCTACGAATTATTGGTATGTGCATATTTTCTAGGAAGATGTTCGTTGCATACATCGGTAAATCCTGGAAGGAAAAAAATCCAAAATATTTCCAAAATATCTATTAGGGTTGAAGTGTCATGGAGACGTCCCATACTGATCGTTTTTGTGAAAATCTTATTCTTGATATACAAATATTTTTAACGTAGTAATTTTCTGTTTTTTATCTGTAATTCTATAAATATTCCATTAATCTTACTTTCGGTGAAAAATTCGATCGATCCGTATTATTTAACGATAAGCATCGTACAATATTAATTGAGTAATTAGAATTATGGTAACAATTACAGCCACTGGGACATTTTGATTTACAATCACAATTGCCATATTGGCAACAAATACAGCCTGGTTCACAAATCTGCAAGAAAGAATAATTAAAAGTTAATTAAGTCAGATTACGTTGAATGAAATAGATCCGACATAAAAGGTTGATTTTTAATAAAGGATGTAAATGGCCAATAATAAAATAATTGTTTATGATATTTATAACCGTAAATAATTATATTTTCCTTATAATTAGGTGAGTGAATTTTTCTTTTCTAGCTGAAAATATAGGTGTCAAAGGTCAAACGGTTGAAATGAAAAGGTGAAAATCATATACCTGTTTATAATTGCATAGTAAATCATCGTCTTTCACCTTTAATAAAGGTATATTTCGTTTATCTATACGATGTTTGCATGTCGCCAGATGTTTATCCTTTATTCTTAAATTACCTCCTCCTGTTACTGGTAGCAATAATGGTGATGAAGATATTAATGGAACTTGCTAAATGAAAAGAGAAATAGAAATACGATTTAAAAATCAACTTTAAAACTGATTTCAAATTGCGAGCCTTAAATTTAAATTTAAATAATTTTATTTCCATTTTTTCCGGGACAAGAGGGAAATTTTAATAAAATAATATTCAATAAAGCATCACCATATTCTTAATAATTAATATTAAGAGGATAGAGATGATAGATATTTCGTAAATTCAATTATTATTGTAATTAATTAAACGAACCGCATAATTATTGTCGTTCGAAATAAGCCAATTCATTTCACATGAACATATAAGCGGATTACCTTCGATAAAAATTTCTATCGATGTGTCGCCATCGTTATTATTATTATTATTAGTAAATGAATAATAGTTTATTCGATTAAAATTATTGAAACTTATGTCGAGGATTTTCAACGATTTATTCAAAAATGTAGCATTTGGCAGATTGTCGAGAAGATTATGGCTTATGTTTAGGTATTCAGCTGTTGAGGGTATTTGTTCAGAAGTTAACATCATCATACGATTTGAATCTAACTGAAAATTCCCTCGCTGGATTGTGGTAGCATTTTTTAATTTAGTTAGTTTAAGCAATTAAACAGCTAAGTCTGAAACAGAAAAAGTCTACAATTTTTTAGTAAATTTAAGGTTTAAATATTTTTTGTTGTGCGTTATACTTAAATTTTTGGTAAAGTTTTTTGATAGTTGAAGCGCCATTTATGCATTTTTTCATAACAATGCGAATATTAATAAAGAAAAACAAAATAATAAATAAAAATAATAAAAGTATTAGGATGAGACCCCTTGGCCAAAGAATCGTTTAGTGATAGAACTAATGACAAGCATAACACCACCGGCATTGCATCGGCATTTAATGGTAAACGGTAAATCTCCCGTCAAAGAAAAAATCAAACATACGATGTGTTGGTCTTAAACAAGGTATCAAAACCCATCCTGTCTTCTAACTGATATATGTTAAGTAACATTTAAGTAATATTTAACATTAGTTTTTAACTTATAATCATCGGTAGAATTTTCTTGAATATAAAAGAATGTGGTTCAACGTTAATAGGAAAAAAAGAACCTTAACATATTTAATATTCGATTTGAATGCAGAATCAATTCTCGTTATAAGGTTATTGGAGAGTTCAATCGTTCTTAGTGTTGAAGGTAATTGGTTCCATTGTAATAATTCAATAAGATTATTATTTAAAATAATTCTAGTGATTTTCGGTCCAATATTAAGAAATGTATCATTGGTGATATGACTGATAAGATTATTTGAGAGATCAATTTCGATGAGCCTCGGGCATTTGTTGAATGCATCACTTGCAATCGAATTTATTGAATTGTTTGAGAGGATCATTCGTGATAAACGCGGAATATTCGATAATATATAAGATTCCACCTGAAAATTATTTGCAACATAAATATTCGCATAAATCGCATTTGAACATCAGATTTAAAAATTCTAAAAAAATTCTAAAAAATATTCCATCTAAAAAAGTTAATTAAGAAAATAAATTTGTCGTTCACATTCTTTTTTTATTCAGAATCAGCCACTGAAAAAAAATTTTTATTTCATTTTTCAATGGTCATCTTTGAAAAAATTTTTTTCCAAATCAATTTTATTTTTCTTTTATTTTTCAATTTTTTTTTTATTTTTTCCATTTGTTTATTAATTTCTACTCATTTATTTATAATTTCATAAATTTTCAAAAAAATTTATTTTTACAAAAAATAAGGAGAAATTAATATTCTTACCGATGATAGTTTATTAAAACTTAAATCGAGTATTTGTAAATAAGGTAATTTGTTGAATAAAAATTTATGTATTTTGCTGAAAATTTGATAATTTAAAGAAAATTTAAACAAAATTTCAAATAGCTTTTTTTAAATTTTATCTTCGGATTTCTAAAGTCCATTTTAAAAAATTTGGCCATATTTCCATTCTTTTTTATTTTAGAATTAAACAGGTCAGTGAGGTGAATTAATTACTTATTTATAAAGAAGTGAAGAAAATTTTAGAAAACATTTGTTCCAATAAACTAATTATTTCTAATTAGTTTTAATATTAATATTAGTATTACTTTGAATTTATTTTTTTGCATTTATTATATTTCGCCTCTTTTAAATTTGTTAAGAGATTTCGGATTTCTCGAGTGGATTAATTGCGCATAGAATATGTAAGAAGAAGAAATGATTTGCATATAATTTGCATCATTTATTTATTTGCAATAAAATATTTATAAGCGATTTTATTAAAAATATTTGGTAATAATATGACAAAATATAATAATAATATAGTAATAATAACAATATTAATAAATTAATCATTAAACGTACCTTATTTGATTTCGCGATAAATTTAAATATTTTATTTTTACTAAATTTGATAGAAAAAATGGAATCTCAGTTAGTAAATTATTTGATAAATCGAGATGAGAAATGCTAATTGTGTTATCAGTGTCGTCGTTATCACCTTCGTTGATATTTGTTATTGAAAATATTGAATTATTTGATAAATCAAGGATTTTTAGATTTTTTAATTTATAAAAATATTTTCCATCGACATTTGATATTGAATTTGAGCTTAAATCGAGCTGAAAGGAAAATGTTAATTATATAATATATAAAAGCGAGTTCGGCATAAGAGGTATATTATTATGATTTTAAGAGTCATGATTACATTCATGTTCCTGGTAGAAACAAATTCATTTTCAAGAATGTGAAAGCACTGGAGACTCACCAGTCTTTCTCTAATACCAAAATTTTCTCATCCTCATGGCAAACTGAGTAAATTTAACGAGAAATCGTGACTGCTAACCACTACTGCTACTAATATAAAGTGGTTAAGAAATCTGTACAATTGCAAAAGTATTTTTCTAAAGAGTATTTTTGCCTAACAGTAACTGAAATGTTTAATAAGTTTTTCAGATTTCTTTAAATTTTTCAAATCCTTTGGGTATTTTTCTTGCAAAAAATATGGAAATTTCACAATAAAAGTTTGGTTTATAAATGGGGTAATAAGTTAAATAAATAGTTTTGATATACAATTAAGTTATTCACTTAAATTATAGAAATAAATATAGAACAATGAAGGAATGATTAAATTGCGGTTTAGAAGAAAAAGTTCTTTTATGCTTTATTTTTTTGCTTCCCCCCCCCCCCCCCCCCTCCTCTCTCCTCCTAAAATACAGCTATTTCGAGGTGGAAATTCCAGGCCAAAAAATTTTAATCAAAAGAGGTAATAATTTGCAATTTAAGTTTAGCATAAAAGACCCTTTAATTTATTAATTAAATATAAGCTAAATTTCATCATTTTCGTGATTAATAGCGCTAGCAATTTATACGTGGCAAATATTGCTAGCAAGGAATAGTGGTAAAACTTCCATAATAAAGTTATTATAATGAATTAGCTAGTCGACATGTGGCTTTTTGCTTAAATTGTTCCCCAAAAAATAGGGATTGAAACTGAAAGCGAGGATGGTCATCGACTCAAATTTTTGGCATTACCGAAATGGAAAATTAATGAAATGGAAAATTTTTAATATTGGCGCCACTTTAATTTATAAAAAAATCAGGTAAAAATTGTTTATAAATGATTTTTTTTCCCTTCAAATATTTTTTTGGGTTGGTTCACCAGTCAATTTTTTGTCCTCTTTCCTTCTTTAGTTTATTTTTTTTGCTTCTACTATCCCTTTCAAAAAAAATGGTAAAATATCATCCAAAAGAGAAGGAAGGAAAAAAAGGAGAACCGATAGTGGAAATTTAAATTGTCCAATAAATTTAAAAAGAAATGCGCCTCAGGGGATCATTGATGTCAAGTCAAAATTTTTTATTTCATTTATTTTAATTGGCTTTCTTCCCGATAATTACTAATTTTAATTGTAATTCCTAAATAAAAAGTTTAAATCGTTTCATATTATCGAAATCATTCATCTTTCATTAATTTTCGTTTCCTCACAATTTTCCTAATCCTCCACTGAAAAGATGGCTGAACAACCGTTTCGAAGGTGTGCAGATCCTTTGGCTTTTCATTATTCGAGATTCCCAACTTAGCTCTCTGTTATTCTTTTATCTTCTCACGATTACAAAGTGAAATAAAAATATTGAAAGGAAACTAACCGTTTCAAGACGTGAAAAATTGACTAATGTAGTATAATTTAAATTTTTAATATGATTATTTGTAAGTTTCAAATGTATAAGTGTATTTATTGAATTATTTATAATTACTACTGGTATTGTATTAAAATAATTTCCACTTAAATCGAGTATTTCAATATATTTAGCGTGTAATTCAAATGGTGTATTTATATCAATTTTATTCCAACTTATATTTAATGATATTAAATTTATTAAATTTGTTATTGTTGATGGAATTATATTCAAACGATTCACTGATGCATCTAAATGTATCAATTTACCTGCAAAAATAAATAAATTATTATTATATGTTTCCATTTGGCCGTTAGTCCAATGAGAAATTTTTATCACTGGGCAATATCCTGGGCGGTGCAGTTGGATCTTTAGCATGACCAGAATTTTTGATGATAATCCTGCCAAGAATAGAGTAAGACGCTCGAGTCGATAATCTCAGCTTCCTCCCATCAATGAATTGATTTAATTATATAAAAAGATATAAAACTAACTGGGCAAAATGGGCAATTCTTGAATGAGATTATGATCAAGATTTAAATGTTGTAGATATTGGTTATTTTTAAATGAATCACGATGAAAATAGTTGATATTATTCGATGATAAAATTAATTGTCGTATATTTGTCAATGATTTAAAATCGTTAGCCGCGATTGATTTGATTGCATTTAATGATAAATCAATGATAATTAATTGTTCCATTGGACGAATGCAATCGTTCACTCCCAAATTCACCGCTGTTAACCAGTTTGATGATATATTTAAAATCTAAATTATATTTTATCTGAAGTGGCTTTCTAATAATAATGTAAATAATAGTTATAACACTAATAATAATAGTAATAATAAATAATAATGATAATAATAACAGCAATAATAATGATTAATAAGGCTAAGAACCAGTTCTATCAAAGCTATTAATAAATAATTGTATTTTTTCCCCTCTCCCCTTCATATATTTCATATGTATGACATATGTTTCAATGAATATTCAATTACGTTAATTAAAATATTAATAAAGGATCCTTGATAAGAACCGTTCGGTAAGAGAATTTTTTATAAAAAATAAATTGAAAATTGAAAAGAGTAATAGAAAAAAGAAAAACCTGCAAATTAGGCGATCTGCACAATGCTTTTGATGGAATCGCTTGTATTTGTGAATTTACAATGAAAAGTTTTTCTAATTTAAGTAAATTATCAAAGATTCCATCCGAAATTATTAATGAAGAATTTTTAAGGCTTAAATTATATAAAGACAATGAACGAAGATTGTTAAGACCACGAAAAAGATGCCTTGTTAATTGTCGTACACGGCAGTTCTAAAAAAAATTTCACTAGTGTTTTTTATGAGTGGATCCAGTGGATCCCTCTTCTTAAATCCAAGCCCCAATTCAGAAATTTTTATTAAAATTTTGGCTTTTTATAATCTTTCAAATTTTGGTCTTTTTTTGGTTTAAAAAGGGGACATTTTCATAGTGAAAATCGATTATTGAAAAAAATAGAAAAACTGGAAAGTTGTAAAACAGGAATAAATAAATCACTGAAAGCAATTTAAAAAATAAGTAAATGGTGGAAAAGAGTTTGAATTAGAAATTTTACTTAAGAAGGAGAAAACGCTCAGTTTTCCAATATTTAATCTTTTCGCATCGAGTAAACTCTCGCCTTGTTTACTTATGGATTAAATAAGTAAAAAAGTGGAAAAATTTTTATAGTATTATAATATTACATGGAAAATTGCCAACATGTCAAATATTGTCAAATATATAATTGTAAATTTCCATGTCCAAAAATTTATGAATATTAATAGCATTAGAGATTGTCAGATATCAAACATCCATTTAAAACTTGTTTAAAAATTACTGGACTTTTGCCTAAGGCGTCTTCTGGCATAATAAAAAATTTAAAGTAAACCTTAATTTTTAAATTTTGTAAATTGTAAAAATTTTTAAAAATATCATCGTTGAACTGTGATTCTATTCGTCGATTATGATAATCGTTTTCATCGTTGACACATTCGATCATAAGCGATTTAGTAATATTATAAGGAAAATTATAAAATAAATTAATATCAGGCAGTATTCTTGACCATTTACAAGTAATTATTTGACGATTCTCTTCTAATATATCATTTATACACTGACATCTAAAATAGTTAAAATTATAAAGATTGTTTTATAAGTAGTTATATTTAATAAAAGTAGGTAAAAATATGTTAATGTATATCATAAAACTGATAAAAATAATTTAAGAGAAACCTATTCGGGCATTGTCTTAGGTAACAATTTATAAAATTTGTAGTTAATATTAGTAAAAATACACAATTTTTATAATAAAATTGCTTCAGAGACATTTTTTAAACCGCCTTCTTCGCATATCTCTGAAATTTTAAAAATTTTAATTAAAACAAAAATTGCAAATTTGCATCTTTGGCATAATTCGTTAAAGTATGGTTCAATTTGGTTAAAATTTGGTTCAAATCCATCCGAAAAAATTCGTTTTTCCATCATTTTTTAGGATTTTCGATCGATAAAATTTATGTGATTTTTCAAAGCTTAATATTTATACTTTTTAATTAAATCGGCATTGAGAAATGCATTTTTAGAAAAAATTTAATCATATATACATATTTGATAGGTAAGATGGAAATTTCTCATAATTAGCAATTTTCATATAATTGTTAATGATTATCTTTAATTAACCATTTTATATTTTATCAAAAATGGAAAAAGGTTAAAGGTAAAGTGAGGTAGAAGAGGGTAGACATTTGGCGTTCATCAAGATTCACGACTAAGATTTTCCCAAGTAAGGTCAAATTCATAAAACAATTGCCTCATGTGAGAAAATTTTTATAATGACTCTTTCGCGCAAAAATATTCCCAGTCATATATTTTAGCTCGTTAACTCTGTTTTTTTTTAGTAATTTAAAACGAACTAAATAATGTGAACAGTGTGACATTAGTGTTCGTTGTAGTGGCAGTGATATTTTAATAATAAATGATGCTTTGGAAGAAATTCGACATAAACAACAAATATATACGAATGATATTTAAATCATCAGTTCAAGCACTATGGTTTGATTTCTGCAGATCATTGAAGGACAAGAGTTGAGGATCGACTTCTTTTTTCATCTCTGGGTGACCCATAGGTGATGGGATATCGTGATAACCAATGGAATAGGCTTAATCAAAAGTGATATAGGAAATATATATTTATATACAATAGTTGCGATTATTGATAGTATCACCTGCATATAATTGGTGATAAGTAACTGATACTAGTTGTTACAAAACTTTAATACTTAAATTAAATTTGAGCTTCATTTAAGCATGAAATGATATAAATTCGACCTATCATATTAGTGATAATAATATAGAAGCGATAATGATATGGACGATAAAAAAAAAGAATAAATGGTGAAACACGACACAATGGCAATAATAACAAGAGAAATAGCACCAATCTTTCTTCTATGTTTGTCGATAGGGCGGAGTTCGACCAAGAATAAAATACTTAAAGGGTGGAGTTAATACTTATTAATACTAGTAATAAAGCTAAGCGTAGGGTAATTAGTTGGTGCTGTTTGGTGCATTTGGAACAGTATAAGGTACGAACTGGTGAACAATTGAATTTTTTAATGAAACGAAATTGAAATGCAATGTCGAATGCTTAGGAATGCAATAAAATTTGATCATTTCCCGTCAAACATGTTTCCGTTATGTCCTTAATTTTTTTTCGTTGATTTCCAACAAATATTTTCGGCTTTTTCATGGAATTTTTGGAAAAAATAGTTGGGAGAGGCCAAAATAATTGTTCATAGATAAAAAGTAGCCGATAAAATAAAAAAACAGACTAGTAATTTGGAAGGTACTAGAAATCCATTTGCCATTACAGATTCAATTCCTGTCTCTTCATTATCCTAGCAATCTAGCCTATAGATAAACCTAAACCTGAGTTGTGCCAGAGATATGCAATTCGGTGAGCTTTTAAACTGTAGTGAATTTCATCCTAAAAGATAACGAGCTAAGCCACAAAAAGGGCACTTTAGAGGAAAAGTAAGCAAGCTGAAATAAGAAGTAGTAAATTGGTTAATTGGTCGAGAGAGATTTAATCGATAATGATGGATTGGATTGGTTTATAATGATGATGATAAAGGTCAAAAGGTCAATAAATATTCAGTGATTTTAATGGAGATATAGAACAAGGATATTAAGAAATTCTTAAATCCACTATATGAGATAAGCTAAATTTATGTTGAAGTTATCAGTATCATATATAACAGCATCATTCACCATCTCTCACTTTTCCCGTTCCACTGATCATTAGAGTCACTTGAAAATCGAAGTTGAATTGAGTCCCCAGCACCACCTAAATTTCAGTTTTAATGGCTGATTTACTTCCATTAAGAAATAACAACTAGAGTCTTGAAGCTTCGACCATTCTGTCCTTTCGATTGAAATTAGTTGGAGTCAAATTTCCTCTCTAAATTAAGATATTCTAGAGATTTCGCACTTGATATTTTTTAAAAATTGCCAGTAAGTATTTAATTGTAAGGAAGTAGAAAGTAGACTTTATAAAATAAGCAATTATGAATAATGCACGTTTTAAATAAATTTCTTAGGTCGCTTAATTATAAATGGTTATCTGTTTTAATATATATGTTAATTATATTTTTAATATATTTGTGTTATATTGCTATTTGCAGTTGTTATATTTGGCTGTGAAAATTTATGGTTATCACAGCTGTCGGCTATTATGGCTAATTTTTTTGTCACTATTAATTCTAAACATATTCGAAATATCGCTTTATCAGTTATCACTATATATCGAACAGTTATCTTTTTAAAAGTTACTTGGTTCTTACATGGTCGGTGTAATAATCTCTACTGGTTAGGATAAAGATGAGATTATTTGAAGTAATTGAATCTTGGGTTACCACACGGATTTCACTTTTTGCCCTACTATCACATAAATTTGCTATCTGCATATCGTTTAATTTCTTCATCAATATCATTACTGTTCGTTTAATTAGAATAAAATTTGTATGCCTCTTTTTATAAAATTATTCAATTTTACTCTATTCTTGGAATTTTCATTGTCATCTTATATAATATTCTTTGCGTTACTGATTTAATTTTACTAGATTATTGAAATATAACTAAGCTATATATGTTAAAAATCAATTAAATTATTATGCTTCAATAGTCTTACTTTATTTCCATAATAATAAATTTTTTAATTTAAAAATATGGTGAACAAATCGAAATTTAAAAAATTAGAAAATTTACTAGAGAAAACATTGTTATTGCTAATTATTATTATACTATAATTAATGAGAAACCAGGCCAGTGCCGGGTGCACCCCCCCCCCCCGTAGATAGCTATAAAATTACTTATCCTATAGACTGAATTAATCGACTGGAAACAGTGGACACTAAGCACTTTCTTTATTTTTTGCTTATTAAAAAAATCGTAAAATATAATTTTTCAATTAATTTTACCAGGGCGCGTTTTACTTAACGTGACATTTCACTGCTTAAAATTATTAATTATTTAATGTATAAATTTAATGCATAAAGAAAACGGAAAACTTAATATGATAAATTTGATAAATTTTGCAAAGGAAATGATCGATTTAAGAACAATTGACAAAGAATATTAAATGTGAATTGTTGGGCTTACTCTAGAAAAAAATTTCCAACTTCTTGTAAAAGGAGAGATAGCGGGTTGGCTGTTGCTGAGATCGAAATCAAAGGCCTAAAATTTGGACTCTGGCTACGAGATGGTTGAACCTTTCATTATAAATCCGACTGAGGAGCCACCTGTACCTTTCTCACCATAATAGTGGCCAGTGGAGCGAGCCTAATCCCAGTTGTGGCACTAATCGTTTCTTAGTTATTATAACGTTGTTGGCACATATGTTGGTGGCTACACAGTGGGTGGTGTTCCGTCACTGCTGAAACAAGAGAATTCTTTTATGTGATTAAAATAAATGACCTTGATTACAGGAGGAATCTTAAAATGTACAGCGATATTACTTTATGATAGATCTGTAAGGTGCCAAGCGAGGCGATAGAAGGGCGTAGGATTTATAGAATTCCTCGAAGAATAAAAGAGCTTTACAAAAAGAAAAGTGGAAATTCTTGGGAAATATTTTCTCCGAATTGGATTGACTATCGTTATTCAATAAAAATTTATTAAGAGACCACTTGAAAACACTTCAAATGTTATTGTATTTATTGTTCGACTAAGTGTGATAGTTCAATGTTTTCATTCGTAGTTTTAAAAATTTAACATAAAAAAGACGGAAAGCGAGTTGTCGGCCAAACATTAAACGGAGGTCGTAGGTTAAGGAAATGCGATTATTAGAAGTTGAAAATAATCTTAAAAGATTCAATTTATATCAATTAGAAAGTTGTAAGGGAATTTCTTTATTTGACCTCTGACCTTGAAATATCTTAATTTTAATGTGAGAAAACGCAATTTTTCAAAAAAAATTTCGCAAATTTATAAATTTTGAAGCGAAATAAAACACGAAAGAATGAAAAGGGAGTTGGTTAATGGAAGTAATATAGCAACAGCCGTGCCGTCCGTCCATCCGTCCGTTCGTCGTTCATTTTGCCACTAACTGACTAACTACTATTATTCGTACGTAGCTTTCCATTTCGTATTCTTTTCCTCATCCCCCACTTTCCTAAATATTTTAATTATGTAAAACACACATACACATATACGCCATATGTTTCGGATTCATATGGATATAACCACAAATATCGAACTCTTCTGAACTCCTTAAAAATTGTTCAATTATAAAGTAAAAATTGCCCATTTTCATTATCGCCTTATAAATTGAAGTCGTTAACGATATCTGGAAGGTCAAAGGTTAAAGGTCTTCGTCGTCGTTTTGCCGCATTTAGCCTTTAGCAGCGAAGTTAAAGCTATGCGTATTTACGGGAAACGAGGAATGTATTTAAAGAAGGATGGATATCTCTTGACTAATTGAATTATTTTTATTTACTTACGATTTTACTAATTATTAAGATATATTTCTAATACATGCATAAGGGAGAGAGAAGGAAACAGAAATCTAGGAAAACGGCGGATTAAACGCGGCTGCCTCCCGAGGGTTGGCGATAGTTGTACCATTCAGCGAATACAGCCAGTTTAAGGGCAAGCTTGTACTAGGGAAACATATGTTTGTATCTTCTATACCCTTTACAAATATTTTAATATGGAAGATAACTAACGCATTAAATTAAGGCATTTCAATCACCGTATATCAGCTATTTAAATCTTTTTGCTATTCAGACAGTTTTATGTTCCCGAAATCTTAATTTATTATTCTATAAGCCAATAATCTCTTTACAAAATTTTTGTTTATATTTTTAGAGCCTTAAGTAAATAATTTAGCAATAAATTGCAAACAATCAATAACTAAGCCTGTGAATGTTCGTGGATTTAAGTTTAATTTTTGGAAAAGTTAATCTTTGCTTTTACCTGCTGCAACACTTGGGTCATGGGCCAGCGAAAGGAAGGGCTATTTAAAAGGACAGAAAAAGTAAAGAAGAAAAAAAATACTGGCGAAAATTTCTCCGAGATATATAAAGGTCAGCTGTTTCTTTTCTTTCATACTATTCTGAGAAATTATCAATCTGTGGATCGGCTTTTCATACTTATTACGCTTTTGACTATTATAATAATAAATTTAATAATAAAATAGCGGAAATATTTGCAGAAGCATAAATTTTACTGCAAAAAATGGAAAGAATGCCGATAATTAGTAATAAATTTAATAGGATAGGATTTTTTAGAAGGAGAATAAATAATTTTCTCCGTCCCAAAATTATTTATTTTCCCGCTAAAAATCTTCTGATGAATTGTTTTTCACTTGATAAATTTAATTATTTTAAAGCGTCTTTCAATAATAGAATTTTTTGGCAAAATTTCTCATCGTTTAATAAGGAAAAAATGGTTAAATTAAATAATTAAATGATTAAACGCTTTTTTCCTGAATTTTTTTTAAAATTTCAATTTCTTTGAAAAATCATAAAAATAGAAATGAAAATTCTAAGAAATTCTGTAGATAAAAATTAGAATTAAGAAATCTAAACTTTTTGAAAAATTTTAATTATAAAAATTTTATGAAATTCCAAAAAAAATTAAGTTTTTTGGAAAATTTTAAAAGTTAAGTCGCTTTTTTCCTGATTTTATATATTATATATAAAGTTGAATAATCTAAAAATGAAGTTAATCATTCTGGTAAAATTTTAGATAATTTAGATATTTAAAAAAAATTTGTGATAGGAGGGATTTCATTTGATTTCATTCGTTTCTACATAATTTTTAACGGGTTTTATCCTCTTACTCTGTGCAATTTGTGATTATCTTCTAGCTTGAGGATTTTGTCGTGGACGATTGTTATTTAAGACATTATTATTGTTCTCTTTGTTGTTTCCAAGCGGAGAAGGGAGAAATAAGCGGAGAAGTTTAGAGATTTAAGGAAATAAGACTTTAAGTTTAATGAAAAAAAAGTGAGTCTTCTTGTGCTTAAAAAAGGTTAAACAAAGGAATACAAATAACCATTTAGTTGTTGTGTAATACCATTATTTATCCATTCCGATAACAGCAGTTCGTTGTTACTAACATTTGCTAAAATGGAGTGATAAAATACACATGGTTTTGTTAATCAGATGATATATTATATATAATGGTAGATCGAAAAAGGATTTGCCACACGAGATTCTAGATGCAAACTGTAAAGACCCGGGAAGAGTCCAACACATAGAGGCAGGATATAAAACGACATACACTAAAGGGCATAACCAAGTAGCTGGCATCATCTACAGGAACATCTGCTCAGTATATGATTCCTTCCCAAGAGATTCCTCAAAAAATCGTAGAGAATAATTGGGCGAAGACCCTCGTAATGGGATCTCCCCATTCAAACATACAAACAAGTGTTGGCCAATCAACCAGATATCGTGGTGATATGCAAGAATAAAAATGAGCGCCAGTGATTGATATAGAAATACCAAGCGACAGAAAAAAGGAATATGAAAAGTTAGAAAAATATCAGGAGCGAAAGAGGAATTAGAGAAAATATGGGAAGTTAAAGCCAAAGTAATTGCAGTGATAATTGGAGCATTTGGAACTATGACTGCTAAACTAGAAAAGTGGCTTCAGCAGATTTCTTGAACAATATCAGAGGTCTTTGTCCAGAAGAGCGCATTGGTAGGAAGAGCTAAGGTAATGCAGAGTCCTAAATCTCTGAGGGCTTTGGTAGAGGGTGAGGATGACCTGCGAAAAGGGATGAGAAAGAGATTTTTGTTATATTTTTGATTTACTTAGAAAAATATGTTTATTAGTTATTAATATTAATATAACTCAAAAGTATTTGATTTTACTCTCTCTCAAAAATAAATTAGACTTGTTATGCGAGTATCATGGTTCATATCCTTCATCTTGATGAGAGGGAGTAATGTCGAATACTTAAAATTTAAAATATTAGAATTTAAAGAAACAACCATTTAAACGAACATCATCAGTTTAATTATTGCTACAAACTATAGTTTATTGTTTATTATTTATATAAGCAAAGGTCAGCTGAAAAGTCAGTCTTCGATATTTTATTCGGTTTGTTTTTCATGAAATGCGGCAAAAATTGTCACCTACGAACAGAGGCAGTAATTCCAAAGAAATAGTTTTAATTTTAAATATATCTCATAGATTTACAATTATTATTAATTCATTAAAAACAGAAGTAAAATTTAATTATGTCGGGAAAAATAGTGCAAAATGCAATTTTATTTATTATAATGGGAAAAATTTATTTCAGTTATTAAAATGTTACTGAAATGAATAATATTATCTAATTAATAAAAACAGCAATTAAATAAAGTATATTGGCCTTGATCTAAATAATATTTAATATTTATTATAATTGTTCAACAATAATAATAAGGAAAAATGACCTTGAAAGGTCAATTTTTGCATTATTATTGTGTGTTAACTGGCCAAGAATTTTATTTCATACAATCGCGCTTATTTATGATTTATTATTTTTACATTTCTTGTTATTTAGCCATAAAACTAAATTGATAGTAGGCGATGAGTTTTGGTAACGTTGAAATTTACTACTCTATCAGTTAGTTTATATAGTATTAATATAAAGATTTTCTTAAATAACTGAAGCAAAGTAAATAAAAAAATCCATAGGGAATATTAAAATGCAAATAATGAAAGATCATTGTTGTGATAAACGGCAATGATGACGACGGCGACGACGATGGTGATGAGAAATAATACGAAACTGGAAGATATCTAATATAAATGAACTGGACGGGAATGGAATGGGATGGCATGAATGGGTGAATGAATAGATGAACGACCGACCGATGTTCAAATGAGCACTTGTGTGCATTTATAAAATTCACCAATTAATTTTTATTAATTAGTTTATTTATTGATATATTCACTGAAAGTATAAAATTTAAGCCAAACATTTTAACAGAGCGTTTTGATTGTCATATTGTAGCCACATGCAGCCAAGTGGCTCTTACGATTTCTACGTTGTTAGCCAGCGGAAGCAACCAAACCAGCAATCGCAAAAAAGAAAAATGCCTGTTATTTGTAGATGAAAAGGAACTGTTAGTTGCTATATGCATATATGCATTATCATTAAACTCAGCCAGTTTCTGGTTTCTGGTAGAAGCAAATGAAAAATCCGATGCCCATCTGTCCTTTCCTCATATGATTCTTCGGAAAATTCTCTTACTACTGACTAATGGAATGAATTTCTATGTTAATCGTTTATTTATTCGCTTACTTTAAGCATGGAATGATGTAAATAATTTTTGAATCGAATATTAAATAAGGATAAGCACGATTTGATAGTAGTGGTAGATTAAAAGCAATTTATACAAAATGAAGTTTATTTTGAAGGACAGAATTTTACGAAATGATTTGAATATATTGTTAGTTCTTGATTCAAGGTTACATTCAATTTTATTATTTTTTCACTCGTTTCTTCATATATTAGTGAAATTTGATAAAATATAATTGGCGTAGAAGCCCATTTGCTTCAAGTGCTTTTCCAGCGAAGGTCTTTTTCTACAGCTATTGCAGCCAGCCAGACTAGAAATGCGCTAGAATTGTCCAACTATGCACGAGAGTACTAGTTGGGATGATGCAATCGTATTAAATCCAGTCTCAAAGATCGTTGAGACTGGATTTAATACGATTGCATAATATGATCATGACTGTAGATTGGTTACAGTAATTATTACAAAAAAATATAAAGTCGGTTAAAATAAAGCAATATATTGAATAATGAAAATATATTAGATGCTTTTATATGCATTTTGTAGAAGGGAATAACAGTAAGAAACAGTGCGAGTAATGAGTAGCCTTGATAAATTTTGGGATTTATTGCAACAGTGGACGACGAGGCAAGAATTTTTGGATGAACAGGTCACTCATTTTTGAGATAAATTTTGAGTTGATTGAGTGGAATCGAGGTCAGCTCGAAATCCAAATCTATCCAACAAGTGGAGAAGTGGTATTATTGATCGCAGTGAGAGCATAAAATTTGATTGAGATATAGAACACCTGTCATCCATAAATATATGAAAGATGCTAGAATTTTAAGATGATACTCGGCCGAGCTTTTATTATTGCCGTTATTATAAAATAAACGCAAATATATAAGCTTTTAGCTCAAATTATATTGAAAGGGTTTTTCTAACAAAATTAATGAAAAATTAGTTGCCTGAAAAATTATAAACATCAGTCGAGGCCAAAACCAGATTCGATATTTTCCGATTAAAACACTTTCATTTATTGGAAATGAGGTGCAGAAATTAGAGTGACTCGAGCTTATGCAGATACTACTGAAAAATGGAGCACTAAAGTTGTTTGAAACTTTAAGTTTGTTGATTATTGATTCTCATTCGAAAAATCTACTGGAAATAAAACCTTCCAAAATAAGGATCACTTCTCTCTGCTGTTTCTTTCTAATGCAATTAAAATATAGGGAGCAAGAATATGACCAAGGTTGAGTGCCTACTGCTTAGGTTATGTCTAAATTACCAAGGTTCCTGCATCTAACCTAACTAAATTTGTTATTAAAAGATCTGCGAGGTGCTAGGAGAGGACCTACCTATATCTCATTTATTTCTTAGCGTTTTACTGGTGAAGTGGTTTATCTGATAGCTAGTAGACCGCATCAAATTGGAAATAAAGAATGCTCCGGAAAAAAATTACAATACATGAGAGCAGCTTGCTTGTTGCTTGTAACACAAGGGGTGGCAAAGAAAAGAGTAAAATACTTAAAAGTGCAAAATCGAACAAGAAATAATATAAATAATATAAAATTAAATTGTATTAAATTAAATTAAATTAAATTAAATTTTAAAATGATTAGGGACATTAATGAAAAATTGCTTAGGTTGAAGAGAAAGCATTTTAATTTTCCGAATGAGATTTGCCGGAGTCTCTAGCTTTTTCTTTTTGAATTGCAAAAATCTATTATTTCGTATTTACTTCCACCTTATAACTTGAATCTCAGTTAATGCGCCTATGATTCATTACTTTTTGGTGACCCACAATTTTTGTAACTCACCATTCATTCGTAATTTTTGCATTTTTAGGATCTTTAAAATATTTACAATATATGGGATTAAATTATAGTTTCGACATTTTTTACCTCATTTTAATTCCAGTTTTCAGATGATCTTTAATTAATTATAATTATCATCTTTAAGTTCCTGATGGATTATCAAATCTAATCGGCACATTATCAGCAGGAACCGAAGTTTTACGTAATTCCGTCGTAGAAAAAGTGGAATATGGTACTCAAGGTGCATCACTATATCACTACGTATTTTTTAAATGATTTGGGAAACTGATTACAAAGACCATGTTTTGTACGAGTAACTGTTGTAAATAGTTGACACCATGTTATATTTTCTGGGGGATAGAAATTTTATTAATCATTCATTTTTAAGCTAGTGGAAGTAGATTGGCCGAATACTGTCGAATCTTAACTGACAAAGATAAAAGCATCTTGGGTTTGGTGTTTGACACTGGTAAACCTGTCCTTAAAAAAAATCAGAATGTGCTTCAGTCAAACCAGCTTAACCAGAAATGTCAGATGAAGAAAAAGAAATCAAAATTCTCCACTGTTTCATTAATTATTTATTAAGGTGTTAAAGTAGATTATCGTCATAACGATGAAATCCAAAGCATTTTTGGTGATATGTGTATATGTACACTACCGCTTGGTGTACTTAAAGATTCAATTAAAAATATCAGTGGCTCTCCGCATTTTGAACCAGCATTACCGGTTAACAAACGAAAAGCTATTGAACAGCTTGGCTTCGGTACTATTAATAAGGTGATTGGCTTATGGTTTAATGAGAAGCAAATGGTTCATTTAGTTTTTGGCATGATTGCCAACTCGATTTTCGTCATTCTTCTCAAATATGTTCTCATTTCCCAAATTTAATAAGCCAAATTTTCTAGGTAATTCTGTTCTTCGATAGATCCTTCTGGGATCATCAACCAGTTTTCGGCAACATTGGTGAATCCGGGTAAATCTTTTGATGGTATATTTATGCTAGCGAGGATAGAATTTTTTTGACCATTTTAAAAATTTGAATTCAAAATATATTTTAACTGAAAAAATAATAGGTTGGTAGTTTCTTATATATTTTGAAAAAAATTATTTTCCAGAAAATGAAATATATTTTCATTATCAATTCATCAGGCAGGAAGGAGGGAAGGAGGAGTTCGAGCAGTACTACTTTGGCTAAGATCAAGCATCATGAGTTCATCTCCTACCTTTGAAATATATCACTGGAAGCAAATTCCATGTGGTTCTGGGAACCCGTCTTTAATTCTGTCCATATCCATATAAGATTTTTGGTAAAAATTTTTTGTTAGAAAAGAGTGTTGAAGAAAAATTTGGCCAAATATTACTATATATTTAGATGGTCAAGAGGAGAATTATATATGTTCCAAGCAGTACCCGATAGATCTATCTTGGTCGGTTTATTATCCGGTGAAGCAGCCAATCTGAGTGAAGATTATGAAAAGAGAACAATAGTAATTCGAGCAATGAACATACTTATCGCTGTTTTTGGTCCTTCTTGTCCTCAAAAGGTTGTTTATTGTTCCATAATATTGATAGAAAAATACGACTAATGGTTCCTGTAGAAAACAAGTCAAAAATAACTGAAATATTTTTGGACCAGCAATAGCTAACAACAACGGAAAGCAAATAGGAAAGAAAATGGAATGAAGTTCTATTGAAATTGATTAATTTATCAAATTCTTTGGAAATATGTATCTTTTATCCATTTAAATTTATCGACATTTCATTCATTCAAAGAGCAACTGATTAAAATAATTTGATAAAATGAGTTTATTAGAAATCATAAGTAATAGGATTTGTCTTAACTCACAACGATAGTCATCTCAGATAATTTGATAAAATGAATTTATTAGAAATCATAAGTAATAGGATTTGTCTTAACTCACAACGATAGTCATCTCAGTTTTTGAGTGGTATTAATGTTTTCGTGCAAAAATGCTTCTTTAAATTGCTAATTTTTTATGGGGCTTTAATTTTAACAAATTCGTAAATTTCGTAAATTTTATGAAAGATTTTTATTGAGTATAAATGAGTAACCATAAATGAGTAGATATCAAGTCGTTGTTAGCGGAATAATTTTGCATAATAAATGGAACAGTGAACTTTGAAAATTGTGCGAATTGTCTGTAATTTTAATGGACCTATAATTGTAGTAATAGATATATTGTAATAATAGAATAGCGATTTATATTTTAATACTTTATTTTAAATATTTATGGTAAATGTGCAATAGAAAGGATTTTAAAAGCCTTACAAAAAGTTTAAAAAGGAAAAGAAAGATTTCTGAATTCCGAAACACCCGTTGAAAATTTATCGTTTCTTCGGGAATTTCGTTCGGGAATATCGTTTTTTATCCTCACATCAGAAAATATTATTACTGGCAGTTTTGTTTTATAAGGAAGATTTTTAGCCCATCGATGCGGTGGTGACAAATTGGCGTACTGATCCGTTTGCTCGTGGTGCTGTAAGTTACGTGCCTACGGAGGCTACAGGTAACAAATGCAGTTATTCTTATATTCTTCATTTTGGAAAAGTTACATCAGGGACAAAAGATAGAAAAACTGCGTTGAGAATAGAATTTTTGAATATTTTTTTGTTGCAAATTTGATAAATTACAGGAGATTTGTATGATAAATTAGCAGAACCTGTATTAGTTGAAAATGAACAGCCTCGGATATTATTTGCTGGCGAACATACTATTCGCAATTATCCTGCTTCCGTAAATTTTTTCCTTTTAATACTATTTTTTTATTTTTCTTTTCTTAATTTTTATAATTTTTATAGTTTAATTTTTATCTATTTGTTTGTGTAAGAATGCAAGAAATTTCCTGTCTTCCGGTCGTGATAAGAATCCATTGTTGTAATTTTCTTTTCGAAATTCCTCACTTCAATTTTTTTCAAAAAAGGATTCTGAAGGGAAATTTTCGGAAAAGGGAAATTTATTGGTATGAAATAAGTTATTTCGCTAAATCTCGAAATTTTAAATTTAAACTTAAAATTTAAATTGAAATTTAAATTTTCAGTACCAAACTTTTTTTCAGTTACATGGAGCATTTTTATCGGGTGTACGCGAAGCTGCTCGTGTTGCTGATTATTTTAGTGGATCTCCTTTCACCCTAACTTCATAATTCATCATTCACCGTGGCCAAATTATTTTTTAGTCCAATTTTTATTGATTGGATAGTAGCGTTTGCTTCTTTGGATTTACATTTTTTAATGATAAATTTTTTCCATAGCAAAATATGCGATGGTTTTTTCTTTCACAATTTTTGTGTTTTTTAAAATTTAACTGCGAAATTATCTTCTATTTTATAAAAGATATATATCTGTAGTATTTTAAACACAGCATAAGCAGGGGATATCTTCCACATCAGCCAGAACTCAAATGCAGAATATGCAAAAACGCTTCAGATACTGTCCAATATATAGTGATAGGATATAAGATATAAGCAGGAACAGCATGCATTGAAAGACGCAACCAAATAGCTGGCACTCTAAAATTCGCTTAATATATGGCTTGGATCCAGATGAGAGATCCTCCAAGAAATCGTGGAGATAAATTAATAAGGCCAAGATGATTCTGTGATTTCTCTATCCAGACAGATAAACAAGTATTGGCTAATTAGCCAGATGCCAATCGTGGTGGTAGAAAAGAATCAAAATTCAGCACCGGTAATAGATATAACAATACCAAGTGACATTAGGAAGAAATATAAGAAGCTAGAGAAATACCTAAGGTTGAAACAGAAACTAAGACGTAGAAAATGCCGAAGTAGTCGCAGTAGAAATAGGAACTGTGACCTCTAAATTAGTGTGAAGTGTGATCTAAAAAAATCATAAATAAAAACTAAATTACCCCTAAATTAAAAAAATGCCTCCAACGAATTCCAGGAAAAACATCAGGATTTAGAAGAACGTAGGAATGGCTAAGATGCATGTGAGCAAGAGACTTGTTTAAAATATGCAATCTTAATGAGAAACTCGCTTCATTTTTCCTCGTTTTAATATCCTTTATAACAAAACTCGTAAGCATTAATTTTAAAATGTTTTTTTTACATTACACTGCAAATTTGCAATGAAAATCGTATATAATCAGCATGTATTGTGATAAATAAAGGTATAAAAGTAGCAGATGCCATTTGCCATTTCACTTCCCGTGCCAAACTTTTCTTGTTAGATGCTTCTTAGAAGGCTTTTGTCTTTCAGGCTGTGTCGTTCGATCTATTCCATTCTATTGTATGGGTTCGAGTTACTCAGTTTTTTTAATAATTTTTATACAATAACCAACTAAAAGAGTCACAAATAAATATCTAAATATAATTAAAAATTCACAAATTATATAATAAATAATTCTAATAAAACTGCATTTAACTAAGGATGCAATTAATCTGTCATTTATAACGCGGCGAATTTCTTACAGGTAGATATTGTAGATGTCCAGTAAATCGATTTATGACCATCGACGAAGACATTGGCCATCCAAGGATATTTTTGCTGGAAAAGGTAGCCGCAAGAGAACTTCATCCACTGATTTAGAAACGATTAAATGATTATAACATTACTGTTTATATTGCCAAGAACCACTGAATAATTTGATATAACAGTTAATAGAAAAATCCATCCATTTTTTTCGTATAAAATAATGATCAAATGTACAATAAAGGAAATTCTAAAAATCTTCGTGAATGCAATAATCGAAGAATAGAAAAAAAAATTAGCAAATCAATCACCGTATCGTATATGCCGCATAAGAATAAGAAAAATAAATTATAACTTCAAAAATAAAATAAGCATCGAAATATAAAACTACCGTTAAAATGAGCATTTCTTATAGGGTTAAATGAAAAAAACTTTCACTATAAAAATATTTTCCAATTTTTTATCCCATTAAATAAGATACCTATCTCCACTGAAAATTATCATCATCGTACTCATCGAAGCCTTGCTGATCCTGCTGCATAATGTGCGATTGCTGCTGTGATGATGGTGGTATGCGTTGCATGTTTTGTAGAGGCAGAGATCCGCTCGGATGACTAACCATATTTTGTATTGGAACCGATTCATCGTACTGCATCTTAAATCAAAATTGAACCGATTTAGTCGATCGTATTAAAAATTCTAATGCCACAAAAAATAACGAGCATTCTTATAAATCCCTTTAATAAAAACTCTACTTGTCCAACCCCAGGCGATGGCAAATGTTGCCTCATAGTCCTAACTTGATTTGCTAACATTGTATTAGCTGATGTGACCAGCGGTGCGGCTGAATTATCCATAGGTATTTGATTCATTGCCTTCATTCCTTAAAATCGTAAAAAAATTACAAATTACAGCTTCGATTTATACCTACATTTATGGAAAATTTTCAATAAAGTAAGGTCCAATTCAGTTTTTCAGTTCATCAGATTCATCATCATGAAATAAGATTAAGAATATCAAAAGCTGGCTAACCATGCATCATTTGTGCTGGTGTGAATATAGTTGTTGGCCCGCGGTTTTCCATCGGATTTCTCTTAATTCTTGGTGGCGATTTAACTGGCGGGTGAGTCGCTCTCCAATATGATTCTAAATAATCAGCTAGATGTTCACAAGCATCCTCCAATTGATTTTCATCCAGTAATACATCAAACATTTCCTAAAATTATAAAAGAATTCTATCGAATTTTCTTTCACAAAATGTATACAAAAAAATTTGACAGTCCATCTGCTTTTCTCAGAACCAGTTTGAATTCTTTTTTTATCCAAATTTAGGAATGACAAAATAAATTGTGGTAATGAAATTACAGAAGGGCATTGAGCTAATTTTTCTGCAGCAACCATTTGAACATTCATATTTCGAGTCTGGGATTTATTCCGAGACTTTATTAGCCTTTGCAAAACCTGAAAAAACGATAGATTTCAATGGATTTGAACAATGGATTTTTCCCGGCCGAAATTCCAATTATATCATTTCTGAAGTTGAACTTACTTTGGGCGAACTTATTTTAATATAAACATGGATAGGTGCAAGTGAAGTTTTAGTTAATTGCGATGGATGATTAATAGTATCACAATCGAGTACCACTAATTGCATTGAACGAGCCAATTCAAAGATTCGTTCTATTTCAGCTTGTATTTCGACTGAAAATATACCAACGTCAAATCACCGAAAAACTATTTGGACTATTTTACAGAGCATCGTCCTCTTATCATTATCCTTATTAAATCGTTCATATAATATTCTTAAATTTTCATTTCTTAAAATTGCATAAACTAATTTATAACCAAATGAATCAAAAGAGAAGTCTGTCTTACTATCAACACATATCTATGGAAATATTTTTAATGGAAAAAAGATTTTATACACCAATGAAAAGTAAGATTTCACTTGCTGCTATATGCAGGTCCTTAGCACCGTCCGGATTTCCAGGGATCGAACCTGTGATGTTCCGCCTTAGTCAAAAAATATAACACTTGCTTTAATTATAAACAAATAAATAGTAAACCAGTTCCACTTCTTATTCTGTGCGAAAAGCAAAGATAAAAAGAGCACCTAAACTGTTGCTCGATCTTGAGTTCGCTCGCTCCATAGTCGCACGTTTTGATGGATTGTTTAACAATGTTCGCTTGGCTAACGATATATCTGCTGTCACTCGAGTAATTATTATTCTAAATATCATAAAAATACGAATCAAATATCATAAAATAATAAACGAAAAAAATAAAAATTTCTCACAAAGTCGAAATAAAGAAACCTATAAAGAATAATTTTTTACTGATTATTCGATAAATAACGAAACAAATCTCTAAAAAAATTTAAAATTTAAAAAAAATATAAAGTTGTGAAGTGAATACAATGTGAAATTGAAGTGAATAGGTAAAATCGAAAAAGCGATAAAAAAGAGAAAAGGTTTATGAGAGATTTGCTGAAGAAAATTATAGAATTAAAGAGAAGGAAATCAAATAAATGATTTTAAAAATAGTAAGTAAAAAATTTTCTTAAAATTTTAAAATTTAAAATTTTTTAAAATTGGATAAAAGAGCGAATTATATTGCAAAAAATCAAGACCAATATTAGCGAAATTGAGCGACTTGAAAAGGTTTTTAGACCTAAGAAAAAAAACGACAATTTACATTTAATTTATATTAAAAGATATTAAAAGTAATTACAATTATATCATTTCCAACTTAATGCGATTAATCCAAAAGCTTTGCTTAAGTCGAAGACGACATATCAATATACGACACATACGACGAAGAAAACTCAAGCGAGATACTTCACAAATACTACGATGGGGTCGAAGTCGGCTCATAATCAGCAACGAAGCCGATATCGCCATGATATCTTCATCCGGAGCGAACTGAGCTCAAATTAAGCTGAGTTGCCGGAACTCGACGAAGTTAACAAAATTCATATTACGATTTATTAACATGATTAACAGCCCAAATTGAATCTTATAGGAACATAGAAATGCGATACCTTCCTTCAAATCGATGCTTAAGATAATCAAAAACAGCTTTTTGCATCATATCAGTGACATCATATCCTTTAAGTGATGGACCAACGATTACCACAGGTCTCATAGAAGGCACTACAGCATAAGGTGGCACATTTTCTTGCTGAAAAAATAAATTAGGCACAAAAAATGAAAGCCATAAAGAGATATAAGTAGCGCAAAAATGAAAAAAAGGGAAATTGCATAATAGGAAAAATGAGAGCCGATCACATTAAATCATAGGTTCAAGGCAAGAATTTATGAAATTTTAAAATCCCGAAACCTTTTTAAACATTAATTTTTTCTTTTCCTTCGATGGTGGAGGCGTTGTAACCATATCAGCAACCTTTTTTCCGTGACCATATTCTTCATCATCAAGCTCACCACCTAAAAATTCATTAAATAGGTGCCATAGCAGTAATAATTTGCGACACATTTGCACTGCGACAAAAACTATAAATTCGAAAATCAGATAATGGTGAATCTGAACTTGGAGTTGGCGGTGTTGAACCTCTTGAGCCACTTCGTCGGATCATATCATCAAGAGTACCTAAATTACTGCCACTGGACGACTGTTTACTGAAATTCTACAATTTATTAATCACTCAGTCAATATCAGTTAATTACGAAAAGTACATTTCGTATCTTTCTGTTAAATAAGAAGAAACATTTAGCCGCTTCTACTACTTCGAGATTAAACATCATTCAAAAACGAATGCAAGGACGAATGTGTTCTTTTTTATGCCAAATAAATGAAAACGACCCATGTACAAAATATTCGCTTGAATAAAAGGAACAAATAAATTAATAAATTAACATTACAATTTGGATCCTTTGGCACTTTGCTGCCGAATACTTTCTAATTTAACAGGTGAAGGTATAAATCCGAGGTCGTGTCCTTCTTTAACAAGACGCCCTATCCACCAGTCATTATTGAACTTCTAAAATACTTTCATTCTCATCGCCAAATATCTAGCAAAAATAAAAGTTAAAAGAGGACATGACGAATATGCACTTAAGAATGTGGCAACCTGAATTAGGATAAGAGTGCTTATAAACATCGCAGAAGCGGGTGATGCGGGAGAATACCCGTCTGCACTTCCGTCCCCAAGTGACTCTTTGACGAAATTATTTCGAGGCTTAGCCAAAGATTTGGCTTGGGCCAAGCCTTAGGATTAGACCAATACTCAGTCCCACGCATAGGCAAAGCCCTACGCTAAGTCTGAGGTGAAAATTTCATATCGTTGTAACTAGCCAAACGTTTGAAATTATTAAAAAAACAAATAGTGTGGAAAGATCCACCGTTTAGGAGCACTCGGAGACAGATAAGATTATAATTCTAAGCGAATCTGTTAATGATGTGGAACTAACAAGAGCCACAACTTTGTTAACCGATGTGAACTAACCTCTTTAATATGAAGGAAATCCTTAACTTTAAACGAAACCGCACATCCGTGAACTGGAGAATCATCATCTATTGAACCGTCATAATCAACATTTGTACATACAGCGAATGCAACTGGTTTATACTGAATTTAATTGTATTTTTTATTTTCACTGTAAGTTAGCTTAGCATTATTGCTTAAAAAATGAAGAAAGGAAAATAAAAAGGGCAATATATAGGGATATAGGAATTAAATAAGCGAATCTGTTAATGATGTGGAACTAACAAGTAGGAACTGAAAGAAAGACAGATCGCCAGCACAGCCATCCGAAAATTCTCTGTCAAATTCTCTGCGGCAAAATATGGCTGACAAATCCACAAAAATTTCAGCAAAAATTCTAATCCGATTGATTTTACCGTTATTTTTACTTGAATTGTCACAATTTTTGAAAAGTCGGTCTTTTTTGAACTGATGATTACGCAAAATCCTTTTGAAGGCATTTCACATTAAAGGATAATAGATATTGAAATGAATATTTGAATAATACCGAGCATCGAATAACACATCTCACATTATTCTTTTAATAGGTGCTTATATCAAATTACGTGCATACTACTGTGATGAAAACAAAAGAACTCTCCCGCTGTGACCTAATTATAGATCTTCAAAAAGGCATTAATAAATCTCTCAAGTACCATAGTCGAATCTCGACCACTTTTTTCACGAACCCCCTTGGTGAAATTATTATGCAGTTTTCTGAAAATAATTTCTCAGCTAATAGGGAACTAAGCAATCTTTCTGGGCAGTGAAAATTAAGGCCACAAAACCGTTTGATGCTAGGGATCAAACTGCACTTCCGACCATAAATGATTAGAATGATCTGTAACGAAAGGGTTTCACCCTAGCAGCTGGAGGAACTAGAAAATGGCGGGTTCTATTTAAAAAGAATGGCAAAATTTAATTTCCTCTACAAAAAAATATCCTCTACCTTAGCTCGTTCAAGTTGTAAAGCAGCAGATCGTTCGGCATCACGTCGTAAACTCTCTCGATTACTCTCTTCCAAATCAAAATCACTTTCATGATGGCTATAATTTGAATCACCACTTCCCTTAAAAAGTCAGGAAAAGTGAATATTGCTTTCACCCCTCAAATTTCCGTTCATTCATTCCTCATTTTATTATTTATTAAAGGTTGGCGTAACATTTCGGGTAAATTTCAGCAAATCAGTGTGACAGCTGTCACACTGCATTATTTCATTATGCCAAACATCCAGAATAAATTTTGTAAACGCTTTTAAATAAATATTTCGACAATTTTAAACATTTCAGCAATTTTCTCAGACAAAAGCTTCAAAATTTTCAAATATCCTTTCTTTTTTTTTCAGTGGTCGGTTGTTGGTATTTTAATTCTATTTTAATTCTATTTGTTATGTAAATTTTTTTTGCAAATTTGGATAATTTTTTGATTATTCGGGATAATGGAAAATAATTACTTGACGATGAAAATTTGCCATCGGAGGTTATTTCTTCGTTAATAGCTTCTGCTATCCAAACATTTTCTGTCGCTCTCAGTAATGAATACAAAAAAAAAATTCATGAAAAATAGCGCTGCAACAAATTTTTCATGAGAATTTGAGATGATGCAGTAACAACAAAAGAAAGAATTATAAAAGAATTATAAACAAATAAATATATTAGGACAGTAATAATTTGCTATACCGACTAGTAATCATGGACTCGAAATCCGCTGATAAGCGAAACTTGTCATTAAAGATGAAAGGCGATGTGCCACCTGAACTCTGAATCTCTAAGTGATTCTTATCAAAGACATTTAATGATGATTGCTTACGAGACATTTTTTCGCTATTTCTTACATAAATAGCGAAAAGGGACAGCAAATAATTTGTGCATAGACGACTGGTAAGAGGTCAGCAGGGGTCAACGGTGATGTGGGATGTGGTACTACCACATCATTTTGATCACTTAGGCAAATTAAAGTTAAATAAAAAAAGGAAATTTTCTGCAAAAAAATGAAATAAAAAACTGAAATCGTTTCGAAAATTATTAATGAAATAATAAAAATTAATTTAAAAATGTTGAAAATTTTTAATTTAAACGATATTTAAAGCAACATTAATGTGGTGAAAACTAAAAAATTCTCAGCTTTACCAGGAATTTATTCAAGAGAGAGGAATCGAATATATGATGATTTGAAAAGAACAAGCAGATAAACAGGACAGAGGGAAATCCAGAATGTCGCAAGGCTTTCGAACCAATCTCTGCTGAGCTGTCAAGCCTGCCTGCTTAAAAACCCCGGCGATTTTGGCGATCCACCTGCATTTCTATCGCCGAAATATTGCCTTCTCGGCAAAATTTCTTACCGTTCTAATACCCAACAAACCACAAATGAGGAGTTATCACTCATTTTGCTTGAAAATTCTTTAAAATAAGCTAAAACATTTGTATTCCGCTGCATCCTAGCGTTCGTTGTTGGTTCATTTTATTAGAAACACACTGAGATGGTCCGAAAATTTCGAGAATTTTTGTCAATAAAAGGTACTTAACACATTTATCGACCAATAAAGCAAGCGCATTCATTAAATTTGTTCTCTCAATGTGACTCTCCTTTTCAGCAGTTCGCCTCTTGATAAAATATTTATGGAAATTTTCATAAAGCATTTACTACTAACTTTTCCTGATAATGAAACCATAAGAATTGAAAAAAAAAGATTAGTAACCAAAGAAGAACCATAAGAATGTTTATAAGCATTCTTATTATCAACTAACTGATCAACTAACTAACTTCTGATTATGGATTATCACTAACGAGAAATAAAATCTGTCCATAACGAAAGATAAATTATTTTTAAGGTTAAAACCTTTAATCAGAAAAACAAATAATTCAACAAAATGGCAAAACATTTGCCATTTGCTAATCAAATATTTCTCAAAAATTTTATTTATCAAATTCAATTCCCTCCTTATCTGATTATATTCAAAAATAGATTTCTCTCTTGACGAGACTAAAACTGCTATTAAAAATCCGGGTGGTTCTAAGAATTATCTTCTGTCCATAACCCACTCTCTGGCGATCCGACAGTCAACCCAACAACCACAGCAGCGAATTTCACCATTTGCTTACCTATTCCCTTCAATTTCCTTTTCCCTTTTCCCTTCCCTTCAATCAAAGTATCTGTCTGTCTGCTTATAAAAATATGAATTAAACTCCTTTTTTAGCTTTTATATCAATTTTTTCAACATTTGATGTTTAATGATAAAATTAATGTGATAAAATTATGTAATGTGTAATGATAAAATTAAACATATATATATATATATAAAAACAAAATATTATAATATTTAAATGCCGACAAATCTGAAATATGAAATAATATGAAATCTGAAATCTGAAATACATATGAAAAGATATAACAAACTTTACAATTAAAATTTGGGATTTAAATAGAAATATAAAATTTAAACACTTAATAATTTCTTAAATTTTATTTAATTCTTATATTTCAATAATAATGATAATAATAATAACATTATTATTATCAAAGATAGGATAGCCGAGTGGTACTTCCATTCAACGTGGCTTCGATTCCTATCCTTTACAAGAAATAAACCTGCAATTAAAAGTAAGGCTCGAGATCCAACTCTCTGCAGAAGGGGTCTTACAGAAATAAAAACGACTAAATTAAAAGCCAATTATATATGGAAGAATTTAATTTAAGAATTTAAGCAAGAGAAAATTTAAGATTTCGGAAAGAAACACTTCATATATCACAAAAAATTATCTTCGCTAAATTAGATAACTGTGGAATAAATGTGGAAACCGAAACTGATGTAAATAATTTAAGAAAAAAAGTCGCCATCTGCGGTCATAAATTTCGTTAGCAGGGAAATTTTTGCGAGCAAGTTAGTTGGCGACAGAAACGAGTCACTCGATTTTTCAATGTCTCATTTATTCCTTGAAAATTTGCAAAACCAATAGTGCTTGCAAAAGCTACTCGCTTATTAGGGCTTTAACATAATTAATTTGGCATATTTTTAAACAAAAAGGATAAAAATTCTTGTACTGTAGAATTTAATTTTCCAACTTGAATTTGTAAATTCAATTAAAGCAAATATCAATGAATTCAAGCAAAATATTTTGAAACCATAACTTTTCATTTTTAATAAAAAATATTGGTTTAAAACATTAAATTTTTAAAAAAGCTATAGGGCAAATTTAGAAAAAAAATGAGAAAAACCAGTTATTTAAAATAAATCACAAAAATCAAAACAAGGTAAACTTATCACTTCAATTATTTTAATAAATTTCATATGGACACTTTTTTCAAAATTGGCAACTATTTTTGGCATAGTAACAAGTTAAGAAAGTAAAGTAGATAAGCAAGGAAAGTGGGCGAGCAAAGTAAGTAAAACAAAAAAAGTAAAGTGAGTAAGTAAGCGGGAAATTTTAAAGGTAATATAATAAGTAAAACACCAACGATATATTTTTCAAAGAAACGCAACGCGTTGAGGAATCGAGAATGATTAAATGTAAAGCGCGAAGAACCGCGACGCTTTTCAAAAATTTTTCGCAGAAAAGCAGCCAAGCAATAAATAAAAAGTTTAGTTTGATTAAACTTTTTCGCTAATTTTATTAAAATAAATGAACCTCGAAAATAAAAAATTTAAAAATGTCAAAGGTGAATGAAGTTCGTTAGCTTTGTTTTAATCTTCCTTTTTTCAGCTAATCATTTTTATTCTAATCATTTTTCAGCTGATTGGCCCAGCCGATGGTCTTTTGGCGAGGCATGTGGCCAGCACCGCTAGGATTTTCAGCATTTGGTGAGATTCGCATCAGCGATTCTCTGGAAAAGCAAGCCGAGCGGTGCTGGTAAACCCAATTTTATCCCCATTAAATTCCCTTGCAAAATAATTTCATTACATTAAGAGAACCAATTTGCAAATATTTTTCTTTATTGAATTTTTGAAGATTAATTTTTATAACAATTCATTTATTTATTAATTATAAATTAACGATTAAAGAATTCAAAATCTTTTTAGCAATTTAATTATTTTTCAATAAATATTACTAATTCATCAAATAATTTCTCGTTAATTTTCTTGCAATTAAAATCTAAATTTCGTCAATAAAAGATATTTTTGAGAATTTCCTTACTAACGACAAGTTTACTCCCGTCGAGCCATCCACGAGTTGCACTTCTTAGAGCAACCGCCCAGCCATCTTCTCTTCACCACCCACTTACTCGCCCTTATAGCCGAGTTGCTTAAATGGCCTTTGATAAATCTTTCAATGAGAATATCAGAAGATAATATTTGTAGATTTTATGTCAAAACTCAACTTTTAGGGATTAATTTTTATAGCATTTCATTTATTTATTAATTATATTATTTTTTAGATGGTTTTCACTTATCTTATTTTCGTATAAATTTTCCACTTTTTCAGTTACATTTTGTCAAGCTCAACTTGCAAATAATTAAATTTGGCGGCAGTTGCTGCATTTTATGTTTAAAAGGTCTCCTGTGGGTGGTATGGGTTATCCTCAACCTCAGGTGCTTGAAATTTCTGTGCAATATCTTAGGCTTTTCTTAGCTCTTCTGGACAAAAATATGGAATATGCTGGAGCAATCTTTCTAATTTGGTGGTCAGCCCCCAGTGCCCACCACCACTAAGATTAGATTATAAATATATATATGGTCGCACTTACATTCATACTGCATGAAAAATATTTTTCTAGAGTAGATATTACATAAGATGATAAAACAATTTTTTGTGAGAAACAACCTTTTGACTGATTATGGAATTTTAGATGAAATGGGAAATTTGGAACTGCATGTGAACATTAAGAAAACAACAAAGACGAACACAAGGTGAAGGTTAATTAGGAAATGAAACGACTGGAAGAAGGCGATTGCAAGCAGCCATGAATCAACGGTACTTATCACTATGATATTGAATATGATATTTTTAGTTACTAATTGTCCAAATGTATGTCTTAATGATAAGCAAAATGGAGGGTTATTGAGCTATTTGCACAGGCATTATTTAGCCTTCTACGGTAACTAAGAGTGCAAAACACCTATGCAATTAAGCGGCACCTCATGCACAATTCGGTGACAACTTCTGCAAACGAAAACGAAAAAACTATTTAATTTACTTGGTCACGTTGAACTTCAAGGGTGCAAAGACATTCAAACTCGAGAAGGTGGAGGAAAGGAGTGTAAGGCCTTCAAGCGCTGTTCAGCGAGTAGAAGCAGGATAGGATGCAAATCTCGAACTGCAGCACTCCCATTTCCTTGGAGTACCACATTTTCGAATTATTGCAATGCTCTTATCTAATCCTAATCTTGTTTAAAAAAACCACTACGGCACATCCAGAAAGTCAGTTGCGATAACATGCGAAGTGCGAGTCTTAATTGAGTACTGCGAACTTTGTATGATATCGACGATCTGAATTGTTTTGGGCTAATGTGGTCGAACTATGTTTCTCATCGATCGTTGATATTTCAAACATTATTGATTGATCTGTAAAATTCGAGGTTATTTGGTATTTTCAAATTTTTATTTGCGGCTTGGAGTTTTTTTAAAGTTTTAATTAGTTTTATATTTCCAATGAACGAAGCTGAGTCGTGTAACATTGCGATTTAAAACACAATCGCTTTGTCGTTGTCGCGCGGCGATAATTTGTCGCAATTAGTGTCGCTTCGTCGAATGTCTTTTTTTTCTGAGAGTCCCCACCATTACTGGTTAACCCGCTCCACTGGCTTGTCGCATTGGCGAATATGCGAGGGAGTCCCTTGGCGATAGAAATACAGGTGAGTCGGTCGCTAGCACCACCTGGGTTTTTGTCACGTTTACTCCGCGGGGAGTCGAATCTCAGCATCGAATCGAGCAGCAAGCCACTGAGCCATTCTATCCCTCCCCGAATTACAAACCACCAGTTGATCGAATATAACGAAAAACTAAAAAATAAACATTTTGCGATTTAACATGGCCGTGTTTTTTGGCATTATTGTATGAAAAATTTTGCGACGGAAGTAATAATGTTGATATGTTTAACGTTAATATTTTTTACTGACCAATATTTTTAATATTTTTCAGTTTTAATTTAGTAAACCTTTTGATATTTACATTTACATAAAGTTTTGGATTTGGAATTTAAATATTTTAATATTAGCTCGGTTGAATTGTTTTAAAATTTTTTGATAAAAACTCTGATTTAATGCCTTGGAAATTTTTAGAATAAAATGTTTGAAAATTTAAGTTCTGTTTCGTCTCGAAAGTTTTAAAGGCTTTTAAAATTTTTAAAAATCAGTTAAAAATTGGCGTAATTCATTGGCTTATGGTAAAATTTTTGAAGAAATGTTCTGGCTATTGATTGGTTTAGATTTTTGCTCTTCTCTCTGGTTTTTTTTAGTTAAGTAAAGTTTTAATTTTGAGTTTTTCTATAATTATGTAATCTATGTAACAAGTTATGCAAAAGAGAAATTACGCGGGGTTGTGAATCAGTCACGAGCTATCTGAAAATTTTTGAAATTCGAGGTTTTTTGATAACCATTTTTTTGTTCTTTTTTAATTATTTCTATAATTATTTTTAATTATTTGGGATCATTGCAATTTTTTATTTTCGATACATTTCATTTTACCTTATTTTCTTAATTAAAGAATTATTTTAGAATCGACTGAAATTAAAACAATTTATTCTAAAAAGAGATCGAAAAAAATAATTGATAAATTTCATCGTTGCATTTCGATAAAAACTTAATTAAAAGTAATTATTAGCGGCATTATTAATAAAATAAACTAAATAATTGATACTAATTGATTGTTTATATATTTTCTGAATCGTATTGCCGAAATTCGGTTAAATCGATTAAAAAATAAAACTTTCTTCAGATCGGTTTTAGGCGCAGATTTACTTGTCTATATTTATGTTTTAAATGAGGATGGCATCTTCACTTATAAAAATTTTTCGGTTAAAAAAACATAATAAAGATGAAGACGAACGAACTGAAGTAAATTAGTTTAAATGGTTGCTTGTGAATATCTATTAATATTTATATATTATGATGATTTACCAATTGCCTATTCAACAGTTATTCAGCTTTTTTCGACTATGTCGTAAAGTTTGTGGGAAGTTAAATTTAAAACTCAAAATTTTTGATGAAAATGTGATTAATTGGTTTAAATCGATTTTGATTTTAGAAATCGAAAAACGATGCTCATTTTTCTGTAAAATGTTCTTCGAATCCAACATGGCGATCATCAAAAGATGGAATTTATGTCGGAGGCACATCATGGAGTCGTCCCTCAGCTCCCTATTCAATAATAACGTCGCCAAAGAAAAATAAAAAAGTTCGTTCATGTCCTGGCGGTGTTTCAGCATCTTCTTTTAAGCCTTCAAAAGTTTTATTTTCGCGAAATGGATCAACGACGCAATCGTTAGTTGTTGGAATTCCAAGAAGTAATTTTTTTTTATTCACATTTCTCCAGAAAATTAATCAATTATTTGCAGCGACTGCAATACTGTCAACAATCAAAAATCAGAAAATAATAACAAAACGTCTGAATATGGTAGTTGCGAACAAAGTCCGACGAATGCTTGTGAAGAATCAAATGATAAACAGTCTGAGATCGACTGCAATGGGCAGTCAATTCTTGTAATTAGTTTTTACTATAAGCGGATTTTAAAAAAATTGAAGTGGCCGTTTCAACTGTTTGTTTATATTTATTTTTCGTTGTATGAATTATCTCTGATATATTGCAGATTAAAATTTATGATTCTGAAATACGGAAACTCAAACGAAAAATTAAAGATGAAAGGCTTCGATTTAGAGATCAAGTTCTTATTCTTCAAGTAGGTTATTTAAAGGGTTTTTCTAGTGAATTTATTGATATTAATTTAAATTAATTTAAATAGGCGGAATGAACGATCTTTTTTTGTGGGATCCTCTAGTTTATTTAAAAATTATGAATTAGAAATTTTTTTCTTGACTGAGAGCTGAGAGTTTTCTGCATGTAGTGAAAATTAAAAGCATTTATTCTAATTCCAAATTATCTTGAGAATGAAAACGATCGGCTACGATTCACCTTAGAAAAAGTTGATCGTTCTACCTCGTTTCTGCATCGTAATCTTCAGTACGAACGTCACAAAAACCACAATTTACGGAAAAAGATTCGCGATTTGGAAAATTTAATTGTAAGGGAATTTCATAATTTCGAAATTTTCAAATATCTTTTTATTTTCTGCTATTTTTATTTAAAAATTTTATTCTAAAATTGAATCTAATCTAAATTAGAAAATTAATTTTATAATTATTTTAGAAGAACCTTAAATATCAGTTAGATTCTTGTCGTAAAGATGAATCTGTAAAGCAAACATGTCATGTTGTTGGTGCAGGAGAAGCACTTTGTGTGCTAACACAGTCAAGTGGAAGCCTATTTGATTATGAAACTCCTCAGTATAATGATCCACCAGACGAAATCCGGAATTTCAGAAACAAACAGTTAGAACTAGAATTATCCGAGGAAAATGAATCACCTTGGCTGTGGGCATCTGTTGGTAAAGTGAGTTCTTTTTAATTTTGTAATGAATACCACGGAAAGGAAAATTTTTTATATAAAAAAAATTTTTTTTTATAAAATTTTTCATTTTCAGGAAGATGAAATTATGGAAGAGCATCGCAAAAGTCCAGAAGATATTAAGGAAGACACTCGAAGAAATTCTCGAAGACTTCTTCGACGATCATTTTCAGATAGCCAGGTTTCAAAGATTTTAGCGGAATCTGAACCTTTTGAAATTCTTCGAGGATTTTCTTCACCATCTACTCGCCGCTTTCGAACTCGTGGAGAATGGTTGCGTGGTGGTTTGGTTAGCGTATTTTCCACTTTTTAATTAGCATTTTATATTATTTTCCATTTCATAGTAGCTGAAATTTTATGAAAATTTTTTGAAGGATACAAGTTTTTCATCTGAAGAAGATGTTAGCACAATGGAATTGATTGAACGACAATTACGTCGTCGTGGCGATTGTGTGCGATTTATTCCACCTAGGCGTACCGTACGGGAAGCAACATTTCGACGATACGGTCGCCGGGAACGAAGTGCGTTAGCAGAATTTGATTATTTATTAGATCTTAGCACAGATGCTAGCGCAATTGCATCGAGTCCTGATTATGTATCTTCTAAAAGTCAACGTCGAGATCTTAGCTAAGGGTTCTGGGGAACGTGATAACAAAATAGAGCAAGATAATTCGCCATTTATTTATTTACTTATATTCACTAAATTGTCATGTTTTATTTTTTGTATGTATTATAGTGTGCCTATTTGGTGGAAATTTTATTTTGGGTATTTTTCTTATTTTTCCCAAATCATTGTTTAGAAAATTTTTTAAATTTTTTAAATTTTTTAATCTTGGATGTAAATTTTGAATATAAATTTCAGTGCATATACAAAATTTGAAAAGATTTTAAGGTTTTGAGAAAGGAAACTAGTTGATTGTTTGGTTAAATTGAAAAGAAATTTAAGTATATAGTTTTCCTTGAGATTTGTAGAATATTTCGATTTCGAATATATGACTAACTGCTTAATATTATAAAATTCATTTTCGATAAAAAATTTTCATTTATTTATTGAAAAACTCCAAGATATTGGTTGGTCCACTTTCTTTTGGTTGCAGTAAATGATATTAAGAAAGTGCCTCGAATTTTTTTTCAAAATTATCAAAAATTTTTAGAAAAACTTATTTTAAAGCAAAGAATTTTTTAAATTTAAAGTTTAAATTTTAAATTTAAACTTTAAAACATATAATTTAACCAAAAGATGAACTGTTGATTTAAAAAGCCTTTTTCAAAAAATTTGATTATAAAAATTCATCCGAAATGTTTTTCAGATTTTTATTTTCTATGTTCTAACCCTTAATATTTATTTTTTGTTTAATGCCATAAAAAAATTTAAGAAAATTTTCATCAATCATTTATTATTTCTGATCCATCACTGCTAGTAAGTACAAGATAGATTTTACGCGCCAGCATTGGCCCGATTTTTCGCCCACGGTCTGTTTTTATGTTTTCGATCATCTTAATAGCATCTGATGCATTTTGTTGATTCAATCTAAAATTAAAGCTTTGGTAAAGAATTTTAATTCTTTAATAGAATTGATTTAATGAATAAATTTTATATAAATTAAATTATTTAAATTATAAATTGAGCATAAGTTTACTATTAACTTTTTCATAAAGTCGAACGGATTTGGGAAATGTTTCAGTAAAGTGCGACAATGATCATCTCCTATTCTATGAATATGTTTAAGCATTTTTGACCACCAGTCAGATATAATCATTTCTTCCTGAAAATTTCATAGTTATTTGTATCAAATGAAAAAAAAAGCCTTTATGAAGTGAAATAGCGAAATATAAGGAGAGTTATAATGGTGATATTCGGAATATAAAATAGAAAATTTTATCTGATAACGATGATTGATTTTCTGACAAATCGGCAAATTTTTTTTCGTTGAATTTTTTCATGTATTTTACCACCGATTTCCAATCAGCGAAACGAATAAGATAAATTAACCTCTTTTGTACCCTTCTCAGTTCCAATTATTTGTTGTTTCCCCTCAGATCGCTTTATTCGTTTTGCAATTGATCGATGCATTTGACCAATAAAAACAGATATATCATCCAATGAATCGAAAAAATGTATTTGAATCTGGGCTAATTCATACATATCCAAAATATTCTCCGTAATCTATTCAGTTGAAAATTATCGACAACGGCAAAAATCCAAAAAATTTACAGGATAGTCGATCAAAAAGTTGGTTAGCGCTCAGCATTCACCATTTCTGGCTAGGCTTACTCTACTGGCTGTTCGAACGAAAAATCATGGAAGCATTTGGCGATAGAAGCATATATGGGTCATCAGTACTTATGTGGATTTTATAACAGATTCGTTCCTACCGAAGAAAGGATCCGAACTCTAATGCCTCTAGACAATAATCTGAGTGATACCCACTGGAAAGTCCTGCCTTTCCCATGAAAAACGGTGAAAAAAATCATTTCTTTTTAATTATCAAATACCTTATTAATTTCCACTTGATGAATTCCATACACTATAACTGTGATACGAGGTGAAAAAAAACTTATTCCGTTTCGTTGATTTTGAATATATCCATCGAAAGAATGTGATTTTATAAGATTCGTAAATGCTTCGCCACCCAAGAAAAATACAAAAAAAGGCTCCAGTGTCTATAAATTTTTTATAAATAGTAGTCAGCGAAACCTGAAATTATAATTAAAAACTGAATAAAATATAAATAATACAATAAAAACGCTATTTAAAAAAAAAAAACAGCTTTACTACAAATAGTAATCACCCATAATCAAGATATGAGTATTTAACAAGAAAAACGATACTTTTGGCAATCTAATCCAGAGCAATATGCGCTATGAAGAGTATATATGGGAAGCTCTGGTTTATCAGTCTCTAATCTACCAATATCCTCTTTTCAAAATCATAGATGATAATGCAAAAATCAAAAACTTTTGATTATAGATGCAAGATTTATAAAAAGAAATCATCACAAATTATAGAAGTAAAGATGAAGAGAAATAAAAGCAAAGAATCAGCTAATGAGGAAAAAATGCGATGCTAAGAAAAATTAAATTTATTTAGGGCTATTTCTTCTTCTTCTAAGAGCTCTCATCATTACTGGTTAGGCTGGCTCCAGCGGCTACAAAGGTAAGACGCTTCCAAGGCGCGGTCTGATGATATCGTCGACAGTAATGGAAGCCATTCCTTTTTCCATCGTGTAAGTCCATATATTGCTGGTCCATCTATACGTTCAAAATCTTTTCTCACCGTATCAGTCCATGTTGGCCCACCTCACTTTTGACGCCAACCATCATACGAAAAAAAATTGAAATAAATGTTTATGGGTATATTTAGGGCTATTTAGAAAAAATATAACCATATATTCAAATCGAGTTAATTTTTCGTTTTCAACTATAACTTCCAAGGTCTTCCTTCTCCAATAAATAACTTGTCCATGTTCTTCGAACAAAAGTTGATTTGCAATATTCCTTTTTTCAAAAAAACGTTCAACTGATTTTTTAAAACCATCTGCAAATAGAAAATATAACAGTCGAATATTTTCTTCTAATAATTATTTCAAGTTATCTTTGCTAAGAACGAATTACAAAGACTGAAATAACATACTGATAAGATTATCAAGATCCTCGCTGATTATACAAAAGAGATTATGTTCACATTTCGTATTGTACGTACTCCTAACATCTCTTTCAAATTTTTCAATCGTTTTCTGAAACTCTTTCCGTTCCTAAAATATTAATCATATTGCCAGTAGTTTCTCGAAATTTTAAAAGAAAATGTGATAAAAAGACTTAAAAAAAAAAAAAAAACAAAATTACCTGGCATAATCAAAATAATTATAATAATATTAAATCGAAAAATCCTAAAATGGAGAATCGTTTTTTGATTTTCCATTTCTTAATTTTGTAGCAGTGATAGGGGCAAAAAAATGTACCTTCATTTTCGGTTTCTCCTCCAATTTTTGTTTGCATAAAGCATTTTTTTTAAAATTTAGGCCTCAAAATTCAACCAAAAATTTGAATTGCCCATTTCAAAATGTTCTTTAAAAATAATTTTAGGCGTTTGGCAATCATCTAGTGATTCCTCCATTTATCGCATTATAACTTATATATTATATGTTTGAATTTCTGCGTCCTCCATAACTTACAGTTTTCTCAGCAATAAATGAAAGTTAAGTAGCGTAGCATAAATTGTTTTATTTTGATCTCTTAATGCTTGGACAAAAAATCGAATCTATTGACAAATAAAACACAAATATTCCATAAAATAGAAAAAAATAGGTGATTTAACAGAAACACTTTCCAGAAATATTATTTTTATATTAATTAAAAATTAAATCATCCGGAAATTAAAAGAATAAAATTTAAAAAATTAAACAACGAGAAATTAAGAAAAAAGGGGAGAACGAGAATATCGTCAACCTTGCCAGCGCCGATTTCCGCCTTTCGTTCCCTTTTTTTTAAAGAATTCCCATCGTAATTAACAATTGAATTTATAGGCGGATTTGCCTTTTGACAGCCACCAACATCATCTAAAATTTCCCAACCATATAGAAAAGCGATAATATTTGCAACAATGACTAATAAAAATAATACTTATCGAAACAAAAAAAAATTCGCGAAATTACTAAATATTAATAACCTTATTAATAATTAAAATAGATAACCTTTTTTGCTTTCAATGCAAGCAATTTTAGAAGAAACATTACTCCGAACCGCTGCAAATTCAACAATAATATCATCGTCAATATTCGAGAAACACTTATCATTTTTGTTATCACCCATCCTTATCAATATTAAAAAGAGGGAAAATAGAGGGAAATAATCAACAACTAAATGAATCTAAGAATTCTTGCCTTACGACAGAGTGAAATTGCAATCGTTGGAAACTTTCAACATAATCAAAATTTAAATCCTCGGTCTTGAAACGAATTCTAGTTGTCGATGTTTTTCTCCGTTGGCAATCATTTTGATGGATAAAAATTTTGGAAACGTTAGCATCGGTAAGGTTTCGTAACGAAGGAAGAGCGTCAAAGCGAACGGTGTTCTAAGTGCCAACCACTTGGCTTACCACGTTTTTTGGTACTTTTTTCACGTTTGGTACTTTATTTGAATGTGGCAAAAGAATTGGAAGGACGAGCACGGTTCTCGTCCGATTTTTAGTTATAAAAATTTTTAATAAAATTTTAATAAAATTTAATAAAATTTAATAAATTTAATAAAGTTAATAAAATTTTTGAAGTTATTTCATTCCCTGCAACCTTTGAAATATAATGCGAATTTGATATCATTTAATGCTGATCAGTTTTATACGCGTCAGTTTTCGAAAAATTTCACTCAATGAGGCGAGAGCGCGCAATTGACAGATGATTTACCATATTTCTTTAAGGAAGATTTAAGATTATCCGAGAATAAGTTCCGAATGTGGCTTTACAAATCTTAGTATCATATCACGTTATCAGAATGAAAAGGCAGAAAGATTGCGTTGGATTGATTTGTAGCGATATTGATTTTGTGGAATATTTTGTTTTTTTATTGACTTCGATAAAACATTATACTTTAAAAGGTTTTATTTATAAATTTTTTTATTTCCTTTCGGTACTTTTTAGCCTAAAGCGTATAAAAAAAGTATTGGTGTAGTAAAAGTAAAAGTATTGCAACTTGATTTTTCATTTTCTTCTTTTCCCCTTAAATTTGGCAATCGGAATATTGAAAAGTAGGTAAGGTGAATTTTCTCCTCCTGTTATTAATTTAGATCAGCCGAATTTTCTCCTCCTGTTATTAATTTAGATCAGCTGCCTGGAAAAGATTCTGTAGCTTAGTATTTTTTATTGGGAGGATTAAAAGACTAATATTATATTTTTAATAATTTTTTTACTGAGGAATCAATAAATTTTGATCAATAAATTTTTAGCTATTTGGTGCTCCGACTTGGAAAGAAGTATTCAGTTAGCCGCAGATAATGATATTCCATCGGTTTCACATACTGCTTATCAACTTATTTCCAGGACTGATATCAATACAGTTATTATAACTGGTTATCCTAGTCATAATGCTCTTTTTTATGCACAGGCTCAAGGTTAGCTCTTTTTTGTGCAAAATTTTCGTGGGTGCCTTTTTTTTCCTTAAGTTCTTTTCCTTTAGCTATTATTTATTTATGGGCTGTATAATGTGACTTGTACTTTGTACGATATTTTCTCAGAATATTGCATATTATCTATTAATTCGGGAATTTTTTGTCGATTATTTTATAAAAAGTTTTATTAGTCATAAATTATCATTTATCATTAATCATAAATTCACGTTTCACTGAAAATTTTAGCATTACAAAAATGCGTTATCTGCATTGGAGCTGTTTCGCTATCTATCGAATGCGCCCAACTATTAAACGAGATTGCACAGAAATATAATGCTAGTATTAACGTAATTTATCCATTAAAATATTCGACTCCTTTGGCTTTGATTCGTTCAAACTTAGCAAAAATCGGTGAAATTCAAAACATCAATCTTGAATCAACATTTAAGGCAAAAATTTTAGAAAGGAATCGATTATATTATGATTCAAATGTAATGCTACAAAAATTAGGGCATGAATTTATTGACGCTGTTTATTCATTATGTGTTGAAATGCCGCAGAAAATTGCGGTAGCGCATCGCGATACGAGCAGCATTGTTGATCATTTTCGACTTCGTGAACTCGAATCAGCACATTTGCAAATTGCTTTTGGGAATATCGTCGCAAGTTTTCATATAACTGTTTCGAATGTGGATTCGATAAACATTCGTATTCGTGGAACGCGTGGTTTGATGCAATTAAATGAGCATATATTAACAATTGAAACGCAAGAAAGCCAATCGGTTCTTTGGCGTGGGGACGGAGTTTTCGAGAATGTCATTAAAGAAGGCATTATGAATGCCCTTAATTCCAAAGCGTTTATGGCAGGACCAAGTGAAATATGCTTAGTCCATTGTTGCTCCTCCTAATTTTTTATTTTTATATGTTTATTTTTATTTTTATTAATTATTACTTCATTAACGCATGTGCTTCATTGTCTTGCAAACATTTTTCGATCGAATACGTTTAGGGAGTCATTTTGAGTGGTTTGTTAACTCTCGAAATTTGTATTTTTCTGTTGTTATTGGTTAAATACTTGATAAATAGCGCAAAATTATTTTTAGAATTTCCGAATGCGGATAGAACAATGAAAAATCGTGACAAACGTCATCAAAGTGAAAAAAATAGTTGAGACTAAAGTATGAAAAGTTGTTTTAGAGATTAGAAGTTTTGTTATTTAATGGTTAATTAATTTAATGGGTTATTTAATGGTTAATTAATTTAATGGTTAATTTAATTTTGTTAATTTAAATTTAATGGTTTTAGAATGTCAGCAAAATGAATTGAATTTGGAAGTTTATCTATGCAATAATTTGCTATGATAGTATTTATTGTCCTGAAAAGGTGCGGCTATGCTCTTTTTTTTATGAGATCTTGAAATCTTTTGCTATCTTCAGATTTACAAAAAATCTCATGAAATCTACTCGTATAACCTTGATGTTTTTCTTGATTGATCCACTAGGTTTCTTCTGATATAATTAAATAAAATCTTAAATTTTGCACAATCAATAGAAATATCTAGCTTACAAAATTTATTAATAAAATAAAAAAAGAAATTTAAATTTTTATGGATCCTTTTTAATCTTATACGAAGTATATTTTTAAAAAATATTTGTAAAAATTTTTCAAATCAAAAATAATTTTAGAAACTTTCTTTGAAATTCTGGAGCAAAATCTCAAAATTTCTTCAAACTGTATGCAAAAAGGCATAGCCGCAAATTTGAAGACTTTTTAATCTAACAAGATTGCCACTTGGACACAGCACCATAAATGCAGCACCATAACTGGCTTTTCTACCTCTTTTACCTTTTTTTCCTCGTTAATGTCATAACTTTTTCGGTCATGGTGCCATTCATATAAACTATTATATATATATATATATATACATAGATTTACTAGAAACTACCGTAATTATGAAATTCGTTCCTTGGAAAAAGATATTGAGATTTCATATTTTATCTAATTGACTCTACTGTCTAAACCTTGTTTTCTTAATAAGTCTTAATATCATCGAACAATATATTCCTTTAACAAGAAAAAAAGTTTGATTATTTATTCTTCTTTCCTTAAAGTTTCTGAAGAAAAATGTAAGGGACCTCTATAAAAATGTAAATTAACCAAATTGTTTTCTGTATAATTGCTCTCTCTGTAGGAATGCTTGAAGAATTTCCATATCAGTGATATTTATAATGCTTTTCAAATAAACAGCTACTTTTAAATACATACAGAGATTCTTTCTGGAAATATTTTAAAAAAATTGGCAAATCAGCGGAAATTCTATAGCGAATTTAATAAGATGACTTCCGGCATTGATGTTGTATGATTATTCAATAAAAAAAATATTTTTCTAATGAAATTAATGTGCAAAAATCATAAATGGTGGCAGCGATCGATTAGACAGTAAATTAAGAAGTGATTAGCTCATTTCTGGTTTCCTCTGTCCGCTGGATTTTAATGTTCTGAAAAATTTTTGCCAGGGATATTTACGACAGAAAACACAGGTGATCGCCAGCATCACTCAGATTTTTCAACGACATTTTTTATTCATTTTGTAGCAGAGAATAGAACCTGTGATGCAAATCGTAGCAGTTATACCATTCGACGATTCTGCACAAAGTAAATAGAAAATAAGTGATAAATATAAATTTAAGCAATTTCCGAAAATTTTTCAAATATCTTCCATGAAATCTATTGTTTCACTTTGGTTGAATAATAAAGAAAAAGGTTTATTTTATTCATTTGCGACGAAATCACTTAACTTTCTTAACTTATTATTTGTGTTTATAATAATTTCATTAACATAATAACATTTGCTTAATGTGAAAATTGCGAACGTTGGCTTTTTCTTGCTTTGTTTTTGGAAATCGTTGAGCTTTTCTTCTAATGCTAATTATTTCTGGTTTGGTTGGCTCATTGGTTGCTAGAATATGTTTCAGAATGAGGTCTCTTCGCCAGAAAGACTCTTGGAATGGAAATAAAAGCGGGTGCCTGCACACCGCTCGACTTTGCTTGTAGCGACAGCTTTAACAGGAAAAGAATCGAAGCCATAATTTTTTGACTTTAATCGAAACAATCAATTGACTTTTCGCATTGTAATTTATAATTTTTTATTTTATTTGTTTGTTATTACTCGAACTTCAATAAAACTGTAAAGGAAAACTTTGTATTTGCTTAATTTTGGTTAAATAAGGAAACGGTCGTTTCATTTTATTTGCTACGAAATTGCTTTCATTTTCATTTAAACAATAAAAAATATTCATTTTCAGGTATAAATTACCGTTTTTGAGGTATTTTATAGATGATTGGATCTTCCGTCCTTTCCTCTTCCGAGGCAGTGTTGATAATTGAGTGATCATCATTCATCTCGAAATACATGCAACAAGTGATCATCTTTTCGTTCTATGTAATCGTCCATGAACTCAAATGCGTGTCATTGAAAGATATTTCCCATGAATTATATTTATTTCTCTCCTGTAATATTATATTAACTAATTTTTGAAATTTGTAAAAAATGATTTTACCTGTTTATTTCCACTAATCTAATATTTGCTTGATTTATTGTTTGTTAGAATGACAAGCATATGAACTAAATAAAATTTTAGGAATTGCTGAAAATAAGTGAGATTTCAAAGAATAGGAATAAACCTTATTTCCTTTTTTATTCTACTTACGGGCAATCTTTTCAAATTTTTTTCTCATTTTTACCTATACTGATAACTCAATACTTGACTGATAACTTGATTTGTAAAATTTTTTCAATTTTTCTTAAAATTTTTAATTTTTAAAATTTTTTTAAATTTAAAAAAATTTTTAAATTTTCTAAAAAGTGTTGAAAATTTTAGAGTCCAACGTTTTTAAGATGCTTAAAGAAAATATAAACTGGATATGTGTCCAAAAGCTCGCATTCCCTCTTCTGCTTGCACCATAGAAATTCATGGAATCTCATTAATGATTTTGTTATGATGTAAAACATAATTTGTATAACGTTTAAGTGCGCAAATGGAAGATAAGAAGTATGATAACAGTTCATTATACCTTTCTCAATAGTAATAGTTCAGTAATAATGCTAATATGAATATAATGAATATTTGTATGATAATCTGGTATAAATCAATATAGGCCAAATAGTTCCCATATAAATCTCTCAACTTTTCCTAAAACCTCGCCAAATACCGTATACTGTGATAGTCAAATTTTTCATCAAATTCCTCCTCTTCACTATTTTTTCCATTATTCTACTTCGCGCAATATTTGCTACATAAAAAATTTACTGATTTACGAATAAAGAAAAATAAAGTCGTTAATTCGAGCCAAAACTTAAAAACTTAACTTTCTCAGCTATGCAACATTCTACATTGCTGTTACGATTAATGTTGTATTATGCTGTATAATAACATTTATTTTTAATATTAGCTGAATAACTTTATTAAATTACTTGAATCACTTAAGAAACAAGCAAAATTACCGATTTTTAACATTTTAACTACGGCATCTTATTGAAGCACAACAAATTTATTGTACTACAAAATATTAAATAGATGGAATATTTTACGAATCCCATAAAGCCATCGTCCATTATTCAAGCACATTGTCACAACTCTGTTAATAACAATGATAATAATATGGGCGGATAGCGACTAGCGATTATGAGGAATAAACTAGATGTGGGTCATGGTCTTGGTTAAAATTTTCCTTTTATTCTCCTCACCGCGACTGTAAACTCTCAGCAGTAATAAATTCAACTCATCTGCATTAGTAGCACAGGATAGCCGACCTGAACATCCTGAAAAATGCTATATTATTCTATCGCTTGGCTCATTTCCATTCATTTTATTCTCATTTTTGCTTATATCGATAACTCAATACTTGGTATGTAAAATTCTTTCGTAATTTTATAAAATGAGTTGAAAATTTTAAAGTCCAACATTTTTAAGGCGTTTGAGTTATAAACTGAATGAATATCTTTACAAAAATTCACATTCCATCTTCTCCCCATTTCTGGTTTGGTTTGATTGGCTCCATTGATTGCTGGGATGAGAGTGAGTGCTTCGCTATAGAGTTATTTGGGGAATTATGAGTAGGAAGTGTAACTCCTAAGTGCCAATTCATTCGTCTATTATTTCATTTGACTCAAGCAAACCAAACACTTTATTACAATTTAGTTCTTGTTTTATAATATATTTTTGTCAGTATTCGAATGCCAAAATTACATTTGCTTGGTTGAACTGGGTTTTGCCTCAGCGCTGATAAGTTGATAAGAAACAAAATGCGGCAGTTTTTTTAAGACTGAATTTTTTATTATATATTATTTACATAATTTTCTATCATGTTATATATCATTTTATTGTTCCTTTATTATTATTTCTTCCTTTTTTTTATTATTTGTTACGTTTATTATTCGTTATTTTTGCATTTTTTTATTTTTTTATTTATTTCTTATTTTTTTTAGTTATGAACTTTTTTTATTTAATTCGTTATTTATTATTTCTTTGTTTTATTTTCAAGCAAATTATGACATGTTTCGTTTTTAAAGTGCTTCTAAAATATTGTGTCTGAAAACTCACCAGCGCTCACCATTTTGGGTAGAACTTTCCTGACTGTTAGAATTTTTAGAAATTGGAAATTTGATCAGAAATTTTGCCGGGGAATCACGTAGCGGATGAAAATTCAGATAGGTCATCAGCACCACCCAGACTTTTAATGGTAGATTCGCTCCTATGAGAAGTAGGAGCTGAAATCAACATAGTAGCTCAATGCCTCCGGCTATTTTGCCTTTAAATTAAAAAATTTTAAATTAAATAACTACTGGTACCTAAAAATTCCACTTGAATATACTATTAATATGATAAACATGTCAATTTTTATTTTAACGAAGTGCAATGTTTTCCCAGGTGTGCCGAAAGTGATTTGTCAGGAAAGTGATCTGACTATAGATGTTGTAACCTCAAAACCGTTCAGAGGCAATATTTTCGTTAAAGGAAAGGCAAAAGATCCATCATGCAGGCAGTCTTATGCTATTAATAGCTCAAATTCTTATTCATTATCACTCGGGAAATGTGGAATGCAACGATTGAGATCTGTTCGATTTTCATTTTATATATTTTCCTCCATTAAGTTGATTTTGGTTTAATTGAATTGAATTGAATTAATAAAAATTATTTCTTCCCTGGTTTCCAGCTTTCATTTTGAATTTCGGATACATCTATTGTATATATGCACGGAAATTACTAGTGTTTTACAATAGTTAAGATTATAGATGAATCCGAGAGGAGTAAATTTCGTAACGACCGTAATAGTTTCATTTCATCCACGAGGATTTATCACTAAAAACGATCGAGCCTTCCACATCAAATGTTTTTATATGGAACCAGATGAAATAGTTACATCTGGCATTAAAGTCAGGTAAATCTGTTATTTTACTTTTCCGATTATTTCTATGCAGTTTTTTTCTATTTGGCGTTATCCACAGCACCTGTGCAACCTTGATTGCTGGGTGGCAATTATGCTGAATCCAAATTCTAAGCATTCACAATTAGGGTTGCTGTCCTCATTGAAGAATTATTTTTTATCATTTACAATATAATTTTTAGTGCTTTACCATCAACAGAAATCTACGATTCATTGCAAATGCCGACATGCGATTATTCAGTTAGACGTGATGGAATCAACGGACCACAGTTGTCATTTGCTAATGTTGGAGAAACAGTAAGAATTTCACTAAAATTTCACTAAAATTACCCCGAGCAAAGTAAACATTTTTTAAGGATGAAGATCATTTATTGCCTTGAAATTTTACATATTCTTATTTTAATCCAATTTTTTCAATTCAAAAAAACATTTTAGTTGTATATTCAATTTTTCTACAAATTCATATTATTCCATTTGTGACTATTAAGGTATTCCATGTATGGCAATGTTCTGGTGCAAATATGGGAATGTTAGTCAAGAAATGCTTTGTTACTGATGGAAATGGTGAAGATCATGCAGTTGTCGATTTCGACGGGTTTGATTTCTATTTATACTGGAAGTTTTTTCGTGTATATGGCTTAGCAGCAATATCTTATACATTTTTGAAAAATTTATTTATTCATCGTTTATCCATAAATTATGCAAATGTCTTCATTTGCCTTCATTAACCGTTTGAAACATATAATACTGTATATCTAATTTGAAATTGCCCATAAATCATCGTTCTCTATTAGTTGTATCCACTTTTTTGTGCAAGATGTAGAAAAATGAATTTCGTTAAAAGAATTTTATCAGTTTAGAAAATTACTGAGATTTTATCATAAAATCGTATTAATATGTCAGTTTATTTATTATAAGATTGTGAATGGTTTCGATGGTTCATAGCATCGAATTTCAGATGTTCAGCTGACGAATATCTAATAAGTGAGTTGACTTATGACGATTCCTTGATGAAGGCTCATGCTCTAAGCCAAGTTTTCAAATATGCTGATTCCAACCAATTGTTTTTTACGTGTCAGATACGACTATGTCAGAAGAATATCGGACTTTGCGAAGAAATTACGGTGAATTATCCCTTTAAGTGATACTCCTATGAAATTCTTGTTCTAATACCATTCCCCATTTCTAATTTGGTTTGCTCTGAAGAGTCCCCAAAACCATACTGATACTTTTATGTGCGCATTTTGCGCACTTTTTCAGACCAAAATGCATTTTAAATCAGAATGCATTTTACTAAATAAAATTAGGAAGGAAAAATAAATACTCTCTCTCCTATACTGTGGATTTTACCATAATTTTTTTTGTATTTTTAGCCACCTAAATGTGACAAAGATGAGAAAAATCGAAAGCGTCGAGAAATAAGATTTATAAATAATGATCGTTCGATGGAAATTGATGTCTCAACGTCTGAAATGTTAATTGGTGGCATTGACGATACAGCAATTCGAACTCAAACGTCGCAATTATGCTTCTCACCACTAATCATCGCCTTATCAAATTTTATTGTTTTCACCTGTATCGTTATTTTCATTTCAATCCTTCACATGATGAATAATATTCCTCGTAAAAAGGCGGTTAATTTCCTCTAAATCCGGAAAATGATTTCAATTAAGCTTTAAAACAACTAGTCTTTCTGCGAATTGTTCCAACTTTTCATTTTTCCATAAATTTTTCCATATACCAAAAATTTTGATCGAATGCTAAAAATGAAGAAATTGAATGAGGAAATTAGCATTTTTTCATGTCCAAATATATATCTTTTCAATAATTATTTAAAGTAACTATTTAATATTTTTTATTTAATAATTAATAATTATTATTATTAAGTAATAATTATTTCGGGTGATTATTTGAATATATTCCATATTTTTATCGACTGTATTCTTCATTTAAACAGGATAACGTAGAAATCTGAAATGCTGTGAGTTTTTTGAAGACAACTAGTTTTCTGCACGGATTTAACTTTTTCTCGAGCAGTCAAGATTTACTTATTTAAAATATTGGGTTTTCTGGATTTATTTTTAAATTTTAAAATTGGAAAATTTCATTATTTTTGAATCAATTTCACAAAGGAGAATGCCCATTTATTCAATCAGAATTATTTAATGATTTAAAGTTTCTTCCAGTTTTGAAAAGTGCTGAAAATATGAATTTTGGCATAAATAAAGGGAAAATCGAAGAAGGTCGTTGGTGACCTTGTCGCGGTAACGAACGTGAATTTAACTCAGTCATGTTCTTAGTTAGTTATTCATAAAATATGAGTTTTGAAAAACCATTGACGAAATCCATTCAGTCCTTTCAATGCGAAATCATACAATTTTTCAATATTTCAAAGAATCGGCCTGATAAATGAATACATTTACTGCACAACTTAACTGGAAAATATATTTAAATTAAATTAGCACTGCAGCATTAAATTCAAAACGGCTTTACATTTCTACTTGCCTACTTAACGAATTGCATTTTCTTCTTATTTTCTTCTGCCTAATTAAAAGTAAATGATTGATTAATTACCTGGATTTTCAAAGCTAAATTACTCGACTTTTCCTTTTGAAAAGTTTTTAAAGCATTTTTAGCGTAATTGTTATGAATTTTATAAATTTGAATTATTCGATAATAATTTATTAATAAATTATGAATGAAAAATGTATTTGTTCCGAAGCATTGGAGTTAAAATACGCTATGTGCTGCCTCGCAGAATTTTTTTCGCACAACTTAAGTCGACTCGAACTTAACATCCGTTAAATACAAATACAAATATGAACTAACAGTGATCTTATTTAACATAATATAACAGTATTGTAATCCCACCATACCCACCATACACCATTCACCAAATGATATCTGCTGAATTAAGGATGGGTGGATGAAGCAGTAATGTAGTAACTTTTCCAAGTAATGGTTTCCCCTTCAGCTTTAAGATTTGTAGAAGATCCGAAAACTATTGCACTTCACCGAATTTCAACAAATATTTTCATTTTTTTGCTTCGTTTTTTCATTGTTTGTTGCACTTAGATTAGATTTCTTTGTTTTCGAGACCTTTTTTGCGTTTATTTTTTGCTTAAAAATTGGACAAAAAACTGCGCTGAGTGTATTTCACAAAATGAAACGGTCGTCAGTCGTCTTTTGGCCTATGAAAGGAAAGTACCAACCGTATTTTTTAAATCACCATATATTGTACATCAGACTTGTACTGATAGATTCCTGCTTTCAGTTCCGTCAAAATTTTGCTCTTCTCCACTTGATATTAAAAAAAAATAGACTGCAAAAAAGAAACACGTAACTCTTTACTTATTTTTCATAAAGTGATATAAAATATGGAAATTAAAGCGCCACAGTAAAAAATTTTACAAATTATACAAATATACATTACAATTATACAAATATACATTAATTATACATTACAAATTATAAAATAAACATATGAAATAACACTAATATATTCAAAATTTTTTAGCGAAAAATACTAAATATATTTCAAAATTACTCAGAGAAAATATGAAAAACAAATATAAATAAATAAACCTATAAGCGATTTAACTGTAAAATGACTTAGGCGACCAATTACAGGCAAACAATTCCATTACAACGATCAAAGTAAAATGCCAAAATTCTTCACTCGCTACTATCAAGAAAAATAAAGAATCGAAAAAAGAAAGAAAACTTTTTAAGCGATACAAATATTTTAAGGTTTTAAATTATTTTTAAATTAAATAATTCTATTAAAAAAATTGCCATTATATATTCATCGATTTTTTTATTCAACATCGATTCAACGACATTTGCAGCGAAATCAAAAAAATAATGGTTTCTCATAAAATATCTTCAAAAAAAAACCTCACCAAAAATGATATAAGATGGTGTTGTAATAAGTTCAAAATTTCTCAAACTTCTTTTAATTTTGATAATTTTCAAAAAAGATGATAAAAAAATAGGGAATTAGAAAAAAATAAAGCTGCAAGAAGTTGAAAGATTTATTTATTTCAGAACTGAAATACATCAAAAATATGCTTCCAGTATTTAAAATTTTATCACAAACATAAGCAAGCAATTTTATGACAGATGATATTTATATGAGCTTGAGCAAATGTTAGAGAGCAACAAATATGACTCACAAAATAAAAACTGATACCCAAATAAAAACCCAAACAATCGGTAAAAAGAACTTGTAAATCTTGGAATTGCCATTATTGATTTAAAAATTCTTCCAGCATCATTTCTTCACATTCCCTTATATCTTTGGAGTCTCGAAATTTGACTTCTTCTGGAATTAAAAATTTTTCGAATATTTGTTGAAAAAGTATTAAATTTTTTGAAATAGTTTTGATATTTACTCTAAAATATAAAGTGCAAGAATATTTTTTAGCGAAAAATACTAAATATATATTTCAAAATTACTTAGAGAGCATGATCAAAATATCTTTTAATATTTATAGGGCTAATGGCTGATTTAAAAAATTCAACAAATGAAAGTGAAATCTTTATTTCCTATAAATATAACTAGAAAAAAACCTGAAATAGAAAGATTTGGCTGTTTCGAAATCCAATGCCGTTCCTTCTCATCTTTCTCCAAAAGTTCTTCCTTCTGTTTCCTCAAGACCTTTTTTCTTTTTTCGATTAATTCCTCATTATTTGCTATAGCAATTATTGCTTCTAAATGTGTCATTGCCAACTCGGTTTGAGTAAGAAATCGATTCAACTTTTCGAGCTGTGCAGAAAGCGAACTCAATTGCTAAAAAAAAGCTCAAATAAGATATTAAAGGAGAGCAATAAATATGACGTAATTTCAACGGTGAATTTCTTTGCTGCTTGAATAACTCAAAATAACCCTACTTTTCAAAAAAAATAAAAGTGAGATAAAATTAGAATAATTTAATTTCAATCAAAATATTATCCAGTTTTATCTATCCAGTGGATCGTCAAACTCTCTAGATGCCATAAAAGCGTAACATTTTTAACTTTAAAATTTAACAAAATTTTCTACGTAAGTTCTGAATGAATGCAATAAATGATTCTACGCGAGCTATATCAAATGATCATTTAAAATTAATTTTATCTAAAACAAAATCTCAAGGATCATTAAGCGGGATTACCTTAGATATTTTTGGTACTGTTTTTAAGGTATTATGCATTTGAAGAATACTTTCTGCTTGTTCATTGCACATTTGATGTACTCGACCCATTCGTGTACTACACAAATTTGCAGCACGTATATTTTCATCGTTCATTTGTTCGATTTGTTCTATATTCAGTTGGTATCTATAAGAGATAACAACAAATTAAAAAAAATATAGTTGTGTCATCATAATGAAGGAAATTCTATATATTAAAATCATCCTCATTGCTGTTGACGATTACTACTCTATTCAACCAAATATGCAATATAGCTGAAATCTTGCGGTAAATGGAAAATATTACTTGAGTAAAAGATTGCTTCCAGCTTGACTTTTGTACAAATTTGAAAATAGCTCAGGAAAACATCTAAAATTATACATCAGATGCTTGTATTGAACTTTAATAGTAAATTTTTAGTTTTTAAGGGAAAAAATTCTTTAAAATTCATCTTATTATGACAGAAGAATTTAAAACGCTATCAATCCAAATTAAGTAATATTCCATTTATATTCCATTTCATAATTATATAAAGAGACAAACCCTTCAGGAAACTGTTGTTGATTCGATTTCAACTTTTGAACACTGAAATCTTCTTAAAATCAAAAAATAAGTAAATAAATAAAGTTGGAAACTTTCAAATTTCTTTCCACCCATTCTTTTCAACAAATTTCCAAATTTTACGGTTAAACATACGAATTAAAATGCAGTTTATTGTATATCAAAGCTCGCTGCAACGATAAGTATAAAATATTTTAAAAAAAGAAAAATAAAAAAATAGTAAAAATTAAAAATAAAAAAAGAGAGAAAATAACAAAGAAAAACGAAAATATTAATGAAGAAGAGACAAAAAAAAAATCGAAAATTGATAATCATTAATTGGCCAAAAAAGAGCAATGATGAAGCTATCTCACGCATATCTCATCTAATTTAGAAAACCCTTTCAGCAGACGATCATCTGGAGCAGAAATTCACGCATGAGTTACCAGAATTTCAATTTTCTTGATAGATTTAAAGGAACTGAACGCTGTAATTCAGTCAAAACAACACATCCTCATTGGCAATAACATAAATTGCCTTAAAGCAATTTTCTAACGTTCTAGCAAATTTCATACCATAAAGCTGCTTCGTAGCAAAATTTGCACAAATCAATGAGACAAAAAGACTATTTTAAAGAAAAATTGGTGTTATCTGGCAGATAAAAAATAAAATTAACAGTCAAAGATGATAACAAAAGCTCTACAAATAATTAGATATAATGAAAAATCTGGCAGCTCAATAATGCTTTAAATTACGCTTTGCGAAAGTCATTTCTAATGTGGAACAAAAGGGCTCATTAGTTGTGGCCAAATGCGATTTAATTTCACTTCTAAGGAAGCTTTTACCACAGAAAAGAGATAAATAAATATAATATAAATAAGCAGAGGTTTTCCGGCAAAGTTTTCTGGCTGGCTTTGAGCACTCCAACTCGCCGGTACGGAAAACACAAGGTCGAACATGCGATGGGAAGCACCGCAAATTATGCGAGAGAGGTGCAACAGAGCAGGAAATAAGCAAAACGCTTGGAGGAAAGGAAGAAGGAGGAACCCTCGACCGCTGCCCACTTGACAGGAACCGCCGACTTTTAATCTAAAAACAAGGAAGGAAGCAAAACCGGGAGAAATCCCCACGGCTTTTCGTTTAACGAATCCATAAAATACCGAAGTGAGAAATAAATTCAAATTTCATTTTCTAATGTCTCAAAAATTATTTCAAAACTTATAAATTATTTATGAAATTTTTTTAATTGGCAATTTTCTTTAAAATCAATTTTAAATTAAAATTGTTTACATACCAATTTGAAAATTATTTATTAATTAATAATTATTTAATAAAAAGAAAAAACGAACGCATTTGACAGTTCATTGTGAACGTTCGCCAACGCTTCCCGTATGCTACCAAACATCTTCAAATTATGAACCAATGACGAATCCGCTAAATAAAATCCGTTCGAACTTCTGATCGTCGGCTTTTCGTTTCAACTGCACTCGACCACACTCCAAGTCTTTAATAAAATTCGGCGCTTATAATGTGTTAGAGCGATGCGATTGCTTGCGCGGAGAAAAACTGATGTTGCAGGCTTGGAAGGAGTGGTGTATTTGTGGTGTCAGACATAATGGACCGCTGGTGTAAATCCAATTTGCTTAATTGTCCAGTTCGTTGTCGCAATTGGCTTGGGAGGTGAGCCAGGACGGTTTTGGTGTTTGGTGATAGGTACGGCTCAAACTGGTGAAAGCTACACGATATGTGAATTCACAGTTGCAATCACATATGTATATAACAAAATTTAGAAGGAAGATTAAAAAAGCTGAAAAATTACACCAAAAAGAAAATTCCCCGAATAGTTAAGAAAGTCGCTCGCTATGCTTGGCATTTACATAACTTAAAAGAGCGGTTAACGCCATTTCTTGTTAGCTCCGCTGAGTTTTCGTACGGTTGGAAATTTTTGCCTGGGTGTCATGTTGTGATATATATATATAAACCACTGGCACCTTCGATTTTTTTAATCGAAGGTTTGCAAGCCTATCAACGAAAATCGAACCAATGGTGTTCGACGCAAATCGAAATAGTCGTTCCACTCGAATTTCCCTGACACATCTTAAATAATTTTAATTTTTCCTTTAAAATTACTCCTAAAATTTTGAAATTCCCATCGCTAAAATCTTAAAATTTTGTAGGAAAAATGAAAGAACCTAAATTTTATAATTTCTTATTCAAATACAATGAATATAAAAATTATAAAAATATAAAATAAAAATGTAAAAAGATCATTTTGTCAATGCATCGTAAAATTTCGTGAACAACACATGCCAACTGCCTTTGTAAATACAATTTGGATTTTCTCAATAAATTATTTTTACATATTAGATTTATTTATCAAACTATACTTTATAAAAGCTTTTTAGTTTTCTTGGTAAATTGGACTTTTGTAATTTACTTTGTAATTTACTTAATTTGCTTAATTACTTAATTTTGCAGAATTACTTAATTTTTCTAAATTTTTCGAATCTTTTTTCCTCCTCCACTAGCATTCATCATTTCTGGTACCATTTGCTTTTAAAAAGGAAGAAGAAACGGAGAATTGGTGAATTTCCATCCGGATTTTCCGCTCTACTTGCGAAGCACAAGAATGATTGCAAATCACTTTCTTCTTTTCACATGCGTATTTCGCGTTGGACGACAGGTTTTACTCCAGTCAAGACGTGCTAATCCATGATGCTTGACCTCGTTCATGCCATTCTATCCTCAGTGTATCCGTAATAATAATAGTTATTCCTCTTCATTTTATTTGGTGGTCATGTTTTATAACTAAGATTTTATTATTGAAATGCAATTTTGTGAAGAAAACACCATATTTGAGGGTGACAAATTGTTTCTATGAAATTCCTTTCCTTGAGCATCATTTTCAAAGGTCAATCTTCGAGGTCAACATTATTTCCTCGCATTCTGTTTTATTATTAAATAAAAATCTGTTATCTATTATCTATTTCTATTCTTCATTCTTATCTGTTATCTATTTATCTATTTCTATTCTTCATTCTTATTTCCACTTTTTCCTAACCTTTCACCGGCAAATTTTTGGAATTTTGCTATATTTTTTTGTATTTCTATAATATTCTTTATATTTCTAAGGGTTTATTTTTTAAAATTGTTGGGATATAACGATTTCCAAAAGGTCAAATGCTTCATTGGATCGGACTTATTTTTTCTTTTATTTGCTTATTAAAAATTAAAATTAAAATAGTTGCTGTTATTTATTTAGTTTGTTCATAAAGCAGGTAGAACAGTACCGAGAATTGCTTCAGATCATGGTAGTTTATCCCAATATTTTACGAAAAAGAAGTTTCATCTGCTATTTTTGACTGCAAGAAGGTTTGCACAATTCAGCTTTATTGCCTCTTGCAGTAATAAAATTTTAAAATAAATTGTAATTATATTATATATATTATAATAATATTTAAGCAATTTAAATCAACCAAATAATATCGTACAAATGGGATTTTTAAAAATAAGATTTTGGTCCTTTGGAGAATCTAAATGTCCTTTTTATTTTCATTTCCCCATCTTTAATCGCTAAAAAATATTTTATTTTCATATTCTCTGATTTTGAAAATGCCTTATGGAAATGCCTTATATCTTTAAGGGTTCGCTATTTTCTTTTTTTTAAGAGCTCTATTCTGGTTAGAGTCGCGCGCTCCGCTGGCTTGTTAGACTTAAGAAATTTTGCCAGGAAGTCGATGGTCGTGCAAGTGAGTTGGCAGCATTGTCCGGAAAGATTTTCAAAGATTTATTAACATAGACTCTTTGCTATTAGTCTACTTAATTTTCTTTTGAGTTAATAAAATAAAGAAATCAAAATGGCAATTTGTAAAATAAGAAGCCAAAACGATGAGGAATAAGGGAATAAGCGAGTTATTTTATTATTCACAAATTCATCTTATTCGTACAAAATATAATATTTAATACAATAATAATAAATATAATATTTAATATTTTGCTGATTTCATCGATCGTTTTATTGTGTCTGATAATACTTATCATATCAAACTGATAATATCCCCTCTGGGCGATCCATTATTTCTTAAACCTCTTTCTTTTGGAATTTTCGTTTTTTTAATCATTTTTTTTATTTTTATTTTTTTTCCTTTTCATATTATTTTTTCTGAACATTAATATACATTTTAATGTTTTTACATTAGTTTTTACATTGAAAATGAAATATTTTCGAAAGTTTTGTTTTTTCAAGCGAACATCATGGGCTCGTTCCTTGACGAGAATAAACCTGTCAAAGCGATGCTGTTGGAGGTACATTTGTGCTCAATTCCCAACTGATCCTCATGGATAATCAAACTAACCAAGCAGAAAAATGAACGTTGCTAAGAGCCATAAAATTCAATTTTCAGATGAAAAACTTGGGAAGTTCTTTTTCCTAAAGATAATGTGAGCCAGTTGTTGTTTTTACTATTCTCTTTACTGAATTAATCTCAGACGTTGGTAATTTGAATGAATAAAATAGGATGACCGGTGGTGATTCAGATTACCGTGGTGAAAAACAATTTTTCGACTCCTGTCTCCAACAGGAGTAAATTATTAAAAAATCTGAGTGGTTTTGGAGACCTAGCTTTCCATTTTAAGTGATACCATGGTAAAAACTCCTAATCGTACTAACAACTAATGGAGATGGCTTAACCAGAAACGCATTAACTGTGCAGTTTACTAAATCATCCAGAATTTTGCTTTCGTGCTTTTCCAGTGCAATTTTATTTTCCACAAAAATATTTTCGATCTCAAAAAAATATTTCCTTTTACAATTGGCACAGACTGTACACAAAATGGAACTATTGTTTAATGGCAAAAATCATGGCATTCAACGAAATCTTTTGTTGTTTAACAAATTTATACGAATGTTTAAGCAGCGAGTTTCTTTCTTGCTCACCTTTTCTTCTTTCTTCAAACGCTGACCGTTAGTGTTAAAGTGGCTTTTTCTGGACGTCTCGAAGTAATTCTTTTTGGTATCTTCTAAGCATATTGTAAAGTTTATAATAAGGTTTCATGTAGTTTATCAATTAGCAAAATTTTTACTAAAAAATTTTTTGATCATTGAACGTTTCGATTCATTTCACATGTCTTCACTGGTACTTTTACCCACTTCTTGAAGCCTTTTCAAAATGGATTTTAGTCATTTTGAATTTGCTATGAAACCATCGATCCATACTTACATGGTGAAGTGAGAGTCTTGCTTTATGGGATTTGAATACTTATCTCACTTTCTTTATGAAATTTAATTGACATTGTATGGAGAGGTATATTGCTTCCGTTCCAGAGTCGATCCATCATAGTTCGCCTTTCGTTGCTGAACGGAGATAAACTGGTTAATAAAAGTGGAAAGTCGAGCGCTGCTGTGTGTTCTATCTCAAAGTATCTCGCGGACGGAGCGTTCCCATTTTAACATTCAGTGGAACCAGCCAAATCAGGAAGTGTTTTTTTAGAAGAAAATATTGGAATTTTGAATATGACTTTTCAGATAGAAATCTAATAACATATTGTTTATATTTGCAAGAGGCGCTTGTAAGAGATTCTCTTATAAACATTTAACAGATCAATCAACCAACACATTCCTTCATTCCTTCAGTGATCCTTCGTTTTCATTTAATATTCGTGACAGTGATTTTAATTATGATTAACGACGCTGCAGTACACTACTCAATTTAATTTTAGGGTTAATTTCATCTTAAAAGTTAAAATCACTTTAATTTCACAATATAAAAGTTTCTTTCGCTCATTTCTTCTTTTTTGGACTTTGCGGTTTGGATTTTGGATTTGATGCAAACAGTTAAAAATGTAGTCTTTTAGAAATCGCTTTCCTTCGACATCACTCATTATTTCTCATTCGGTTGGTTCCACTGACTAATAAGAATGAAGTCCTTTGCCACGGCCTACATGAAAATAGAAACAATATGGGACTTCTGCACTCATTTCATTTTTAATAATAGAATTAACCTTTATAAATATTAAATGGTAATAGAACATCTGTAAGTTCTTACTTTCCGTAATTAATTTTTTTTTCCTTAGTTTCTTTATGCATCGATTATCGCTTTAAAACTCACGTTTTGGTTCAATTTTTCGTAAAATTAGCAAAAATTTTCAATAAATCAGTTGGCTCTGAACAATAATTTCGATGTGGTGTTCGCGCCCACCTAAATTTTTACCGCCCAAGTGATCGCCTTATGACCATCTCGTTTATCTCTGAAATCTGAAATTGATGATTGCGTCCAACGATTGTAGGAATCATGAACGTTAGAAAAAGAACGAACGCGTTAGTAGTAAATGTATTTATTCATAATAAGTTCAAACTCACCGCTGTACTAAAGCATCAATCATTTTAACGATAGCAGCTGTTACTTTGAAGATGGTCTCAAATTATTCACCTCTTTGTATATTTTTCTCTTAAAATTTATTTTTATCAAAAACACTCCTTTTAGATTCGATATTTTAGGAACAATTAATGTCTGTTCGAAAAAAATTAGGAACAATTAACGAATTTTAAAAATTTGCACGAAAATACGAAAAATTAAATCGCCGAATATTGGAATGCACCGACTGGTGTGGTGTGGAGCAGAACCACGTATCTCTGTCGTCCAGCGACCCTCTGGCGCATTTCGTAATTTCACTCTGTTAGAAAAAACATATATATTCGAACAATTAAAAATATTGTCCTACAAGTTATATTCTATTGACCATAATGACTTGTATCGATTAGTACTTAATTAGCTTGCTAGTTGTATAAACTGCATTATTCTAGGCCAGAATTTTTGCTTCCTTTTTGCTTTGTCTTATAGCACTTTTATTTTTCAGTTGTAGTTCTCCTTGTTGCTCTCAAGGCATTGGAAGTTTTTGAAGGCTTGGCGATTAGATTCTAAGTTAATATAGGGCGAAATGGTTGCTCGAGTGGTACTTTCCTTCAGCATTGGTTCGATTAGTTTTCATTAGTCTTTATCAGATGCGATATCGGTGCAGCCAATTAAATCTAAAATGGTGAGCTCTATGGGAAGAAGGAAAAAATCATCCCATGAAACAAATGAAACAAGATAATGAAACAAATCCATTATCTTCTATTGTAACATAAATCCAGTCGATGATATTTAAATTTTTATTCAAATTTCATCCATTGCTTATTTAGTAGAATAAGGAACTCGAGCGCTTAATGGTTTTCTCAACTGATCTACCAGCAATTCCGCATCCTTTGCTGCTCCCAAGCATAATCAGTCTCGGTCAGAATTCTATCTTTGTCAACTCCTTAGCTCCTAATTTTGCGAAATATCGTCGTCGATAAATATTTTAAGGCTTTTAAATCATTTTAAAAAAATATTAAAGATGACGTTTATATGAAGAGATAATTGATGATTTCAACTGATAAAGAAATAACTGATAAAAGAATTAGCCTTAACAGAGAAACGAAAAATTTTGCTATTTTATAATAATATTCTCGTTGAAGCAAGAAAATTTCTTTATATCAATAGAAATTTGAAAAAAGTAAGAATTCGAAAATGCAAATAATATTTACTATAATTTTTGTAATAAAATGATTTGTGTTTTTGCTGTGCACCAGAATAACTGCAAAATTTCGGTGCAAGATTGCGGAAACTCTTCGATTTCAATGAAACTTCACATTTCGCCTACTATTCTTTCAACTAGCATTCTTTTACTATTATCCATTAGCAATGTCCTTTTCCCTTTTAAACCATTAAATCGAAAATTTTCGCCCGATCGTTGCTATTTGAAATTAATCACCTTTATTTTGTTTCCTTCACACCAACAAGCCTCAAAGTGCAGTGCACTTTTGCGCAGAAATCATAAAGTCGCAAAGGTGAATAGAGGCATTTGATAAATGCAACGAGAATTGAGGATTGTGCAGCAGCTTCGGAGGGATGTCGAAGAAAGGCTTGAACACATATCTCCGAGTTTAAAGGAGGTTCTACCTGTATTATTTTTTTATTATAGATTATCCTAATGAAAATCTTCAACCGCTAATTCATTCTCTTAATTAATCGTTTTTTCTTCTTTTACACTCTTCGGCATTTCATTTATCTAGTGAGAGCCCTGCTAGAGTAAAATCTCTTCGCGTATAAGTGCATGTGGCCTTCCCCAGCACTTATCCAACCCTTAATCGTATTATTCATTGGAGTACAAGACGAATAGCAATTAGCGAACGGTTATCTTATAAGGAGAATCGAAAGGATTAAAATATTATAAGTGTTATAAGTATAAATATTATAAACGCCATCGGCATAAAATACTTGGATTACTTTGTATATAAATAAAATTTTATGCCTAAGAATCGATTTAAAAAACTGTAACGAAATAGGTCATAACAGAGGTCATTTTAAACAACCACTTATTTTTGAGGTCAACGGAATCTAAAAATTTAATATTTTTTTTCTTGAAACCAAATAATGATCGATAAATCGAAGAAAAAATTTATTCGATTTTATCGATATTTGTTCCAAAATCTATTTGTATTTTATGCAGCAATCGAATTACCAGTCGAATATTACGTTATTTCGAATAAGGCCCGTCATTTGACCGAAATTAAGGCCTTTTTAATGAGGCGTCTGCCTAAGGGGATCGAATTTCTTGGGAAACAATTTCTTGTGCTAGGATTTCAAAATTATTCCTTAATTCTATTCTCCATCACTGTTTTGTCTATTTTATTTTTTCCTTCGGCTTTCAAAATAAAATGTATTTATTTTATTTACATTTTATTTTATATTTTCTAAATCAATTTCCAATATAAACTGGAAGAGCAAAACAAATCAAAAGTGGCTTAAAATGTTGTAGCCTAAGGCCACAGGAAGAGAAGCGCCAAAGTCCTGGTGAAGACGTATCTCTATTTCTACCCAAAGATAACTCCTCACCGGACCATGTCTCTTGCGAACATTCACTGAAGCGAGCCAAAAATGATGAATGCTTGTTTTTCAATCGCTGTGTTCTCATTTATACTCGGTTGATTTTAATAAGGTCACTCCATCGTTTCGGCGTCATATATCAAACTTTGTTATCGCTTGATAATTAGGTTATTTTTCATTAGTATTAAATATATATTTGTTTTTGTTGAAACACTCATATTTATGCAAAATTTTTAAATTTTTTTGCTCATTAAATGGCGTTTATAATTTCCAGTTCCTCGATGAATTATCACTTAAATTAATTTGTAATTAATTTTTTGAAATTTGCTTACTTCATAACTATTTTTCATACTAACATTTTGCGAAATTTATGGAAAATTTTAAAATACTTAATAAACTATTAAAATAAAGAAATAAGTGGTTAGCGCTGCTGGTTAATTCGTTGTCGCTTAATGCTGCTAGAAATTTTTACGAGGGATTTTGCTGATTTGGCGATGAATGTCGCTATCACCCATCCTCAATTTCAATGGCAATTTACTTTTGTCTGAAACACGAGCCGAAGCCGAAGTGAGATAATCTGATTTATTACTTACTCGGCTATCCTGGCTCTGTTTTTGAGGAATATTTTGAAAAATGCATACTCTGTGATGATGTATTTAACAACTTTGTAAAATTCCATTGATTATTCAAGAGTTATTCAAATATTCTTAATTATTCGTCATTATTAGTAAATTTTCATTATTAATCATTAGAAAATTTTTTTTATTGCACGTTTATTTTTTAAATATTAGATATTATATATTTTTATTACACATTTATATTATATATGGCAGGATAGTCTTTTCTGAGTGGCCGAGCTAAAAGATTAGCTCTCGCTTCGAGTTTCAAGATTCAGCTTCTCCTTGCGACGGAAACGGGTTTGCCGTAAGGTGCTACGGGCTTGTTTGTACTTCTAGCTTTGGATGATTTCCAGGCACAAAAGTCTCACTGCAGTATTAGCCAATGAAGCGAGCCAGGGAACCGAAATGGTGAACAGCCACTTATTATTGTCTTTTATATGCTAACGTTTAATTTTTTCTATTTTTCTATTTTTTAAAAGATTAAAATTTTTCTCGCTTATTTTATTTTTATTTTTTCGAAGTTTCGTTTTTACATTCGAGTAATCATTTCCATTAATGGAAATCTATTCTAATTTAAAGCAAAAAAGGAATCATCACTATAAAAAAACGATATTTTTTAACGGCATAAAACACTCAGCATTCTTGGTTCGGATAAACCCAGTGGATGAAATTCTTGGCCAGAGGATCAATAGGGATAAAAGCAAAGGTGAGATGCAAGGTGAGATTTGGCCGGATTCCACTTTTAAGGGCATGTTTACTGCTATTGGGAGATAGAAATGGCATGGTCGATTATTTTCTCCTTCCCGAATACTTTTTCTTTTTTTTCAAAATTTCCGTTCTTGCCCTTCATTATTTGTGGAGAATTAGAAAATTTATTCGATTCCCCCGAGCGAATCGGTATTAAAAAGTGGTGCTGGCGACCCACCTGTGCTTATATCGCTAAATGATCCCCTGGAAGAAGTTGCTTATCTTATTAATAGTATGAGGAGCCAACTTAACCAGAAATGGCGAGTAATTTTTTTTTTTTTTTATAGTGAATATCATATTATCTTCTACTTTAAATTGTAAATTCTTTTTCTCCCTTTTCCCAAAACCCTTTTTTAAAACAGAAACACTATTTTCGAAGATTTTAGATTCTCAAAGGAAAAAATTCATTTATTTGCTTAATTTTTTATTTTATATTATATTAATATTTTTTATCAAATATTAATTTCTTATTAATTTATAATATAATTTTATAGAGTTTTTCTCCATAATCAATTTTACTTTGGTTCATAGATGTTTATATTGTCAATTAGTAGCATCTCTTCTTCTACCTCTAACAGCACTTATCATTTGGTTTGCTGCAATGGCTATGAGAGTGATTAGAGTTATTGCAGGAAAAAGTGTAGGGGTTGGCCTCCAGCAGTATCTCTCTTTCATTTTTAATGGGAAGTTTACTTTCATTAAGGTATAGTAATCATGATAAATTAAATCTTACTTAAATAGAAACAAAAATATATTCTATAATTTTGTACAAAAATTTATTGTTATTTAAGATATGCTACCACAGCTAGGTGATGAATGATTTTAGCCGAAAAACTTTAGAAGCTCAAGTCTAGTAATTGTTTATCAATGGTTCTCATCCTTTTTTGCCTCCTTCCTCTTAGATCCGATATCGTCGATCAAAAACTTTAATTTTTATTGACGAACAAGAAAAGATTGGATTAACGAATCAGTGGTGATATAAACTATATGATAATGGTTTTGAAAATGTTAATTTTCATCCAGTAAAGTTTTGTTTCTTGAGAAAAATTAAAAATTCCTTTGCTTTTTGTGATAAAAAAAAGCAAATAAAATAGAAAAAATTGCAAATTCCACGAATTATTTTGGAATATCGAAATGTCTGAAAGAATATCTGAAAGAAAGAAAGAACGTTTAAATGTTCTAAAAATTTATTTTGAAATTACATAAAATATAGTGTTGTTTTAAATTTTTTTCTAAGCTTTGCGGCAGATGAGAAGAAATTTTTTGCATATTTGGCTGGAAAATTGCGAAATATAACCGAAAAAGAAGAACTCGCCTTTTGTCAGTATTATTTTTTTCACAAATTCCTTTTTTCATCAGCCTCCTCCTTCATACGTGACGTGACAAGGATTTTAACATGACGCTTAGAACTAATTCTTCCAAAATAAAATAAATTTTTGTATTCTACGTAACTTAGCGCAACCTGTTTATAAATCTGGTGGCCTTTGGAAATTCCTGCGGTGCCTCAGAGATATTCCACATCATCCGTTGAGAACCATTCGTTTATATCGTTTGGCATTTATTTGATATTAACAAAACATTTTGCAGATGACATTTTTATTTTAATAATGAAACTATGGAATCCTTCTGAACATGCCTTCGAAACTATTTGTCAGGATTTTTTAGAAAAAAAGATTTAGAGGTAAAATTTCATATTATTTCAAAGGTAGCCATATTTCACATAAAATGAAATATTCAAACATTCAAACATTCGAACTTGTCTACCTCAGCATAAGCCTACAGTTTTTACAGATTTCCATCGTTTGAAGTAAGTAAAAAAAGAATCTTGTTTTCTAGAGAAAAGCGGGCATATTTTCTGGAAAAATTGAATCGTTAAAATCCAACTAAAGCAAAATTTCAACTGCACTCAGCGGATCATAATTATTTTAGAAAAAAATTATAATAAGGTAAACCTGACTGTTCGGAAATTTCTTCAGAATTAAATTTCAGCTTAAAAGCGTTTCCAGATACGATGTGGAGAAAAAATCGTCTGAGGGTATCTCGACCTGCGCTTTTTTGTATCTTAGGAATGATATTTGGCATGTCGGGTACATTGATGCTAACTTCAGTAAGGAGAGTAGCACGCATTCCGTTTTGTGATAGCGGTATCCTCAACGAAGTATTACTTTAAGCATTACTTTACTTCATATTTACCTACTATTATTGAAAATGTCATTAAAATTTCTAAAATTTTTAAAATATTTTAGGTTAAGGAGCAACAATTATTATTGGTTGGAGTAATGACTGCTGCAAAATATGTCGACTCAAGAGCCTATAATGTATGGAAAACGTGGGCTCAATTTATTCCAGGCAAGGTAAAGCGCATTGTTTCATATATCATTTTAAATATTACTTCTTTTTTTAGGAAATATTGATAGAGATCTTTATCTCAGTTGCATGGAAACCTCTTTTGGGACTATTTCATTTACCTATTTCATTTATAAACCAGTGCCGAGGACCGACCACACATTTACCCAAATGAATCTGGCGAAAGGCTCTGTAGTGCAAATGCTGTGATGAACTTCTCTTCCTCAACTAACTCTTCGGTGAAGAGGCCTTAAAATCTTATTATTCTATAAGCTTAAGCAGACAGCGAAGCAGCTCAATCAAAATGAATGTTGTTTAAAGAAGAAATGTGAATATGATTTTATATTTCAGGTTCTTTTCTTTGTTGCCGAAGATACAGTTAGCATTCACAAAGATTTGCCTTTAATACGTCTAAAAGGTGTTACTGATGTTTATCCACCACAAAAAAAGTCATTCGCCATGTTAAAATGGATGGCAGATAATTATGTTAATTCTTCCTTTAATTTGTAAATTGTATCGGAAATTGATCACTTTGATTATTTATATAATTGCATTGGGTCGTAGGGAATTTTGCTTTGAAGAAGAATTTTATTCAAAAAATTTAACTTTTTGTTTAAGTTGAAAATTGAAAAGTTTTTGCGATAAGTATGCAAATATTTTCGATTTTTTTCAAATTCGAATATAAAGATTCACAGTCTATCATTGATTAATTACAGTTAAATGATTTCAAATGGTTTATGCGTGCTGATGATGATTTATATGTGCGTGGTAGCCAGCTGGAGAATTTCCTCAGGTAAATATTTCAATTTTGTTGAGAGAAATGTTGCTGCAACTAAAATCAAGCACTATAGGTTCGATTCCTGTGCCTTGACGAGAATTTACTTTTAAATTTCGGTGGCTCATTTACCAGTACTATGGCTTTTTTCCTCAAAGCACCCGCCACCCCATTCCCCTCTGCTTTCTTCCCGCAACATGCCTGTCGATCTGAAATTCTTCATAAGCCCACGGCGCTCACAGTTTCATTCACAAGATTTTATCCATTTTCTTACTTACTTTACCTATGGCAATATTTTCCAGTCATTCATGATGAATAAATTTCAGCATTTTCGGCACTTTTTTTCTCGAGCACAATACATGAAGATTTCACTAAATCATGTAAGACTAAAATCCAATGTTTAATTTTTTAGATCTCTCGATAGTGATAAACCGCAGTTGATAGGTCAAGCAGGACTAGGAAATAGCGAAGAATATGGCCAATTATCTCTTGGTCAACAAGATAATTATTGCATGGGTGGACCTGGTATAGTAATGTCTCGTGAGACATTGCGAACTGTAGCTCCACATTTACGTTCATGTCTTATGGAGTTATTAACTACACATGAAGATGTAGAACTGGGCAGGTATGTGATTATTTGACAAAGTAAATTATGGCAAAAGAAGTTTTATATAAAATATTATTCTTTCCGTGTATATAAAATATACATGGAAAGAATAAAAGCTGTTTCTTTCTCCGATAAGCAATTTAGATTTATTGCTGGGGAAATGTAACTGTTGAGATCTTAAGGATCTTAATGGAGTCAATTAGTAAATGAATAAAAGAATTCCAGATGTATGCGAAAGCATGTCGGCATTGCATGTACATGGAATTATGAAATGAACAAGTTATTCCATAATAACCAAACAGTACCTCATGCCTATCAAGGTGACTTGTCGGAAGTTTATCCGGCTATAACTCTTCATCCAATCAAGCGACCATCAGTTATGCGTCGCATACATTTGCATAATCGAGCGTTAAAGCTTGCCGAACTTCGATCACTTCGAATTTCACTTAATAATGATAAAAATGGAGGTAAACCTCCACCACTCACTCGACATATTGCAAATGACCCTTCTGATCTATTTCACTGGGATTTTATCGCTGCTAACAATATCTTATTTTGCGCCAACCAAGTCAATTGTCCGAGGCATACAGTGGATTCAAATATTCGTATGGCTATTAATGGCATTGTAACGCAGGTAAAAATTAGTTTGAAATTGCATGAGAAAGAATAACGACGATTTTAAATCTTAAATCACGTCTTCCAAGCCATAGGTTTAACAGAGAAGAGGAAAAAACAGAATAGGCAAATGGTTGTTGCTCATATTTAATCACAGGCATCACGATTCAGTCCATGCTGCCGATAAAAACGAACTGAGTATTGGGGTTTATTCAGATTATTTAGATAGGTTACTTCTATCTTCAAAGCTTACTGGTAGAGATATCTCATCCGACTCACAACCGGTGGATTAGTCTCACTCCATTGATTCAGAATTTAATAACTCTGAACATCATAAGTTATTAACGAAGGTTATTTGAGGATCAATATTTTGTAACTTACTCATCACCCATCTGTTTCTTAGATTTTCGATGAATTTAATTCAAACGCACGACAGCGTGGTCGTATTCTTCAATATCAAGGCCTACAATATGGATATACCCGCTTAGAACCACGTTTCGGCGTCGATTATATTTTAGACATGGTTTTATGGTTCAAAAAATTCAGAAAACCACATAGGTGACCTTTTTTTAAAATTATGAATGATCCATAAATAATCCAAGATTGAGGCTTACGTCAAAATGATTATCAAAAATATATCAGATATATTTAAATACATCCATTTAAATATTTTAGCATATTATAGCTTTTTCCAAAATAATATTGTTCTTAAATCATCCTTGCCTAAAAGATAACTGATTGCTGCTGGTGATCATCTGTCCTATCGCTGAGTAATTTTCGTGGCAAAAATTTCTAATCTTCCTAACAGCAGAAACTAGCTTAACCAGAAATAATGAGTGCTAACCACTTGAAGATAATTTTAGAGCGACAGTTTCGGTTAGGCGACATGCATATATAAGACAGACTTTTGGGCCAATCGAAGCTACTACAGATTCATACATTCGTGAAACTCTTCGACAACGAGCCGATAAATTTATACGTGTTATGAAAATGAACGCTTCTGATGAAGTTGATTGGTCAAGGACTGTACTTCCAAAGGAAAATAATCATATTTATATCATCCTACCTCTCGCAGGACGTTCGGATACATTTAAAAGGTATATTTTTTACTCGATGAAATTGTTTTTTATAGCAATAAGGCCTGATATCCTTAATATTAATGGAAAATTTCGAATAATCGATCTTACAGTCGATAGATGGAAATTTAGATTTTCAAATTATTTGCGAAATGTTTGTATCGAAAAGAATGGTTTTTCCTTGGTTATTGTATTGTTTGCCACTGGAACGAATGAGGATGCTATTACTGCCGATTTGATAAAGGACTTAATGGTTGATATCAATGTTCAGGTTATTTTTTATTATTTCAGTACGATAACTCAATTCAAGGAAAGTGATACTCATTTCAATTGTAGTAAAAAACGAAATAAAAATTTTAAAGGTTGTCGATATGGGAATGGTCCCATTCAGTCGCGGATTGGCTCTTGCCCAAGGTGCTGGAATTATGCAGCCAGACGCACTTTTATTTTTCACAGATGTTGACATGCTATTTACTTGTGATATGTTTGATCGAATACGGTTGAATACCATTCGCGGAGCTCAGGTTTACTCATTTCATTTGTCGTTTAAATCACTATCTCAATAAGTATTAAAAAAATTAAGAGTATTTAATAGTAATTTTTAATAATAATAATAATAAAGATGGAAAGATGAAAGATGGAAATAACATTAAACTTCAAATATTTGCCAAAAATAGATGATTTGGCTGTTATTCAGATTATAATTTTGAGGTTGGTATTCTGCCTTCGGTAGGAATAAATTTGTCATTAAAAAATCCGGGTGGTATCGGCAATCCATCTAGTTTTATCCGATTTTGGTACAAATTTTATTATCTATCGTGGTTGTTATTTATTTTATTTCTACCAAAATTAAGCGAAATCTTTTTCATAAAACGTTGTTTCATTATGACACTTGTGATTTTAGGTCTATTTTCCGATTGTCTTCAGTGAATATTCACCGAAATCATGGTCAAAAAATGAGCGTCTTCTTTCCGATACATTTCATTACGGTCGACGACATGGATATTTTCGACATTTTGGTTTTGGTCTTGCTGCTATGTATAAGTCTGATCTCGACCTCGTTGGCGGTCTTAACGTTAGCATTCAGGTAAAATTTGCATAATTTACAAAACATGGTTGACGTTGAATTTCTTTTGAACAGAAAATTTATTAGTGTCATAGGCATAAAAATTGAGATTAGATAGTTTTATTGCGTCAGTATTAATAAAAAAGCCTCTTTAACCTTATTAATTAGCTACATTTTAAGGGATGGGGAATGGAAGATGTGGATCTATTTGAAAAATGCATCAAATCACCACTGCGAATTTTTCGTGCACCTGAACCAGCTTTAATACATGTTTATCACAAAATTCACTGTTCAAAATCGATGCCTCCAACTCAATATGAAATGTGCATTGGATCAAAAGCTGCTAGCTTAACATCGTTGGATTATCTTGTTGATCGAATTACATCGCAATCCTGAAAAAAGGATCCAACCATCAACTATCATCGTCTATCCACCCAATCCCATGCCGTATGAAAATTTCCCGATTTTTCAAATTCCGGTTAACGAATTATTTTGTATCCATTCACTTGTTTTTGATGAGATTTGTGTTTATTTTATGCTATCCTTACTCTCACATATTTTTTAAGAATAATATCGGTGTATTTATTTTCCCGAAGAGTTTCCCGGCTTCACCGTTTATCGATTGTACATCATGTATGAAATATTGTCATAGCGATATTTTATTGTTTTTTTTTTCGCAAAACACATTCCTCATTAAATTTGAATTATTTTTGTGCCGAAAAAACTCTATATTGAGCATAAATGCAGAAAGAGCGAGAAAAATAGTTAGCACCATTTCTGGTTTCTGGTTCGGCTCATTTAATGGTTATTGAGAAAATATGAAAATTTTGCCATAGAATCGTTTAGGGAAAAGAAATACAGATTCATCCTTAGGACCCTTAATTAACATGTGAAAAACTCAAAATTTTCATTTTTAGTTGCACATAATCAGTCAGTCTTGTGAAAATAAACTATCTCAGATTATCACTGCAATCCAGCATCTCAAAACAATAATGTTTATTTAGAGCAAAAGATAAACGAAAACTTTTCCTAAATCCCGAAACTCTAGATCTAATCTTTATATAAGAAAAATTTTTTAATTACAAGAATAAAGAACGTAAATTCCTCGCATATATATTAAATAAATTTAATATATAACCCAGTGGCTCTCGGATTTTTCAATTTTTTACTCTCAAGATCAGATATATAAGGAGTAGCCTTTATATTACCGAAATTTTTTGAGATATCCAAAATTTCTAAACTTAGAAATTTTATGGAAACACTGAATCAAAATTTATCTTCTTAAGGAAACAATCAGAATTCATAAAACATGCTAAGGCTTAGGCTGAATATAATAACCTTAAAAGTGATATATGCCCTATTATTATCATGAATAGCTCTAGCACCAAGGATTATCAGGATAGACAGGTTTCCTCGGACTATCTTCTATGAACTATTGATATAACCAGCAATAAGCGAGAATATTCTCTAAATTAACGTTTTCATTCCAGTTACATAGTTCATAGAAGGTAAAACATAGTAGTACTTGGTATAGCGAGAAAAAAATTACCACATGAAACGTTGTTTAATGCCGGGCTCATTCAACCATTCAAAAGGTTTTTCAAAGAAAAGATACAAGGTTAAGGAGTTAATAATGAGAAGATATAAAAATTCAATAATTAATACCCATCTCCTATTTTCCAGTAATGCCATTCGCCAGAGGATGAACGAAGCAATAAAATATCGCGGTTCCAAAAGATGTGCTGGTACAAGAACAGAAGCAGTTGACAATAAAAATAAAAGAATATTTGAAGGAGATAAATGAACAGTAAATTCCTTCATAATATATAACGATATAAGATAAATTGGCATAAGTAAATACTTAAAAGATGGATGATACAAGAAAAATCTACGCCAAATATAAAATGTATAATGACGATTATCGGCGAGCAAATAAGGATGATCCATCGTAAAACAATAAATACAAACCGTTATAACACCACAAAGCACAAAAGTTCTAATAGGCATAAACAGAATTTTTCTAATTACTTTTGGTATAAATCCAGAAAAAATTATGAGTGGGACAATGTGAAAACAAACAAAAAGAGAGAAGTAATAAAGTTGCATAAAGTGAGGAACAATACGATGTGCTTCATGATCACCCAGAACAATTTTTCCATCATTCATAATGACAAAGGACATAAAAGCGATGAATAATAAAATAAAGCTCCACAAATCGAGAAAAATTTTTATTATGGAGCCAATCAAATTTTTATCATCGACATTTTTGATAAAATAAATAAGGACATACATACCAGCCCATATAATATTTGTCTGTCTTGTAAGTAATGCAAGGGTAAAAAATATTGCAGCTTTTAAAGACGATTTTGATGAAAGTGCCCATAATAAGGTCGTAAGAGAAAGAAGATCTGTATAATATAGGATTGATGAATGAAATAAAACGGGAAGACACAAACTTAGAATGGATGTAAGGAAAACTTGTGAAGATGTGAATAATCGCCGGTAATTACATAATCCAACAAAGGCAAAACAAATTAAAAATGAATTGATATACCTTTCGTTTCCACAAAAAAATGGTACTGATAGTAGATAAAGGGCTGGTGGAGTCGTTATCTTTCCATTCCAACTGAAAAAAAAAATCCTCTGACGATAGGTAGATAGATAGACGATAGTAAAGACCAATCTTAAGTAAGATATACTATATAAAGTACGATAGAAGATATAGTGATAATTATTTAAATCACTGAAATAATTTCAGCAAATTCTTAGATTTGACGAAATACTAATCACAAAAACAAAATTTAATTGTTACCATCATTACTATAATATATATATATATATATATATATATATATATAATAATGGCGAAATTTTTAAAAAACCCAGGAATATTTTACAATTTATCAACAGTTAAACGAAGAAATTCATATACCTATAATTAGCAATGCAATATCGCCGAGTTTGATCAACATGGAATATTTCATCCATATATGGCATTGATACTTTCAAATAACTAAAATGAACAAAACAAGCATGCACTAATCCTAATATCGATCCTAATATCCATTTCTTTTCTGAAAAAAATTACATATATATACATAAAATTTACTTATTTACTTTTTTACTTAGAAAATTTACTTTAGATATATATATATATATACATAAAATTAGAATAGAAAAAATATATATATAAAATTTAAAACAAAAGCAATACAACAACATAAAAATAAAAAGAACTTTAATTTCTTTTTAAGATAACTTTTATTTTTTACGTTTATTTTTCTTTTTTCTATTTTATTTTCCTTCCCTGGTTTTGCCTCTATCTTTGACAGGAGTATGTTTGATATCAAAAACCCGAGTGCCTGCTCGGGATCCATCTGTAACCCTATTCTCAAGTGACTCTATGATGAAAAGGTCTGGTCCTGATACACATTATATCCGATAACATATGCGATAAGTATGCAACAAGGAATAGTAAACCGTTCCTAACCGTTCCTGAGAATAAGATGTACTTTTCAGGGCAATTGCCCAGAACCCCTCAAGAGGAACGAGAAAATGTTCGCTTGCAGTCTGAACGAGCTGCAAGGTATTTGCCATAGTCCTTCTAACGTCAGGACATTTATGGAAATCAGGAAGATATACTACAGAAAAAAACACAGGCCAGAAGCACCAACTAGATTTTAACTTAAATGACTAGTTTCAGCAAAGAACAGTAACCAAATTTATGATAGTTTGATTTCTATCAGAATAAGATACCAAAAACCAGTTAAGCAGGGCGCAAACGGCGCAAACGCAAACGCTATATTAATAACAACAGTTAAAATAATAAATAATGAGAATTAATAACAAAAATAAAAAAATAAAATTAAGAATTTAAAGATGAAATAAAGAATTACAAAATAATATAGTACAATTCGAAATAACTATAATTGGGTGGTAAAAATCGAGATTTCATCGAGAGAAAATCGAGACTTCCTGCATGTGAACTTTTTAAATAATATCATAAATAATATTATCTAATCTTTAATGATTGCTAAGAATGACACACAAACTATATCGTTCGTTATTATTCCAGTAATTAATAGTACGAACAAAGAAATCACGAATCCTTAGTTAAGTTTTACACATTGGTTTTAATAATTTTAGCCCATTAGTTCTTGTTGGATTCAAATTTAGCCTAAAATTATAATTTGAACAATCTAATATAACCATACAGAATAAGTATAAATTACAAGTATAAATTAAATCTTGTTTAATAGGACGAACTGAAAAAGAATCCAGGTTATTGCAGAAGTTTTCTCTTATAATTAAAATTGCGATTAGGCGAGAAACATCATATAAAATATTTTTGGAGTCCTTCAATTATTTTACTTGATTTGCGATATCTCGCGGATTAATATATAGCATTGTAGTCAAGAAGAGACCCAACGAACGCTTTGTACATTTTGATTAAAAAACCTTCAGTTTTGTTCTTAAACGAACGAAAAATAAAATTTAGTATTTTTTGAGGATTTCTTTACTATGGTTCTGCAGTGAAGGTCGAAATCGAGCATCTATGATTATTCCAAGATCGGAAATGTGTGAGGTTCTACTGATTATATTACCACTGATAAAAAGATTAGGAAAATCGAAACCTTTGGAATTGATATGAAGAAGAATTGATATGAAGAATTGATATATTTTTGAAAAGTGTAATTTGCTTGTCATAGTTGGCTATTATGTTGAGGTCCTCATGCAGTGGAGATAGATTATCTGTTCTACCATGAGAATAATAAATTTTGCAATAATCAGCATAAAGATAAATAGTAGAATTTAGTACATATTGGTGATATCATTTGTAAATCGTACTACCCCTCTCTATTTTTTGGATTTATCCAAGAGTGATTAACTATATTCTGTGACTAAAAAAATTTTAATAAATGAATGAAGGAAGAAAGGAAAAAAAATAATTCCTTTTGCTATATGGGTAAGAAAATCTTCGATATTGGTGACGGGAATGCGAAGGTCAGAAGGAAAGAGGTACAAAAAAATATTGGCGAGGGGTCAGCATGGGAGAGAGAAAAAGAAACGAAAGAAAATTTAGGAGAAAAGGAAGAGGAAAATGAATCAACCTCTAATCAACGCTACCACGTGGCCACAATGCAATTATTATCAAAATTTCAACGATTAATTTAAATGGGCAAAAAATCGAAATGAAGCAAAATGACTTACTGAAATTGCTTTCAATCATTATAGTAAGTGCAAACAAATAATTTTCGGCAAATTCGAGATTTTCCCACAAATTCAAATTAATCAATTTAAAAAGAAACGCAGTAAAGTATTTCTCATCAATTCATCGCCTGTAAATAAAAATTATTGACAATAATTTTCAGCAGATTGTCGAACACGTAAGAGAGAACAGTCGAGTGGTTGTTGCTTCGCCCCGGAAGGAATAAATTAGGGACTCCTCGAAACCTATCTACACCGTCACCGACCGCCAGGCGACCCTTTCATTGAAGGCAATCTCAACTGAGAAGCAACCATTAACATTTTGTTTTCAATTTTAAACCAATCATCCTTAATTGCCGATTTAAACTGAATATTTTCACTTTTTAATTTCAAATCCAACTCCAAATTCAAATTCCTAACCCCTTTTATCATTAAGAAAAGCACCTACGAATGCGATCACAACAATCGAAAAACAATGACAACCCTCGGCTGCCGACCGTTAGAAATGGGACATCACTATAAGACGGCATCGGTTGATTACTTGATTCACTTGATTTATCTTAAGGATAATATTAGTATTGTTGTCGTGGAGCGGGTTTTTTTTAAAGCGGGTTTTAGTAGATGTAACATTTTATTAGGTGGGGAATATTATTTCGGGTGCTATTCGGTTATTCGGTCCACGAGAAGATGAGAGGAAAGTGGATCCATGCGTTTTTCTTTTTCCCTCTTCTCTTCCTGTTTTATTTTTTTTCTCTTAATTGCTTCTCGACGATACTTCAGAATAACTTAAAAATCTTTGTGTATGTTAGTTCATTACATTCGCAGAGATTAAGTTCGGTTGACGAGAGACGAGTGATCATAAAAATAAAATCTCACTGGTGTCTTTTCGAGTGGCTCTCGCGCAAAAGGAGTTTTGCTTTAATAGCCAATGTTGCCAGTCAAACCAGAATATTTCCTGTTGGAAGAAGAAGAAACTTCTCTCACTGCTGTTTGCATTTCTTACTCTCTCAGATTTTTAGTGTTTTTTTTTTGATCTTTTTTTGGAAAACAGTTATTTTCATTTATTAATCCTATTTTATAAATCCATATTAGTGTCGCTTTTGTTCTTTGATGTATTTGGGAATGTTTTACGTCATAATCATCCATTATTATTATTATTAATTGCATTAAAAAATAATGTAGAATTCAAGTTCTTATAGGCTAATTATTTTAAAGGATGAGTGGAAGGCCATTGGTTCGAAAATCAGATATTGGAGCTCCTCCAGCAAGGCTTTCAGGTGGCGCACCTCCTAGCCTCTCAGCAGCTCTTGCTAGAAGAGGAATGAGAGGTTATTTTTTTCATTCACCATTTTTGAATCTGTCAGTGGTATGCTTGTGTTTTATCAGCGAATGCTCATATAACTGATAGAATCATAAATGAATCACCCTATATTTATTTATCACTTTTCCGGGTTATTAAATTATAATATAAATAAATTTTAAAAATGGTTAGTTTAGGTGGTTTTAAAGGAGGAATTGTCGGGAAAAATTGCGGTACTATGAATCGTAAAAGGCGAGCTGGTGACATTTTGGAAGAATCTGATTCAGAATCGTCATCTGCCGCTGAGGAGAATGATAATAATGAAAGTGAAGAAGAAATAAAAAAGGAAAAAGAGGAAATTGTTGAAGGAAAAATGAGAAAACCCCGCAAAAAGCGGCGTTTTAGGTATTTTTTATCAATTTTTTGTCAATTATCTCTTTTTTATTTCTTATTTCTTATTTTAATTATTATTTAAAATGAAATTTATTTTTGGATTATAAATATCATTATATAGGTTCACTGATTCAGTAGCAAAAGCCAAACGAAAAGCCGAAAGAAGAGCGCAGCTTGAAGCGGAACGGAAAGAAAATGATGAGTTAGAAAAGCAGCAAGAAGTATTAATTAATTAATTGTAATTTTAAGTTATTTTACCGACTATTTTATTCTCTAATTATTCAAATTAATTTAGAATTAACTTAATTTTATTGCTATTTAATTATTAAATTAGACAAATTACTAAATTTCCATAGATTATTAAATTTATAATTTTATTGAACTAACAAAGTCTTTTGTAACGATAGGCAGAAAAAAAACGAAAAAATTGCAGATTAACAAATGAGTTATTAACAAATTTGGCAAATTTATATATAGAAACTATGACTTCAAACTCCAAGAATCTGGTTTGAGCTAGAAGAACACAGAATTTGTCACGCTTTCACGACTTGAATCTACAAAATGCATAGGCATTTGACCGCCTTGCATTTTTATTTATCTTAGGCAAATTATTGTAGATTTCGAATTTCAATTTCTATATTTCAATATTTTAATTACAGGGCAAGAAGGAAGAAGAAGACAAGAATAAATCGCCAACTCCTCCACCTTTACCTAAAGCTCCGATGATTCGTAGTTACTCACCTATGCAGTTGTTGTGTGATAATTTACTTCGAAAATTGCAAGCGAAAGATCCTGAAGAATATTTCGCATTCCCTGTCACACCGTATCTATTTTAATTTGATACTTAATCTGTTTTTAGTGATGCTGTGAAATGACGATCTTATTTTCAAAAAATGTCTAATTGTTGATTGATTGCTCCTCACTTTTCATATTATGTGAATGAATATTGCTGATATTATCTTTAAACAATTATAATTTTAAATTGAAGTTATTTTAGGTCAATTGCTCCTGATTACCATGAAATTATCAAAGAGCCAATGGATTTCTCGACAATTCGTATGAAAATCGAAGCAAATGAATATCAGGATTTAGCTAGTTTACATAATGATGCAAAACTTATTGTGAAAAATGCGTTAAGCTATAATGAACGTAATACAATATATCATATTGCTGCACAAAAATTGGAAACCATTGTAAATTTTTATTTTTCGGAGCAAAATCTACGATATTTATATCATACTTTACCATTTTGCAAGGTTTAACATTTTTCTCGTTCATTTTCCAGATTTGCAATATTGTTTTAATAATTAAATATTTTAGGAATTATTACAACATTGTATTGAAAATTTTTTGAAAAGGAAAAAATCATTTCTTTTGCAGTACTGCTGTAGATAACTAAGGAAATAGTCTGAACCAAAAGGTGACAGTGGTAATGATCGGAAAGAGAAAAATGAAAGAGAGGATGGGAAAGCAACATACTACGAAAAATATACGATCACTATAGCATATAGTGCTATACTTATAGCTATCACATTACGAATAATTATTGGTGTTTCCTTTTGATTATCAGAAATTTGTGTGCATTTCCCTAATTCATTTGTAAGATGGTTGATTTATGAAATAAAAAGTAATTTTTTATCGTCGTAGATTTCTTAATATTATATTTTTGCAGGACATTCCACTGGAAAAAGTAGGTTTAACTCCAAAAGTACGTCCTCCTATATTACCAAAGGTACAGCGTAATTTTGTAATAGATAATATGACGACATCTTCGATATTGGACTCAACAGATCCATCTATTAGACGAAAGTTGGCTACAAGAGTGCCAGATCTAAGTGTTCTTCCTAATTGTGAATCAGGAAGAGAACCTAAAGCTCATTTGGCATTTTTGGATAATAAAGATGGCGCCGTATGTTTAAATATTGTAAATTCAGTAACTTCTGAGAGAACTTCTGTGACCCTAGGCGATCTCATTGGGAAATTGGATGAAGGAACTCCTGGATTGTGCACCCCTGCTGATCATAAAATACCTCCTCAGGTTACTCTATTTCAGCTCTTCTATTTACTGTTTTTAATTTTTTTATTAATTATTTATATAGAATATATAACTTTTATCCAGTTTTTAAAAAGAAGAAAAAAAAGATTTTCAAAAAGCAAAAATCAAAATTAAGCCAAACAAGAAATTTTTATTGCATTCTTCAAGGAAATTTATGGAATTATTTCTAGGTTGTGCATTTATTTTGAAAATGGTTTCTGATTTTTAAATGGGAAATGTAATTTTAAATGGGAAAAGAAATTTTACTCAAATAAAATTTGGATATTTGTTGCAGATGCCTATTTCATTTTTGTCATATGGACCGTTCAGTTCATTTGCTCCACAGTTCGATTCTACTTGGGCAAACTTATGTGAAAGAGATTCTCGATTACTTCTGTCTACTTATGCTGATAAGTGAATTTATTTTTGAACTAAATATATTGTTTAGTTAGAAGTCGTAACCTTGGAAAGTTCTAATGAATTGAAATAAGATGAGAAATGAAATATTCTAAAGGATATTTGCAAGAAATTTTAGGGAAAATGCTGCCAATGCAATTTCTTTGCGACATATGGTGGAAGATGCTGGTGAACATATGATAAAAATTGTTGATGATTTGCTTGACACACTCACCGATGGTGAACATAGTAAAACAATTTCTGCACTGGAGAAAAAGGAGCAAATGAAGGTAAATTTCCACATATTTATGACGAAATTTTCTTCAGACTTCCATCTCAAACATTAAACGAATTACATCGAGAAAATTGAGTATAAAATTATATAAAATTATAAAATAATTTCATTTATAGATGCCCGATCTTGATGATGATGTTAATATGGATAAACTTCTTGATAGTATCGAAAGTTTAGAGAACCTTGGTATAGATGTTTCATTTGTTCCAGAGGTTCGAAAAATTTATGGATCAAAAGCTGTTTCCAAAACTTCTCAAGTATGTATATCAAAAAAAAGAATTGAACCATTAGGAGAAATGAATTTCAGTTTAAAATTTAGTTTAGTTTAGTTTATTGGTTTATAGTTTATTTCAGTTTTAGTTTAGTTTAGTTTATTGGTATCGAATTTAAAAATCTAAAATTTAAATATATATATATATATTTATATATAAATATAATAAAATATATTTAAATATATTTGTATCTAAAATATATATAAATTTAAATTCTAGTCAAAATTTTAAAAATATTCTTATCCTCTAAATCTTTTTGATATCCCGCTATGGGTGATCATGATCATCATCAGGGTCCTTGGGTCCTCTACCAGAGGCATGGGAAATTGAGAATTCTGCGCAGTATCTTAGCTGTTCCTAATAATGCACTCTTCTGGATAGAGATCTTATGTTGTTACTGGGATCTGTAAGGTCACTTTTCTGGTTTAGGAATCGCAGTTCTAAGTTCTAGTTAACACTGAAATTACTTGGTATTTACTTTCCACGTCTTCTCCTTTGGTATTTACTTTCTACGTCTTCTCTAGTTCCTCTTTCAGCCCTTGGTATTTTTTAACTTTTCATATTCCTTCTTTCTGACGTTCCTGTCGCTTGGTATTGCTATTTCAATCACCATTGCTAATTTCTAATTTTTGTCTATTATCACAATATCTGGTTGATTGGCCAGTATTTGCTTGTCTCTTTGTATAGGGAAGTTCCAAAGATCTTCTCCTTCTTGTTCTCCATGATTTTCTGAGGAATCTCGAATCTCCCATTTAGCTTTGGGAAGGTCTAAACCATATACCAAGCAGATGTTCCTGTTGATGATGTCAACTACTTGGTTATGTGTTCCAATGTTTTATAGTATGCATTTAGAGTCTGTTTCTTGTTTGAATGGATCTAGTGTTTGGTCATATGCTCCTATTGCCTTTTGATTCGGCTTACTTCAACCACTTCGATGCTTGATCGTTTTCCAATGTCTGTAAATGCTTTATACATTCCCTCAGCAGTTTATATTTATCCTTTAGAACCATTTTGTTGTTTTTGATGTGTTTTTGATTGCTTCAAGTTTCCTTTAAGATAATGGCTTTCACAGTCACCAAGCCCCCCCTTTTTCTTTCTGGTTGATTTACAGCCATTCGATGTTATACTTAGGTAGAAATTTTCGTGCATTGTGAGTTTTCTGGACTTTGCAACAATAGCCTCCATATCTTTTTTTATCCATCTTACAATCCAAGCTAATGATTTAGAAAATGCATATGTATGGCATAGATTTTATTCCTCTCATTGAGCTGGCTGTCTAAGATTTATCTTGATACTTGTTGTTGCAATCTCATCATGATTGCCATGTAACTGAGAGATGCCAAGATACCTGTAGCTAATCTGTATATCTGCTATATATCTTGACTGCAGGTTCATCTCATCAGTCATTACTATTTTTTCTCTTTGTTACCATCTGGCTTCGAATGAATTCCCAATGTCCTCGCTCTAGATCCGTATTAGATGGATAAGCGAGTCAATATCTCGTTCACTTTTTGCATATAACATGTGGAAAAGATAGCTGAAGATAGTTTCGCTCTTGCCTCCATATTTGGTTCTTCTGATCATTTGACTGATAGTTTTGGATCTGTACAAAACAGTAGGAGAGATAATGCGTCATCTTGATATGCCGTACCTTATAACCACTTATGCAAGTTGTGCAGATGATTTTAAGTGCAAGTGTCGTTTTCCCCATTTCAGTGAAGGTCTTTAAGATCCTGTTGATTTTGCACAGAGCCAGACATCATAGATCTATGTGTGGGGCATTGAATCATATGCTTTCTTATAGTCAGTAACAGATTGATGTATACAGATTGATCTGTCGGAATTTTGAATCTTGAGCAAATACCTTATCTAGGAGCAGACGATGTTTGGAGCATCTGGTGTCGTTTCCAATGCCTTTTTGAATTGCACTCATATACTGGCTCATATAGTCATGGAGTTTAATAGCTATGATGCCTGATAGGATTTTCTACACTGTGGAGAGGCATATTATTGGTCGCTAGTTGGATGCTGTATATTGAGGTTGCTGAAAAATTTTAACAGTGGTTACAAAAAGCTGGAGCAAAAAAAAAGCTGAAACATGATCATAGCGGTACAAGAACAAGTACTAAGTACCAGGTCCATCGATCAGGGATTTACCATGTCATACAGGTCTTAAAATGCATACTGTAAAGAAACCTCAGAAACATTCCAACACATAGTGGCAGATAGGAACAGCTTACATAAACTATTTAACCAAGTATCTGACATGTTCATGGGAATATCTCAATATATGGTCCTTCCTTCCAAGACGAGATGAGAGATTCCTCAAAAAATCATGAATGATAAGGTTAATATTCTGTGAGGCTTTCAGGCAGACTAGCAAATATTGACTAAGCAACCATACATCATAGTAGTAGACAAGAACCAGAAATCGGCATTAGTTGAAAGATACGGTAAAGACACGACAGGAACTCCAGGAAGGAAGAATATAAGACACTAAAGAAATAACAGAGGCTGAAAGAGGGAAGATGTGGAAAGTGAAGGCCAAAGTGTCCCAATGGTGATAGGAGCTCCGAGGGTCCGATCCAGAAATAAAAAATTCCAACAGGTCTTACGAACATCAACAAGAGGTTTTTATCCAGAAGAGCGCAGTGCTAAAAAACAGCTAGGCTAAGATACTATGCAGAAACATTAAGCTACCAAGCCTTTAGTAGAGGAACTGCGGTATGACCTATAACCCACACAGGGAACGAGGAAGGAATTTTTGGATATATTTATTTTAACTTGGACAGTTTTTGAATAATTATAATTTTTGAATTTTTTGTTGCGACGAGAATTTGCAGTTTTGTAAATTGAAATTTATTTAACGACTTAATTTTTTAAATAACAAATAACATAAAAATACTCAACAAAATTTTAAGGATATGCTGGATAAATCTGGTAGAATGATTGCTGATTTAGCGCATTTGCAAAAAAACCGATTAAGTTCAGCTCCTCCAGTAACATTGTCGGATCAACCTGCACCAAGTCATTTAGAATTAAATTTGGCTGGAAAACTGCAAGATCAGTTGCAATCTCAAATTTTGCAATTTGCAAAGCCTGTTGATTTAATTTCTGCTCCAGTTATTCATAATGCAATTGGTTTGAATGATGAAGACATCGACTTATTAAACGAGTTTTTTACACCAGCTGCTTAAAATTTTATTTTTCATAAAAGAAGAAATTTCTTTAACTTATAAAAAAATACCTTTCTCACCCTTGCTCTCTGTGGGTGATCATGATGGTCCTCAACTTCGGGTCCTTTACCAGAGGCAAGAGAGATTGAAGGTTCTATGCAGTATCTTAGCTGTTTCTAATAATGCGCTCTTGTGGATAAAAATGTTGCTTGATCCTGTTGATGCCACTTTTCTAGTTTAGAGGTCATAGAGGTCATTTCGAATGGTGCAATTACCACTGGAATTACTGGAATCACCTTTACTTTCTCTATTTCCTTTTTAAGCCCTATATTTACCTATATATACGTATATCATTCTATATCTAGATCTCAAAAATCGTTTTCCCTTCGCGTCAGCTTTATTATTTTTTAAATATTTGCCACCATTTGTAATATTGCTTGCAATGTTTTTTTACCTATGCAGAATTTTAGTAAAGTGTCAGAATGACGATTGTCAGCAAATTCTTGGTGATGAGAAGGTCTATGATTTTTCGTCTTTTTTGACCTATTAATATGCTTTGGTAGCCGAGTAATCGCTGTTCACCTTTAGATTAGATTTTACAGTAGCTAAAAATATTTCATAATTTTTAACTTTTTTCTTTTAACCTCTTTTTAAATGGAAAATGAAGATTAAGTTAATCTATTTATCAGAAATGGAAATTACATTTAAGCAATTTGCAGACGCAACTTTTTATTTTCACATTTTTTCTTCACCATTATAATTAATAGTTAATAATTAATTTGCGAGAGAAAAAAGTTTGTTAAAAATACTTTGAGAGAGAATAAAATTTGTTAAAAATACTTATCGACAACAATCATTGAATATAAACAATATAAAACAATTTTCTGTAAATGCTTTTTACAAGTTTATGAAGACTCTAATACTATGAGAAATTTATAAACACGTAAGATGTTTTAATTCTAGGTAAAAGTATGAGAATAGCAGAAATTATAAATTATCTATAGACATATTGCTTTCTAATCCAAGTAACTGCCGTTGAGTGAGCAACTTATAAAGACCATCTTCGGCAATTAACTCTTCATGACGACCTTGCTAAAATTATAAAACGTAAGTTTTAAATTTTTATTAAAAAAACTTCGAAAAATCTAAAATTTTTCATGAAACAAACCTGTACAACTTGTCCTTGATTAATAACAATAATACGATCGGCTTTTTCAACTGTACTCAGGCGGTGAGCAATTATAATAACAGTCCTTTCTCGGGTGCACCGCGAAATTGCCTCTTGTACTAAATGTTCATTTTCCGCATCCAGTGCTGATGTCGCTTCATCTAATATCAATACTGCTGGTTTTCGTACTAATGCTCTTGCAATTGCAATCCTTTGTTTTTGACCTCCTTAAATTATATTGGTATATTTATTTCCTACAGGAAATAAATATTTAATGTTTTTCAATAAAAAATTTACTTTCTTCCCCTAATAAATAGTATTTAACTAGAGACCAACAATACAAAAAAATATACCCGACATTTGAACTCCTTTTTCGCCACAATTCGTATCATAACCGTATTCGGTTTCCATCACGAAGTTATGAACATTGGCCATTTGAGAAGCATTTAACATATCTTCTTCAGTTGCCCAATCGCAACCATATAAAATATTGTAACGTATGCTTCCATCAAACAATACTGGCTCTTGTGCTACTAGCGCAATCTCAAAATTTTTGCAAAAAAAATGTAAGCAAGAAAGACTCATCAAATATAGTGGGCGTTTTATTGGGTTAAATTTTTATGCCTATAATGATATAAAAGTTTATAGAACATTCCACAAATGAAAAGGCAAAAAAACTGATTTATAATTGCAAAACTATTTAACAATGGTTTATTAAGAATGTGGAACGAATGGTTTTTTCACCTTATACAATTTAAATTTGAAAAATCTTTCATGAAAGTGAAAAAACCACATTTCATTTCGTTCCAACAATGAACTAATCTAAATAGCATTTAAAAAAAAAAACCTTTTCATGAATATAATGATGATCATATTCGGCGATAAGAAAATCATCAAGATAAATACCACCTTCAGCTGTATCATAAAAGTGCTCTATCAAAGAAATTATCGATGATTTACCACCTCCACTCGGCCCAACGAGTGCAACTGTTTCACCAGGATAAATGCAAAAACTTATTTCCTGTGAAAAGATTATATAATGAATCCAGAAGATTTTACAAGACCAATGAATGATGAAAAAATAAATAACTATAAAAAACCTTTAAAACAATATTGTTCGGCCTTGACGGATACCAAAACGTCACTTGATCAAACTCAATTTTCCCCTTTACAGGTGTTTTACGTGTTCCATTATTCAATACTTTAGGTGCTCGACACATATATTCAAAAACTTTACGTGATGCACCTACACTTTCCATTAATCCAGTAAAAGCATATCCTATACTCTGAAATATGCCATTTCTTAAGAAATATATCAACCATTCAATCGATTTCCAAAATAAAGATTAAGCACGCTAAAAGCACGTTAAAATTTTACTAACATAGAAATTTTCGCCCAACTGCAATTGGTAAAAAAGAAATGATATCAAATTGCTGATTGACATTTGCCCTTAAAAATACGAAATTATAAAAAAAAAATCCATAAAAAAGTAATAATTTGAAAATTTGAAAATAGAACCAATTTTTACAAGTAGAAATTCAAAATTCATTTTTAAAAATCTTAACAATGTTTTGGATATTTCTTTGACATCCCATAAAATTTAGAAGTAATGTATAAAATATTCTGTAAAAACAAGCAACTTTATAATAGGGCAACTTTCACTGAATTCGAAGACGATGGGCAAAAAAGTTCTAAAAACCGAAATCGAAGACCGAAATTTTTATTTTATTAATATTAGAACAAGCAAAACACAAAATTTAGTTAAGATTTCAGCAAAGGAATGAATATGTTAGGTGAAAACAGGATTTCAGACAAAATTTATATTTGATTTCAGAAAAATCAACATTATTACATTTTTTGAGCACTACAGATGCTCTATGCCGTGGACAAAACTTTGTTTTACTGAAAAAATGCTCAGTAGTTATAAGTGTTCCCAAATATTTTTGAGTTTTCTTGGATAGTTCTGTACTATTTTGACTTCACTAACTACTGCATGGAACCTCATTTCATTGGCACCACATGAATATAGTCGATTCATCATAATTTTTGTCATTCACGCAAATTAAATCAATAAGATGCATTGCCATTCGCTTTTCGACATTTTAAGGAATTTTCAATAATTATTTTTCATATTTGATTTGAATCTTTGGCCGATAAGCATAAGCAGTGAGCAAAAATTCTTTGGATAAATTTTTATAATATAGAAAAAAAGACGATTTTTAATTCACGGACATCGTAATATCAATTAAGGTTCATATAATTACACAGCAAAGGACCATGTTGAGAATTTTTTAATTTTAATTGATCAATGAACTAGTTTCTTGACCCACCTGAGAGCTGTAGCAGGTTACAATAAATAATTTTAATAACTGAAAGAACGCTGGAATACGGCAATCGAATTTTTAGCGCTCATATTGCGCAATTTCTTCAAAAAAAGTCAAGATTATAAGACCATTTCTGCCAAAACGATTTGTATATTGCCGTCTGGCATTCTGGATTTTCAACACAAAACAAAACGAGTAGTAAACCCGTCGAAATTAACCTTTCCACCATATAATCAGATTCCAATATATAATCCCGCTCGCCAGCCTATTATAATTTGGCACAATTAAAACTCAGGGTGATGTTGGGGGATCTAATGTGTCGTTCTTCTTCAATTTTGTTCTATTTTCCGATAAAATTCCAATCTTACCGTGAAATAAATCTAATAACGAACACTATTCTAAAACACTATTATTATTATATAACGAAAATTCCATCTCCTTATACAACATAAGAGTGCAGGACAATTTTTGAAATGGTCGACTTTTCATATTTCCATGTTATTTCTTGTTTAATCTGCTTCATATCTGACAACCAAATGCCACATTTACAACATCTCTAAGGGTAATACAACCACTTCGCATGGATACAATCGAATTTTTGGAAAGTTTCGATCTTCTGTTGCTTGACCGAAGTCGAAGCCAAAGGGATCTTCGGTACAGCGAATAAAGTAAATAGATAAAAGTTTAATAAATAAAATGGAAATAAAACAAACCAGAAATAACGAGATGTCCTCCGTAGCAAAGCACAGCCACAAGAATTACATTATCACAAAATTCATTTGCCCATGTATAACCAACATAAACAATACTTCTTGTTCTATTAATAGCAAATGTATTTTGTAAACGTTCCTTAAAACGATCAACTTCTTTCCATTCACATGCAAAAGATCGCACAGTACGAATTGTACTAATTACTTCATTCGCGACGTGATTTGCATCCGCGATAGTTTCTTGTATCTTTGTTGATAATTTCTGAATTTATTGAAGAATGAATTTATTGAAGAATGAATTAATTTAAAGATCAATTGACCTAACATAAAATAATAATCATTTCTAAATAATTTTACTTAATTCATACATCATAAAAGGAACCGAAGAGATTTGTAATAAACAAAACGAGTGGAATAGTAATAAATGTGACCATCGAAAGTCGCCATGAAAGCGCAAACATGAAAATGAGCCCACCAATTATCATAATACCATTTCTTAAAAATACATTAACATTCGTGGCAACAGTACTTGACATTACTTGACAGTCAGCTGTTAAGCGAGATACCACTTCACCTAAAACGATATATTTTCAACTCACAGAGAAAAGATAAAATTAAACAAAAACATTAATAAACGTGAAAATAGAGTATTTAAATGGTTAGCGCTTACCGTCATTGATTAGGCTAGTTCCGCTGATTATTAGAAGGTTATCAATTTTTACCAAGGATTTTCCTGGTGATGGAAAAACTGGATCAACAATTGGATCACCAACACTACCAGGATTCCCTAATGTGATTTACTTCTCCCACAGGAAAGAACCTTGCCTCTGAACACGATAATCTATACCACTACCCACTCGGCTATTTTTCTATTATAGATCAGCATCCACTTTACAAAGCTAAAATGCTAAAATATATGAAATTTAAATATGGTTTAAATGGAAACTTTATCATAGCTAACAATGTGTTCATTCAAGACGGTTACCCATATGTGATTTAGTAGTGTATAAGGCCGTAAAAAATTCAAATCGAGAAAGGTTTTAATGATAAATGATAAAAAATTGAAAATACAAATATTATTTAAATTACACCTGTTTTAATTACGTCAAAAAAAGCAATCTCCTGAGAAATAACTGAACGAAAAAGATCTAATCGCATTTTTCGATGTACCAATGATGCAGAATAATCAAAACAACCACCGCGAATACCACCAAATAATGTACTGAAATTATTGCTGATATTAAAAAATCCCTTTTTTATCCCTTAAAATGAATGGGTGTTACAAGAAGTTCTCAACCTCAGATCCTCTACTGGAGGCCTCAGAACTTGAAAGTTCTCCTCCGCAGTATCTTTGCTTTTCCTGGAAATCTCTAATATTCTTGGAATCTATTGGAGTTCCATCTTCTCTAGTTCCTTTATAGTCCCTGGTATCTTTTTAGCTTTTCATATATATTCTTCTCACTTGGTATTGCTATATCTACCACTTGGTGATTCAGAAATTCAATCACGGTGAATATTCGTGGAGAATAATTTGAATTTTTGCATAAATTATGCGAATTCAACAAATAATACTATACTATTCACTGTTACTATTCACTATTAATAAATATGGTGTAATTAAATTTATATATACTATATATATTTTATATATACTTTGATTCTTGATTCTTGTCTACTACCAGCGCTTGGTTTACTGACCAGTATTTGCCAATACTTATTCACCGATATATATACACATATAATATATATAGATATATAAAATACAATATATATACATTTAAAAATGTATATGAGGCAGAAAATCGTGAATAGGATTATAATTAGACATTCTACCAAGGCTCAGTAAAACACCGCCAGATAATATATTTACAGAGTTCAGAGTTCTCGCAATAATTTCTACTGCCACTGCCACTATAATAGAAACTAATGAACTGGACCATGCCACAGTATGCCACAGCCACTATAATTCTGGAAATGCTGGGGTATAAAATCATCATCATATAAGAATAATATATAAATCATATAAGAATAACATCGCAAAAATAGAAAAATAGAGGAGAAGGAAAGAGCACAATATAAAGAAGGCAGCCAGCTGATAGAAAGATATGAAGAATAAAAATAATATGCGGATGCCTGGAAAATGCAAGGGCTATACCCCTTCAGAAGCCCTGAGATACCAAAGCTCACAGCATTGGCCAAGGGAGTAATAACGAAATAGAGATTAAAAAGAATTTAAAAGAGAATTTCAAATGCTCTATTCTCCAAGAAACCATCCAAAGTTTCAACTTCATTGCAGTAACATGGTAATAGAGCAAAAAAATATAAAATATTGAAGAATAATGAAGAATATATGAGGGAAAAAAAAAATTCACAACGATGTAAAATAGTTGCATTTTTCAACAAACCATAGCAGCATCCCGCAGCAATTACCATCATAGTTATTGACATCCAACAGCGATTCAAGAATAATATAAAAAGTTGGACACCACCTGGTGAGGACATGATTCACACTGGGTTAAAAAAGCTAGCAACAACAGTTCATGAGCGCTTAAGAATAAAAACTGTGGCTTCTTGTGGTTGATTTGTTAACAAGGAAGGATGGTCAATCATGAAAAATCTTCATAAGGGACAAAACCGTCCAACTACCGGCCAATAATCTGCCTCTCCACAATTGGTCTGGAAAGTTCTATCATAGCTATCAAGTTTCATAACCATATGAACCATGAGTACAGTTTAAAAAGGCATTGGGAACTTCTAAACTGTTCATATGTGTACAGCTTGGACTGATTATAATAAAATCTATGATTCAATGCCCCACACATAGATCTGTGAATGTCTGGCTCTCTGCCAAATCAACAGGATCCTAAAGATCCTAAAGACTTCATAGAAATGGGACTGTGGAAAACGACACCCAAGTCAGCTTGCACAAGTGGCTATTAAATACGGCACATCAAGATGACGCATTATTTCGCCTATCGTTCTGCACAGATCAAAACTCTGATAATCACGAGAATATGGATACAAATTCAAGAGCGGAATTACCATCAGCTACTTTCTCTATATGGATGACATCATGTTATATGCAAAAAGTGAATGAGACATCGACTCGCTCATCCATACAACTCGGATCTACAGCGAGAACACTGCGATATCATTCGGACTAGAGAAATGTGGCCGGATGGTAGTAAAGAGAGGGAAACTAGTAACGATTGATGAGATGAGCCTGACGTCAAGACCTATAGCGGACATATTTGCAACAAGTACCTGGACATCCCATAGTCATATGGCAATCATGATGAGATAAGGAAGCCTGCAATATTCAAGATTAAAACAAATTCTAAAAATCCATCTCAATGAGAAGAAAATCCACGGCATATGCCATATGCAATCATCAGGTACGTAGCTGCATAGTAGTAACGTGGATAAAGGAAGAAATGGAGAGTGCCGATATGAAGAAAAGGAAACTCCTCACAATGCACGGGGACTTCCACTTCAAATCTAGCACCAAAATACTCATCTACACCAGCTGGAAGGAAGGTAGATGAGTATGATATGAATGATATTGTCTTGAAAGAAACTCGAAGTATTCAGAAACACAGAAACACATCAGCAAGGCAGCACCAAAGGAACAGCTGCTGAGAGAATATCTGAAACAACTACAGACATTGGAAAAAGATCAAGAACGGGAAGTCCCATGGCGAAACGATAATTTCCAGGGGTTGTACCACTGACAAGTAGCTGAGTAGCTGACATCAAGAAATCCTATCAATGGTTGGAAAAACTGGGACTAAAAAGCAACATTGAGGAAATGATCATAGCAGCACAAGAGCAGGAACCAAACACTAGGTCCATCAAAGTAGGAGTCTACTATACCAGATAAGACTCAAAATGCAGAACGCCTCAGAAGCAATCCAAGAACATAGTGATCGTATGTAAAATGCAAGAAGGAACAACTAAAAGGCATAACCAAATAGTATAATCACCGATCGAAATATCTTCTCGGCATATGGAGAAAGGAAGATATGGAGGCTGCTGATATCCGAATCTGAAGATCAAATGGGAAATTCCTCAGAATATCGTGGAGAATAATGAGATGAAGATCCTATGGGAGTTCTCCATCCAGACAAACAAAGTACTGATCAATCAACCAGATATTGTAGTAGATAAGAATCAGAAATCAACTGGTGATATAGCAATACCAAGTGACAGCGACGTTAGAAAGGAATATGAGATGTTAGAAAAATACCAAGGGCTGGAAAACGAACTAGAGAAGATGTGGAAAGTGAAGGCGAAAATAATTCCAGTGATGAATGGAGTACTTGAATTGTGACTCCTATACCAAAAAAGTGGCTTCAGCAGATCCCAACATCGAGATCCACAGAAGTTATTAAGTGCAGCTAAGATATTGCGCAGAACCCTCAACTTCCCAGGCCTCTGATAGACTGGACTGAGGTCGAGGATGACCATGACCACTCACGCAGGGTGAAAGATTTTTTCTATTCAAATGTAAGTAAAATGAGAGTTAGCGATAAATTAACCGACACTAAATTTTGAAAGAGTACCTTAACGTAGTTAATATAGAAATAGATACAATAGAACGAAGCAACGATGTTATTTCTCGGGTTTGTACGATAGTTGCGACAACTTGTCCCGTAAAATATGGAATAAAGATACGAGCTGCAAAAGAAATAAAATAAAAATATTCTATAAACCATATAATTAAAAAAATTTAAAAAATAAATGAAGTGATTTAGAATAAAATAAAAAAAATTAAAAAAAGAAATTACTTCCAGAATAGAGAACGAGAAAAATAAAACCCGCTAAATACCATTGCCAATAATTTAAACAATACTGTAATAATCGTACGGCATGTTCAAAAGCACCTTTTCTTGAATTTTCAGAATCTCCCGTCTCTCTTGCATCATTAATCAACGAACGATAATTGAACGACGATCTTGAGCAAATGATAAATTGCCAAAGAATTATTAAAATTACTGTTGAAACAATAGAAAACGATAATGAGAACCAAATCCCAGGAATTTTCCAGAAATTTTCGTTTTCCGCAAATGCCAATAATTTTATAAGCGCACATGCCCAGTTTATAATTGAAATACCAAGAATCGTTATAGAAATACTTTTCGATGAAAATAATTCAACATTTCGAAATTTTAAAACTATTCCGATAACGGTGAAAATCCACCTTCCCATTGATAGAATTAAAAAATCGAACGGATTTTTTGTAAAATTATAACCTATAATAAGGTAATTTTTTCGTAAAGAATTCATATGGTCTAAATGAATGAAAATTTATGATCGATTCGGTGGTAGAGCAGCTTCTGAATGCTTCTGCAGAGACTCTGCTCGGAAAGCAAATTGGAGTTGTTTAGAGGCAATTAGGGATGCCCGCGAAATTGTACTCCTTTATGAGAGATAAAATTTACCATCAATTAGTAATAACTGATTTAATAAAACATCGATATTAAATTCGAAATGACCATTGGTGTAAAATCCAAATAAAAATATTGTCATTAAAAAATCGAATAAATTATATAAGCAAAGAATGAAAACAGCACACAAACCATCCATTATTCTCTTGAATCTGAAATTTTAAAATTTAAAAATAACGAAAAAAATCAATTTAATAAATAAATCAGTGGTCCACGTCAACGAACCAAGTCGGAGGACCAACTACTCAACAATGGTACCCACTGACCTGTTGAGCCACCAGAATCCAAAATTCAGTCCTTTATTCCGACAACACAAAACACCTTCGGTTGACAACAAATTAGGTAACAATTTGCTAATGAACTTTGAAATTACGAACGCTATCCCACCACGAAAGATAGGAGTGACGACTTTTTTGTACTTTTTATTGCTTGAAGTTTACTGAAAGGTGGCCACAACATGCCATAACATATGACGAATTGATTTTTGTGGTCCTTTTTTGGTCCAGTTGGTTCGGTGGTTGCGTCTTCTCATGTAGCTGTTTTTTATTGTTTATTACTTTGATAAGTTTTAGTGCGAGTGATCATGTTTTTCTTCCAAGATTCCTTCTGCTATATATCAGAATAAAGAATTTCCAAAATTAAATGAAATGTGATTTTTATCGTCCTTTTTCCTTTTTTCCTCATTTTAATTTAATAGTAACTAGTAGGATTTATAAATTCTATTTGAGAAAAGTACATTATGCTAGCATGAATTTGGAATTCGCCAAATTTGGGTTGGTTTGAGCGCTAATCGATATATTCTCGGAAAATCCTCGTTGGATATTTCAGATCATTCTTACTGAGGAAACATTTGAATGTTACTGGTCTTTGCACAAAATAATCCGTTATACCTATGTACAACTTTATATATATATATATATATATATATAGGGATAGAATGGCTCAGTGGATTGTTGCTCAAATGAAAGCGCCGATGCCGAGGTTCGATTCGTTGCAGGAGTAAATCTGCACAAAAATCTGGGTAATGCTGGCGACTCACCTGTATTTCTATCGCCAAGGGGTTCCCTGGCATATTGGCCAATGCGACAAACCACTGGAGCTAGTTTAATGAGTAATGGTGAGGACTCTTAAAAAAATTGTATATATATAGTTCCTATTCTATGAAATTTTTCTATTTTTCTTGCTTTTAAATCGTTAAATTTTCTAGTTTTCCTTTAAGCAATTAAGCAAATCAGCGGTCACTATTTGTGTCTCTGGCACAAGTAAATTTATCGCAAAAGGAATGCGGTCGGTGCTCAGTGCATCTGGTGCATCTGTTGCCGTGTAATTTTTTCCTTAGGAAAATTTCTTATCGCGTTAAGAGCCAGTGATGGGTACCTAATCTTATTTGTCATTTTTCGTTAGGTTCTATATATCAGTTTTCAATAGAACTTTGCCTGAGAATCGTTTACTGGTAGAATTATCAAGTGGATCCGCAGCATTACACGATTCTTTAGTGACTGATTCACTCCAAACGGCAGAATTTTTTGATTGATATAATCTAAGCAATAGGTGTTTTGCCATAATGCCTATACTTTTTTGATGTTAGGATTCTTTTGATTATAATAATTCTGGGAGTAGGCTGCAGAGTAGTTTGTTGCTCGTTTGACCATCGATGCTGAGTTCTCTTGGCATGAAAAAAATTTTTTTTTAAAAAACTGAGTGCTGGCGACTTATTCGTATTTTTCTTCCGTGGTTCCATGAGAAATCTGATTTGGCAAGTCTAAGCCAGCATTTAACAGCTCTATTGAAAGAAAATTATCATTAATATAACACGTTTATAGTTTAATTTTTGGCTATTTCATTATTTCGAGTAGTTATTATTTCGTTTATTTGATTAATGATAATTTTGATTTTATTTAATTGTTTAGTTAGTATCTTTTTTTATAGATCTCGCCATTATTGGCTGGCTTTGCTGGCTGCAAGAGTAAGGCATTTCTAGGCTGTTTGATCTGGTGCAATCGCTGACAGTAATAGAAGCCATTTCCTTTTCCATTGCCTAACTCTATATATTGGTGGTCCACCTATGCGTTCAAAAATCTTTTTTAACTTTATCAGTCTAGTTCTCGCCTTGATACCATTCATCGCAAGGTTTAGCAAGTAACGAAGTATATATGAATTGCTTTAGTGAACGATGAAGAACATGCCGTAACCAGCGAAGACGACGTTTTATTATGCTACGGTTAATACAAGTGGTATCTGAGCGAAGGTGGATACAATCATGTGAGATTTTATCCATTCGGCTAACCTGTAAAATATATCGTAGACAAGAGTGATCAAAGGTAGATAATTTCTTAATATCCTCCATTTTCATCGGCCATGTCTGGCAGTTATATAGCAAGATTGGGGAAATTGTGGCTATATAGACATTGGCTTTCGTTTTTATGGTAATTTCGCGACGGCTTTATGCAAATTTCGCCAACAGGAATATTGTATTCCTAACCGTTATGTGTTTTGTCATTTCATGTTTCTCTTGGCCGTTTTGAATTACGGTAGATCCGAGATATTTAAAATTTTGCACTTCTTCAGCCATTGAACTGATGGAATTACGTATTTTATCAACTTTATATTCATTGATCTGAGATCGTTTCTCGCTGCAGTTGTCGATAAATTATTTAGCACTTTTTTCCATTTCGTCACAACTGTCAGCAAAAAGGACTGCATCATCGACGTATTCAAGATCTGTGATGATATACTCTGGTGTGATTTATACATCTCTTGGATTTCGATCGATATTGTGCGATATTGATATTCCTTATATGCGCTGATAATAAGTTTATGAGTCGAATGATATCGTGATATCTCTGGAATAATGTCACATTCCTTTCAAAATGCCGTTCTGTCAATTGAATCGAAAGCAAACTCGATGAAACAGGGTTGCCGGTATTTCCAACTTTTCTTAGCGTGAATATTTGGTCAGTACAATACAGTAGTTTCTGAATCCTGCTTTTTTAGTTCCGTATTGCCATAAGTCAACAGAAGGAAAGCGAAAATTTTTTCGGAAATATCTAGTTGGCTGGTCCCTCAATAACTGTCACATTATAATTTTTTCCGGACTTGTGAGAATGATTTGTTTCGCTTCAATCATCTGCTATTATTTTCTTGCGAACCAGAGAATATATTTACTGAAGGTGTTATAGTGCATAACATTTGAAAAATTCGAAGTCCATATCCAGGAGTTTTATTGGCTTTAAGTTTCTGGATGGTTATTTCCTGTTCTTCTGTTGGTGCTTCGCAATTGCAAATGTATTATTCGACGTATCAACTATTTGGGCAACAGATGGCGCATTGTGGTTTAATTTGGCCTCAAAGAATTCCTTTTATCTTACGAGGCGATTCTTAATACTCTTAACTGTTTTATAAAGAAGATGGAATTATTTCTTAGTTTCCTATTATCGCTTAATCGAGCTGCCATCTCAGGTGTGAAGGCTCTCTCCCCCAGTAGCAATTTCTGCCTTGCTATGCTGCTTTCGTTTTATTCAACCGGTTGTATGTCTTATCTCGATTCATAATATGACCTTATCCATGAAAATTACTACTTTCAACATCTGGATAGGAACGACTGTCTAGTACGAAACTCTTCAAATGGCGATTGACCAAGATGTAACTAGTACGTTCGCAATGTTGAAAATCTGAAAAATTCGATTTGACTGGAAGTCTTCTTCGATATTAGAAGTATGTTTTAGTAATAAAAGTGTTCTTCAAGAAAGCGAATTTCTCTTCGCATCGGGCCTCGATCCTGTATTTGTATTAATGAGTTCACTGTGGCGGTATCATTACTTACACGTTTATTCCAGTCTTATTCGATTATAATCATCTTATTGGATAAAATGTATGACTTTTCGCAGTCATCCGCTCATAAAGTTAGAGCATATACATCGATCACCGAAATATTGCAGAACTTTTCCTTGAGACGACCATAGGCCATACGGTTGTATATCGGTTTCCACTCAGTGAGGGCGAGATTTCTTCAGAAATGATAATCACTACTCCATTTCGCCTTGAGTTATCCGAATCGCCGCAGTAGCCAGTGTCTCTGCTTGGAGCCAGGTTTGCTGTAGAATGAGAAAGGTAGACTTCCGACAAGCGACATCCACACGATATTTAGAAAAACTTTTGATAATGATCTTGTTTCAAAATACATAAGCATTCTAACTTTTCACGCTGCTGCTACGGCTAGCACTTAACCGCGTTTTCCTTCACAGGTTTCGAGCAGTTATCCTGAGCTTATCTTATTCTTAAGCCGTGGTGTCGTTTTACTTCACGGAAATGCATATTTGTCTTGTGCACAATCGGGCCGGAATCAAAATAGAACCTTTCACCATAGAGTTACTTGGTGAATAAAGTTACAGATGGGTCCCTGGCAATACCCGTATTTTTATGATCATGGCAAGTTTACTGTTTTCAAAGGCAAGAAAATAAAATTAGAGAAAAAAAATAAAATAAAATTGAAAATGCAAAGATAAATAAACTGAAAAAAAATTTATCTCAAGAGAAACTGAAATTTTTTTCATTGTTTGTTTCTTTTTTTTGTCGAAATTTATATACATGTAGCGGAGGACTGTAGAGTGTGCGAAGCTGTAATCCGTAAGAATTTAATAGAAGTTTAGTTTAATCGTTTGTAGCAAAAAAGTTCCAGAGACAATATAGAGAATAGTAGTGTAGAAACGACCGCTCAAGAAATAAATTTCTTAAAATTTTTAATTAATTAATTATTGATGTCAATTAATTATTAATTTGTAATCTGTTTAATTAGTTATTATGGTAATACGCATTTAAAAAATTGATATTAATTGATATAACAATAAATAATTTTTTTTTAATATTAGCCAAGAATAGTCGGATAATAGTTGATACTGATTCAAATTACAAGGTTTCAAGGTTTTTTCCCATTCTCCCCTGCTAATAAAGTTTATCATTAAAAAATCCGATGCTTACCCATGTGTTTCTCTAATATTTCCTTGGCGAAAGTACTATGATGCATTGTATTTAATTAGGAATGATGAATGGTCGATTTAAATGATCAGTAATCATTCATCAAGAAGGAAAATGGTATTTATAAATGAATTTTTGCCTTAATGTTAGAAGAAAAACTCATATGAATTGTTTTATGAAGCTTTATTTCATGTTAATGATTATAAACCCAGAATGATGTAAAGCAAAATAATTCTTTCTTCCTTTCAAAGTACTTTTAATTTGTTCAGCAGCTAAGAGAATTGAGAATTAAGAAAATTAGATGGATCCATAGCACCACTATTTTATTTTTAATGAATCTTAATCGGGAAAAAATAGCTTCACACAGATTTGGGGATAGAATAGCTCAGTGGGTTGTTGCTCTATTGGGAACGCCGATCCGATGCTGAGATTTTTGCTGGAATAAACCTGTACAAAAATCCGGGTGATGCTGGTGACTCATCTGTATTTCTATCGCTAAAGGACTCTTTGGCATATTGCTCAATGTGACAGGCGCCAATGGAGCCAGTTTAACCAATAATGGTGGGGACTCTTGAAAAAAAAAAAATCGAGGAAAAATACCACTTGATAGATCGTCCTGTACAATAAGTTATGGAAGATAATAACGATAAAAATTATAATAAAATTATAAGTATGAGTGAATTTATTTTGTTTCCCTAATTTTGATCTTTTTGTTCAACTAAAAATAATAATAATTAATGACCGGTTTCATCGTTTTATAATTTTTACCAAAAAGTTTTTAAATTTTTATAAAATTTCATTTTGATAACTCTTTTATCAGTTTTAATATTTCATAAATAAAATTGGTGGCCTATGTCAATTTATTAGATTAGTGAATTTTTAATTTTTTTTTTACCATTAAAATTGAATATAGTTATTGCCATAAGAGAATTTGATGTTTAATATTATTGGGAATTTCCATCAATTTAAGTTATATTTTCTGCCATTTATTAACTTAATATACCTAAAAATGGTTATATGATTGAGGTTTTGAATATATGAATACGTATTTTGCAGATTAATTTTGAAGGGTATTTCGATAGTAATTGATGGATAGTAATCTTGTGAAGTCTTCTATATCATGAGTATGCACGCACCAAGTAATATTAAGCATGAGCACGTTGGTAAGCCATCAACATCGAAAATACAGCTACAACAAGAGCGAAATTCGTCTCGATCGTCGAGTCGATCGAAATCTTCTCCAGAAGTTATAGAAGATGAAAAAATTATACTGAAACTAGCCAGTCCAGTTGGTGGTGAAGCTTTAACTTTTTATTGGCCATTACGTGAATCACCTGGTTATAGTGAAGGGCAAGAAATATTGGATGTTGTGAAGTAAGTACTTTTTCACTTGATTTTAGCCTAATTTTTCTTAGTTCTAATTAATCTTTGCTCTAATTTTCTTTGGTTTGAGATTTGGTAAAAATTATGCAAAAAGTTTAAAAAAAAATTGCTGATAAATCTCGTTATAGGGAATCATGATTTTACGTTTTGGCGAAAGCGAAAATCATAAAATTTTGCAAGGCTCTTTTAACTTTAGCAACTTGCAAATTTTAAAACATTTTTTAGGTGCAAATTCTTCTTTAAACATGAAAATTTTGAATTTCTTGGTTTTTAAAAATTGGATTTTTTATCGGGGTATTTTTTATTTGACAAAATTTTGAAAATGCAAGTGCAAAGCCATTTGGCCTGTTGAATCTTTGGTGGTTCGATATTCATTTTCCAATTTCTAGCGTAGTTTTAACAATATTTTTAGTTGATATTCGTGTTTCTTACCATCTGAAAAATTGATTATGATCTGAAAAATTGATTATGATCAATTTTTTGACTAACATGGTTGTTTTCTGTTTTTAATGTTTTCCAGGATTCATTTCGCTCTTTTTTCTTTAATTTTATTTGTTCTTTTCATTTAATTTGTATATGACTAATAGCAGGTTATCCTAGTTTTTAGCCTAAGTGGTTTTGTAAGTTTCAATTTATTGTATTTATTGCAAGAAAAAGAAATTTTTTATTCAGGAATGTTCTGTCATCGTTCCCTGAATTAAATTTTATCGTTCGACAACATTGTGGTCTAAACTTGGATGCAATTGACAAAAAAAAGTAATATCTTTTTTATTAGATTTCATGAATATTGCGAAGAAATGCAGAATGATCGAATAATAAGTTAGTCGATTGAGATTGAGCATTATTTCTTGAACAAAAATAAACATGTCGTAAACCTGAAGTCATTTTTGATTCTTGAGTAATAGTCAATAAGTGATACTCTAAAGTTCACCATTTTTGGCCCAACTATTAATATATTTAGAATTTTATTAAGGAGTTACTTGGAATAGAAATATAGTTGAATATACTCAGCGTCTGGATTTTTTGATGATATATTTATTCCTATTTTCGTCGAGTCAGATGCCTTGATGCTTTTTCTTGTGATTTTAAAAAGATTTCACTTTTTTTTGGGAGATTGCCTTACCTGAGATCAATTTTTTAAAAGTTTAAGATAAAGAATAAAGAAAATTAAGGAAAGAATAAAATCTTAATACTTTATTTTATATAAGGGTTCCAAATTTGCAACAAGGTTGACAGAATTTTGAAAAAGCGTTGAAAGAATGAAAGAATTTAGAAATTGATAAATTGATAGTCATATCTTTTTCAAAGTTATTTCAGTTTCGACCAAATGAGTTCATTATTGGAAGCGTTTAATAAAACAGTCCCTGCAATAACCCAGTTGGTTCGTTTTCCAGAGTTACGAAAAGATTTTAAGTTACTAGTAACGTGAATTTCCATTTTTTTGAAACATTTTTATTATTTGAATAAATGAATGAAAGTATGAATTTTAGACAATAAAAGTTCATAAAAATTTTCTTAGACTTCAAAAATTTCGAGATGCTTTTTGGTACTTGAAAGTATCTGAAAGTTTTGTATGACTATATCGTTTTGGTTCTTTCAAAGACCCTACAATGTTATTAAAAATTTTTCTTTTTCTCAGTGGAAGGGTGCTACAAAGCCAGGTGGCGAAATTTGGTCGGCTGAGCGTGCTGATCCTGTGCTTTTAAAACAGATATGTACGCGTGCTTATAATCGAGCTGTTGATAATGTCAATCATTTAAATAATCATTATAAAGCTTTTTCATCGGAGACATACGGAGAAACTTCGTATGAACGATTACGAATGATTATTCAAGAAATTACGCCAAAGGTAAAAGCGATCGTTTTTTATATCCTCTGAAATTCTTGCTCTAGGCTATGAATGAATTAATAGAATAAATTTACCTGGAGTAATGTTTTGATTAAAGAAAAATTAATGAAATCCTTAAAGGAAAGGGACGTTTTTGTTGATCTTGGAAGTGGTGTTGGGCAACTGGTAATACAAATGGCCGGTGGTTCTCGAGTAAGGAAAGCTGTTGGTATTGAAATAGCCTCACTCCCTAACAAATATGCTCAAAATCTAGTTATTGAATTCAAAAAGTTAGTTGTTGAACTTTTTTTAAATTCAATCTTTTCATCGTATTCCTTTTTTTCATAAAAAAATATCCAATTTTTCATCGGTTTAAAGATGGATGAAATGGTATGGTAAGAAATTTCGACCGTTTGAAATTTTCAAAGGCGATTTTTTGGATGAACGATTTCGGGAACTCATTACTAAAGAAGCGACTATAATTTTTATCAATAACTATGCCTTTACGGCCGATCTGGAAACAAAAATTAAAAGGTTGCTGATAATGTTATCTGAATTATTAGTTTTTTGATGTTATACTTCTAATAATATCGGTAGTAAATTGCTTCTATTTACGTTATTTGATGATTCTTTTTTCATTTTTCTAGCATTTTTCAATTAAGTATTTAATCGAGAGGGCATGTATGAATATGAGCTATCTTTCAGTCTTACACATTAATAATGGGATAAATAAATTGAAAGTTGAAGTACAAAAGATTTGGTGTTGTTTATAAAAATATTTTCTTTCTATATAAATTATCTTTAGGGAACTCCTAAGTGATCTGAAAGATGGTACAAGAATCATATCTACAAAGCCATATGGTCATGTTAATCGTTCCATTACTGATCGACATATGAATGGTTAAAAATTTTCAATAAAAAATTTAAAAGTTAAGAAGTTAAAAGTTTATATTAAGAAAAAAACTAGATCTAAACTAAAATTTTTTGACAATTTGATCATTTATGAGCCACCAATGTTTTTTAATAATATTTGAAAACATTTTCTCTCGAATTGTTTAGTAAGGATTTTAATTTACAGATATATCTGCAATATTGGATGTTTATGAGATGTCGCAATGCGAAAATGCTTGTTCTTGGACGGGAAATTATGTTCCATACTATCATCATACTATAAATCGAGCTAAGGTTTTACTCCTATTTGTTTTAATCTAATTTGTAATTTATTCGCTTTTTTATATCGAATTTCAGTCGGAATAAATTTGTCTTTTAATATTTTTTTTTCTATTCTTTTACGGAAAACTTTTTTTAAGCGAGAATATATATCATTGTTATAGAGAATATCTGGCTTTAGTTTTATAAATATATTTGAATTTTTATGCAAAATTTGCTAATTTAAAAGTAATATTTTAGTCATACTGATTATTTTGAAATTGTAATTTTTTTTACAATTTTGAAAATTTCAGTTAGAAAAATATTTTTTGGCTCAGCGTAATCCATCTTTGAAATTAGCTAGTAATGGCTCAGATGAGAGCAGACGTTCATCAACATCGAGTAAATCTCGTGATAGTTTTCGTTGTTGGTCTCGTGAATCAAGCGTTTCATTGCCTGTTCGTTCAAATACTCCAAATATTCATACGTCCTTAAATCGAAGTCATACGCCTAATGTAGCTGGCCGAACTCAGATCACGAAAATAAGGCGATCTATTTCCCGTCAATCTGATGATGATGATTATGCGTGAGTGTTTTTTTGGATTTTATCAGCTATATATTTCTAAAGTAACTTCTGGCATATTCATTCTAGCACTTTTTGTATTGTTTGGATCTCATTATGCTCCATTAGCCGGATTAAACTTTTGCCGGATTAATCTATTGATTAAACTTTTTTTCCAGCATTGGACCGACAACGCGTAGTAAATGGCAGGAATATTGTTCAACGAAAACGAAACGAGCCCATTCTACTGCTGTCCCTGTCTCAGCAAATGACATTGATCCTGGTGATGCGGGTAGCGAATGGAGTAATCGCGACTCTGATTATGTTCCAAATAAAAAAATACGGAAAACTGGACTTGGCCGTGGACGGCCACGAAAAATTAATCTTGCAAAGGTGGTCATTTATTTTGTTTCTTATAAAATTATTTTTTGAAAGCTAAATTAGACTTTAATGAATTAAATATTGTGGTGTTATAGGTTGTGGCTGGTAATACCAAGGAAACGAGAAATTTGGTACATGAAATGACTTGTACAGTTAGCGTTCAACCACTCTTGCCTATAAATCATCCATCTATCGATATTATTTCTAGTATTAAAAAAGAGGCTGAAGAGAATGAAATTACTGAGACAATAAAAGGAAGCAAGTATCCAGCGCTCAATCGGATGCTAAGTACTTTATTTTATGTAAAGTTGAGGAATTCAAATAATGTGCACTATTGGTGTTTGGATTCTGCTGGTTGCAATGGTATTTCCAGGTTGCGCGATCCGATTTTATTCTTAAGCCACTTCTTTTTTACCTAAGCCCATATATCAGTGAGCCGCTTATACGTTCAAAATTTCTTCTGGTTATATCAGGGTCTTGATTTTTCCTCATTCTTGGCATCGCAAAGCTTAGAAAGTAGCGAGATATTCCTCAGTTCCTGCGATAGGTGGCAAAGAATCTAATCCAGCATAGGCGATGTAATGGTTGTTAATATATGTGATATTCGAATGAATTGATGCTTCTGAATTATATGAAATATTATGTTTAACAATCACAAATGTAAACGAATAGTTCATTAATGATTTTGACGATTCCATAGAGGTATCTCCAAAAGGGATTTCTAGATTTGTTTATTTGGGCTGCAATTTGTACTTCATTTTTATCATTTGGTTTAAGAATGCACCCAAGAAAGTTTGTTACTCCCTCAACATATTGGAAATTACTGCTAAATATATCTGTTGTATATTAAATCTGAAGTAGACAAATTTTTGGCCATTTTTTATTTAGTTACTTCGTGATAATTGTAATTAAACGTAAAATTTTAGGAGATCTTCGCGATTTATTTGAAATGCAATTAGAAAGAATGGCTTCACCTGGTTTACTTCATGAAATTGAAGCAGAAATACAATCTCAAATGGTATATCTATCCAGATGTTTGAAAAATAAATGCGCTGCTATGTTTTTATTTTCTTTCATATTAACTGGGTTAAGTGGGTCTTTCATATTGAAATTTGTTTTATTTTGCCTAATTAATTTTAATGTTATGGAAGATTTTTTATGTTGTATTATTAAGTTATTTAAACATTTTTATTAATATATTTATTATTAAATATCTTATTTTTTAAAGCAATACAAGAGCGTTCTACAAAACCGGATTGATTTGCTCAACAAACAAATTTCTTCATTATTATTCAGTGGAACTCAAAATTTATACGCTCGGATGAAAGAACTTGGAATTGAGGCGACTACTCCATATGCTTTACTTGACAATGCTAAAGAAATTGTCAAACACCATAAAAAAATATCAGTTAGTGTTTTAAACTTTGAAATTAATTTTTGAAAATTGTTTTTTATCGTGAATTATTTTTTATTGTTTTTTTACATGAAACTTTTTAATGCTTTAATATAATTCAGGCTGAATGCGCGGCATTGGAGAATGAAGTTACGATTCTTGAGCTGGCCAACAAACAGTTAGAAATGAAAGTTTTTCGTAGAAATGAGGATCCCAATTTAGTGGTGAATATTAATACTGTTCCCAGCATTAATCCACTGGTTGCTTCTAATGTATCCGATAATTACCAAACATTGGCTGGATATCACAAAAAATTGAGTGCTAAAGGATCTTTGGTTTGCACAAAGGTTTTATTATTTATATGAATGTAATTTCCCATTATAGATAATTTTTTTTTCTAAGATATTATTTTAGTCAGCAGATTATTCCATCTCAAACGATTCTTCCGCTCAGCAGTCGCAAGATTCTTTATCTTCTACGGATCTTACCATACAGTATGTCGTATCGAATGCTTCATCCTATGCTCACCAAGTGAACTCTGGAACGCTTGGGACTGTGAAACGTTCACGTTGCCGTCCAAATCGTGGTGGACAGTCGAACAAGCGCATACCATCGTCATCTGTAAAAATACTCAGTGATCCCAAAGAAGCTGAAGAAATGGAAAAAAGAATCCAAGATATTGTTGCGAAAGCGCTTGAGGTGTCTCTTCGGGATTTAATCATTAATCCTAAACTTTGTAAATACAAATGTTTCATATAATTATGTTCTCTTTAAGGTTGATAGTGCAGCAAAATGTGCTGAAAAAGAACGTCGTGCTCGTGGCGAAAAACGCAGAGATAAGTTACCGACTGTATCGACATTATCAACGAGCCGTATTGCAACACTGCATCGTGTGAATGAAAAGATGCAGCAATCAAGCGGTGCAGTGGAATTAATGGAAATGAAAATGAGAAATGTAAACGATTCATTAATGAAAGAAAATATTGAATGTGAAGGCAGCACAACTTTGCATCAGTCCTCACTGGCTGTAGCAAAGACAGAAACGGATAGCATCAGGTCTGACGACGAATGATTACCTCGCTTTTTGTCCATAGGGCTTTCTTTTTGAATTTTCCTCATTTTCCTTTGCTCTTTTTTTTTCCTTTTCTTAGTTTGAACGAATTTGCAGTGGAAGAAAAGATATGCCGTATTAGGGTAAAATTTCATTTTTTTATTGTTTAGTGATTCAAAAAATATTTTTTATCAAAATTTTTTATTTTTATCCCTTGTTAATGTTGTTATTTGTTGCAAAAAAATCGGTTGAGTTTTCGGTGATTTTCTGAAAATGTTTGGTCTAGGGAAAATTCATTCTTCTAATCGTTTAACTAAATTATTTTAAAGTAATTCCATATATTAGGAGTGCGTCTATACTTGAATAAAAAATTCGTTTATAATAAGAATTTTTAGTGTTTGATAATTCTCATTGAACGTTTCAATTTCCTTCAGTTAACGTTTTGTTTCTTATTTAACATACACCTCATCATTTTTTTTCTTCAAGTTTAATTTGTGCCATATATTTATTTAATTTTTTTCGTTAACGTAGCATATCTGCCAAAATTTTTACTGCCACCTGACAGGAATGTGGAACTTCTTTTTGTTATTTCTAAATTCTTTTTAAATAAATTCTTTAATACCAAAATTTATGCTTATGCTTGCAAATATTCTGTGAGAAATACAAAACTTTAAAATTTACCATGTTTCATCCTTAAATTTCATTAATTTTATTTCGGATATTTTTGGATCTGTCTCGCACATCAATAGGTCTTTCTTTTTTTTTTTTTAGAATTTTAAAGGACAGCTGAAGACTATGGTGGCATATGCATTGATGCTTCACGGTGATGTTATGAAAAGAAGCATTAAATGATGTGTGATGTGGATCAAAATGTAACGATTTGCTGTTCTCTTTTATATTTGTGGATAATCGATGAATTTATGGGTGTTCTCGTATAGGTGTAGTTAGTTCATCGTCTTTTTATAACTGCCGTTTCTTTTTATTGCATATTAGATTAATGTTAAAATAGTTTTCTTCGATCCCAGTGTTCGTTCTTTCATTGGATCTTTTCATTTCGTTTAATATGTTGCTAACGAATTTAAATTTTTAAGTTTTTTTTAAATACCTATTCTCCCCGTGAAATAAGGTTTTTCTAAAAGTGTTCTTATTTCTCCTTATTTTTTTAGTGAATATTTTGATAGCATTTTTTCGTAAATTTTTTTTTTGGTATTTTCCAGGCATAATTCTTTTTTTTAGGATTTCACAGTAAACTGTAGGAGATAGGAGGTTTATATTTTGAAGAAATATTCATTTTATTTTGAATGCTCTATAAAGTTAATGTAAGTTGTGGTTCTGCTTTCACTTCTTTGCTGAAAATTTTTTTCGAAAAAGCGATCATTTTTTTTCGTTTAATGACCATCGTTTTCTTATCACGTATTTGTTACATTAAAGAATTATTTAAAGGAACTGAGGTTTTTGTTATATTTTCCTATTAAAAGATAATTGAATTTTTCCACTATTCATCTTTTTCTACATTTTAGCCTTGTTTCTCGGGTGCTAATTTTTTTCGGTAGATATTCATCTTCTTTGCTGGAATTTTATTCAATTTTAAAAAAAACAACTTGAATCTTTAAGCAATTATTATGAGTAGTACTTAACACAAAATTTTAGCGAAAAATGTCTGCAGTAATAAATATTTTAAAAAATAAATAAATAATAAAACTATGAACGATTCTATGCTTCGTGTATAACCATTTGTATTCTTTTTGATCTTTCTTAATTTTTCCTTTTTTTTTCATCGCAGATTTGTACTTTTCCTCATTGCCCATCAAATTTTATATAAATTTTAATAAAAGAAATTGTCATTATTTTTATGCTTTATAGTGGATGAGGAAAACAGTACAGAGAAATTAAATAAGGAAAATTTTTTTTTCTTTATTATTGTGTATTATTGGATGGATGCATTGTTGATTAAAAATACAAAGTTTGCGTTCAAGTTTTCATGGTCGTTTTTTCTTTCTCCTCGAAAAATACCATATTTATTGGTATTCTTTTGAATATATCTTATATATGATAATCATATTCAATTATCAGCATCGTCCCATGTCATCCAGGCATCGTTTTGTCGTTCAGAATTTGTCCATTCTAATTTTTTATTAGTTTTTTTCGTAGGAGAAAATTTCATTTTGAACGATAATTGATGCTACAGGTAGGTAATGAAAATTTTTAATGAAAGCTTTGTTAGTTTATTTATTAATTGAATGTAAATTAATTAGTTTAAAAAGAAATCTGAATTATAAAGAGTTGGTGAATTTTTTTGTTTATCGATGGATGATATTGGGGTTCTGCAAATTTGGCCAGAGTTAGCCATTTGAGGGTTTTTCGATTACATTTGATTGCGGCCTTCAACTCGAAATTTGTTTCTAAACTCAAGTTGATTCTCGTTCTGTGGTTGCTGAATATTGGGCCCTACGAAATTTTTTCTTTATCCTTAAACCTAAGAGTTTTCGACAGTTTTGGAGTGTTTTTTTGTTTAGTTTATGTTGATGACATTTAGTGATAAAGGAGGATATATTTTTGTGAAATCATATATTGCGTTGGATTTTAAGAATTTGAGAAGAATAGGCGAGAAAATGGACCATAAATCTTTTAATGAATTAAATTATTAGGGAAAAATTAAATTGTGATAGAAGAAAGGTAGATATTTTGTGATGTTTTTTTAGTTTTAGAACATTTCTGTTGGGAGTCGTATATTTGTTTTCCTGTAAATTTTCTTTAAGAATTATTTTTCACTGAAATTCTTGAAGAAATGTTATTTCATTTGCAACTATTAAACATTAAGTTTATCTCGGAAAATTTTAGAAAAGTTCAGTGTTGAAATGATTTTTCTAAGAATGTTTCTAAAAATGAAATTTTATATTACGAATATTGTTGCGCGGATGGGAAATTTCTAAATTTCTAAAAAAATTTTTTTCTTTTCTATATTTTAGAACATTGGGATCTTAGAATACGTTTGAATTATTTTTCAATTTTTTTTATTCCTCTTTTTTAATTTTGCATTTTTTTTAGTTATCTCATCATTTATTTCGATTATATTTTTCTTTCCCTTTCAGTTATAAGTGAAAAGTAACAAGAGAGCTGCTGCTGGAGACGGATTTATTGATGGAGATAGGAACAAATGAATTGACTCGACCGTTTCGTATTCCTCGTCGAAAGAATAATCCCGATGAAACGAATGATAATGCTGATGAGGTTATTATAAGTTTTTAAAATATTTTCGACATCAATATTTTTTTAGCTGCATTAAGAATTTCGAAATTTTTTTCGATCTTTTTTTTGCAATATTGTGATTTTTCTGGAAGAAATTATACATACACTCATTCCATTTATAGGTTAAACGCAGTCGTGCTGCTGTTGATTCAGATTTACGTTCTCCACTTGTTGCTCCAACCACTACTCGTAGAAATGCTAACTCTTTCAGTCGAATTGTACCTCCTACTAAACGGAAGTAATTATTCTTTGTAACATGTAGATTTAAGGATTTTTTAGAGGAGTATGGTAAATCCACCTAAAGAACGAAGACGTTATGTGAATAGTGAGCAATATATCTCTTAGAGGAGGTTCTTTCCTTTTTTCTTTGATTTTTGACTTTATGTTTTTTTTAGAGCACCTGGAGATAACCATAACCAAAGCCTTAACGCTAAAAAGTCAATAAAACAGCGGTCTTCTGGGCCTGAAGTTTTGGACAAAATCCTTGGAATCATGGTAAATCCACCTAAAGATCGAAGACGTGATGTGAATAGTGAGCAATATTTTTTCGCAGTTATGAAGGGTTCATTGAAAATTTTCGCACAAAAGTTCCGATTCTAATAAATGGCAGATTCAATATAAATTTTAATGGATTGGGGAGAACCACAGATTATTTTTAAAAAATCAGGATTTATTTTCTTTAAACTCTGAATGATGCAGGATTGAAAGTCACATGATGGATTTACAACACACAACAAACTAAATCTACATAATTATATTAAGGAAATATAGTTTAATAAAATATCAATATAAAATATCAATTTTTTACTTGTCATAAGTTTCTGTTTCTTTTTTTTTGCTTTTCGCGAAATTTTCTCCATCAGGAATTTTATCTTTTCTTATCGAGATAAATTAATTTTTATATATTTAATGAACAAGTTAAATGAGTGTTATTTTGGAAATAATAAATCACACTATATCCTTTCGATAAACCTAAATATTTCATAGAACTTTGTTACTAAAATTTCTGTGTAACAAAAGCATTCACTTTTTTTTAGAGGAGATAGATGAATCTGATCCTAATGAAGCGTCTAATCCTAGCAAGTCTCAAAACGCACCAACTTTGACGTATGAGGAGTTGCAAAAGCGATATGTCGATAATTCATTATGCTATTCATTTCTGACTAAAGAAGGATTAATGGAACGTTTACTCGGCCTTAAAATGTTAACTGGTCGCATCGATTCACACGCTACACTGGGTTGTATGTCATATGACCCAAATGATCCGCGCAGAAAGAACTATGTATATTAATGTTTTCCTTCATTTCTCCCAACTTTATTAATGAGGAAATGATTAATAAAGTCAATTGACCTAACTTATATATTGTTCATATTTTATTTTATGGTTTTATAGGGAGCTTCAAGCAATTTTGATAACTATTCGCCAATACTTAAAGAACAGCAACTAACAGGGCAATTTAACAATGCGCCTATGGAGGAGCGAAAAGGTCCACGAACTCCCCCAGGTTCGCCAGGTCAAGCCGACAACTCTTCGTTAATTTCTTCGCGTGGAGTAGGATCGGCCTCACCATCAAGTCCTCCTCCTCCTCCTCCTCCTCCAGATGAAGTAATTCTTTTTTTCCATCACAAAATTAGCTAATTTTCTCAGAAATACAACTGAAATATATGAGAAGAATATATTTTCATATATTAAAAAGTACTGAAAATATTGAATCAATATACTGAAAAAAATACTGAATTTTATCATTCATCAGTTTTAAAAATTTGTTTAAATAGGAACCATTGAATAAATCAGATCCTGCAAATGATATCATTGCTGAAGTTGCGGAGTTTACGAAACTTCCACCATGCCGGCTGTCTGAATGCCTTGGAGAAGAGCTTCAAAATGCAGTGAAACAGGTCTCGCTTATCCTTAATGTTTTAGCAGTTTATCTAAGTAATATAATCCAGTCTTTCAATAATTAAAGAAAGTAATATTTAATTTCTGTTACGCATTTTTCATTTTCTGATTTGATCACAGGTTGACCGTTCTGTGCTTCTGAATACTCTTAAAGATGCCTTGATCAGAGTTGGCAAGAAAGAAGAACCATCCATGAAATCGTATGCTTTTTTTCGAATATGAAACGATTAGCGATTTATTATTGAAAATTTTTTTAACGATTTTTTTCAGCACACGAGCACTTTCCGTGAAGAAAGAACAACCGATTATTAATGAAGGTGAAATAATTGAAACAGCAACAGTAGAAGTGGAAATGGATATCGAAAGCAGTAAAAGTTTTGAGGAAAAGGAACAACGAGTTTTGCCACCGCCACCCCCTGCTCCAAAAACTCCTCCATTTTTTCTATCAGAAGTTAATTTAATCGCGCCATTGAATCATCCAACTTTGGCGACTTCGGGTATTCCAAGTATTGGTTCTTGTATTTTGCCTACTCCGCCACCACCACCACCAATCGTATCGACTGTTGTTGCTCCACCTCCACGACTTAGTTTCTGTCACAATCCTTCAAGCATTAATATGGCAGCTCCATCTTCAACCAGTTCCGCACCCATTTTACCTTTGTTTAATCAACGTCCTCCTGTAAAATTCAAAAATGAAGTGTCTACATCTCCTCAGGCTTCATCTGATGTTACTTGTTTCAATCCATCAATTCAAAATCCATTATTCACAACACCACCACCACCAACAATAAACACAAATATTCTTCTTCGTCCGTCCCTGCAAGCATCACGACCACCTCTTCTTATAAATGAAACTTCATTAGGAATTCCTGCAAAGCCACCACCAAACGCCGATCAGTTTTCTTCTATTGCCAATAGCAAAATCGTTCCACTAATGCCATTCCCTCCACCATCAGAAACAATTCATTCTAATCAATCTTCCAGTTCCACTTCTAAGAAACCTCAACCACCAACATTTTTCAATTCGCGAATTGATTTTTCAAAACCTCCGCCGATACATAATCCTCCTCCAAGAAATATATCGCCTGTTTCTTCCAGTGCATTACACTTTATGGAAAAATCAGCCTCAAATTTCAACAATCCTAATAGTTCAAATTTATTGACTCAAGAGTTAGCCCCAACCAGGTTTCCTTCAGTTTATTCATTAAAAGAGAACAGAACAATAATAGCAAATGGCAAAAGTGATATCGTGCCATCTGTATCAACACTTTCTTTTTCCCAAGCGCCAGATCCATTTAGTCTTTATCATCTTTCTCAAAGAACGGATCAACTATCCAGTACGCCATCTATCCAAACATATCGAAGAAATAATGACTCTACATTTATGAAAAATGATTGCAGTTCATTGCAGTCATCAGTTCCACCGGAAAATAATCCAACTCCAACATCTCAAAATGTTATTAAGACACTGCTGAGTGCTCTTGCTATACCGCAGCAAAGTAAATCACCACCATCTGCCAAAAACTCATTTGTTCCTATGAATAATGTATCTGGAAATACGCAAAATCCAACTACGATCAATTTCTCTATACAAATGGATCATTTTAATAGATTTTCAAGGCAAAACAGTGATTGTATAAATCATAGTCAACAAATTTTTGATGGTAATCGACAGTACTGCGGTTTTTCATCATCATTTAATCCATCAGTATTGAATGAACGTCAACAACAAGAAGATGATTCAGATGTTGTTGATTTCAGTTGGCCTCCAGCCAATTTTGAAGAAACTAGTAATCAACAGACACCAACAGAAAGTTCAGTTATGGGTAATATGTCAAACATGGAACAAGAAAAACGTCAAATTAATTATTCGCCAGGTAGAATCCAGTGTAAAGCACCAACTAATTCATTAACAAATTCGATTCGTCTAAACAGTGTACCAGATGGTGGGAATTTCATGAATAGAAAGTTAAGGCCTCCACCGCATGCTCCATTCATCCCACTTCGTCCTTCTCATTTCGCTTTACCAGGTCAATCTAAACCTTTAACTTTTTTTCCTCCGCAAAGATCAATTCCTTCCCTTCGTCAAATAATGCCGGAAAGATTTGTAAGGCCACCCTTCCGTCGTTATTAGAATTTTTTATTTGTAAAATATCAGATGTTATGATGTATGTATATAAGCAATTTTATATGAGTAAAGGTGGATAAATTTTTACCTTTGTTTATCATTAGTAACGTTGAACATTTTATACTCGTTTTAATGCTTGGAGAAGAAAAATTTTAAAGAAAAAATGAAACAATGTATAAATAACTTAAATCGCTTACGGGTGGGTTGGTTCAGTTATTGCTGAGCCATTATAATTATTTGAGCTTTTGATATGATGAGCTTTTATAATTATTCTCGAAAATTAAATATCAAATTTTGTTTAAATTTATTTTTTGTTGTGTCATTTTTACTTTTTATCATTATTTTTCCACAGCATGGCTTTAAAAAATGTCGTGGTACCGATTTTCGTACCTTGTTGGTGTGGGAATTGCCTTCTGTCGCCACAAAAATTTTCAGAAAAATGAGATAAATCAATATCATATTATCATATATGTATATTTTGAGCAACAGACATTAGTTTATTTTTCCAGTCATGTTTAATATATATATATATATATATATATATATGGACATATTGGCATATCAACTATAGTTATCTATAATCGTTAATCATGAATTAATCATGAAATATATTTTAGAATATTGTTGAATGTATATATCATTTCCACTTGTTTCGCTGTGGTTGGAATTAACTTGACTTTCGCCTTCCTTTGCATAATTTTTCATGGAAATATTTCTATTATAAATAAAATTTTGTTAATTGTCATTTCAACAGAGGATAAAAAGATTGAAGAATTGTAGAAGGATTATTAAAATTACTTATACGGGGTATCCAAATGCGTGATTGATTCTTTCTCAGTATTTTGTATTTCCAATGTATTTCATTAATATCTCCAGCCTCGCTATCTTTTGTAATTCGTAGCTGTGGCATCGAAAGTGCGTAGCAAGATTTGAGGTTTGACAGATTTGAAGGCGAGCAGTATGGTAACTAATGTGTAGAAGTTGCTTACAGTTATGGAATAAAGTGGCGGATAAGTACAATAAGTATAAAATAATTAAAGGACTGCCGCAAAAGAACATCAAGATTTTGAGTCCAGAAAAGTGTTACAGGTTTCGACAACAATAATGCAGATATTACTGGTAAAAAGTTTAAGAGGATCATACTAGTGGCGTCGAGTTATTAGGAGACTATAGTGTACGCAAAGGTTAATATGTAGGAGGAGGTTTAAGATAATATCACTAACACGACAAAAGAATACAGCTAAAATATAGAAGTTTTAATGATATTTCAGAGTATGGTTGTTAGAACCCGTGAGCATTGGTTATGCGAGAGATTAAGTCAAATGAGATGGTAAATTGACAATCGTATATATATAATGATAAGGAGGAAATACTGGCAGAAAAAAGTTTTAAATATTAAGAATAGAATTTCAAGAAGGCTTTCACAAAATATGGCTTGGAGTAGGAAGTGGGTGAACATTTTTTCCGAACATACACACAGATAGATATAACAGATTAATATAACAGATTATTAAACAGACTGAACTCTTTTTTTGATGTTTCATTTCAAACATCGCTGGCGAAATGCTGATGGAAATAATGAATAGCCTTTTGACTGATAATATTCTTTATTCGAAAGAAAAAAATTATTTAAAATTTTCAAGAAACAAATTCTTTTCTGGGACGGAGATCTGTAATATATGAGGTAGACAATGTAGCAAAAAAAAAAAATATGAGGAGATGGTTTATAAAGCTAAAATCATTGAAGAACGAAGAAATGTTAGTATTTTATAAAAATTATAAAGTGACAATGAAGAAAGTTTTTAAAAATTTAAACGAATTGTTTTCTTTACGCATTAAATAACATGTGGAAATATAAATTTATCGCGCAATAATATTATTTCTTTGGTCGTCCTCTAGCATTTTTTTTAATTGTTGGGCTACTAGTACTTTTTGAAGGTGGTGTTGAATTAGCACTACTCGTCGCACTCGTTTTGCCACCACCTTTATATTTTTTCGTCTCCTAAAATACAATTATCCAAATCTATCTGCGTGGATATATTATGAAAATTCTCACCAAATATAACCCATTATTTTCTGTATTATTTCAGTAAAGAATAAATCTCAGAATAATAAACAACTATTATCTGAAGGTTACTGTTGATATTTCAATCCTTAATGAATCAAAAAATCTTGAAAATACGAATCAGTAACATGCATGCATCAACACTATCTCCATTTAGATTTTAGCATTTCAACCGGCACTGTTCACTAAGTAAAAGGAAAATCTAAGAGTAGTAAAAAATTATACCGCTTCATAACGTTTCTTGTCTTCAACAGCCATTTTTTCCCATTTACTTTTATCTTTAACAGCATTCCATTCAACACCAGCAGCTTTCGTTACGTCTACAACGGACATACCTGGTTTCGTTAGCCTATTCCGATTTTCTGCTAACCAAAACATATATGCCGATTTCGCACGCTTTGGTGCGTTAGGATCCTGAATTTAAGGAAATAATGATGCGTCAATCGAATAATTTCATCGAATAATATATATTTTATTACCACGTATCGTTACTACTGTTCATAGCATCCGTTATAACAGTGAAACTCTTCCGTCAGATTCACTTGACAATAGAATTAAGTAATTTCACGTTTAATGATAAGGTTTACTCGTGGCAAGAGGAAGAGATCGACACTAACCGTCGAAGCAGTACAGAATTCGTTCACCCTATTCCCAACAATTATTCTCAACAACAAATTTCATATAAAGTTCAGCAATTTTTTAAATCAATTATTAATTTAATAATTAAATTCCAAACATATAAACATTTATGAAAAATTTATAACACAAAAGTAGCTTTAAAAATCAAATAAAAACGATGCATAAAGGGGAAATATGCCGCGCAAGTATTTTTATTAAAAAAATCTTCAAATCTTCTCGTTATACATTCACTTATAATAATTAATTTACAACTATAAACATATGTTTTAATTTCAGTTTTTCTCCAAGTTTTATTATATTATAAATTCTATAATATTTGCGAAATAAAAAGCAAATAAACGAGTGAAATAAAGGTGAAATTTTTCAAAAAAATCTACTTTTTTTGCCTTTTTATGTCTCAGCGGGCTCGCTGATTTCTTCTTTCTCGCCACACCACCGGAACCCTTTGATTTTATTGGCTTTGCCATTTAATGCTATAAAATGTATGAATATATGCATATCTTTCGAAAGAAGCATGCGTCAACGACAATTCACGCTACAAGCAATAAAACAAATACTATTATCAGCAATATTACTGGCAAACAAAATAGAAAACAAAAGCGAAGTAATATTATAAATTTATTAGCAATAATCAGCGAAAATGAAATGTATGAATATTGAATGGTAAATCGCGACGAACGGCAAAAGCGGAACGAATTAGCCGAACGAAGTGAAGCAAACGTTGATTGCTTTTATTTATTTTTATTAATCCATTAATGGTTCGCAGAATTGAACGCTTTTAATTTATTTACTCGTAAATCAGCTAACCTGTTTGCATTTAAGAAATACATTTATTCGCATAATTAAATGAATAAATATTTAAATAAAGCAAAATTATATTAAAACTTTAATAAAAACAATAAAAACGATGAAAAACCTTCATAAGGCTTGGATCCTGCAACGATTCTCTGATTTTTCTTATTGTCTTTCAGATCGATGTTCTTTTCGCAATTGCAACTGCGTTTCTTTGCAGTGCAGTTCGCCGAGGTTCTTCTTCTCGCAGGTCTTCTAATTCCTTGCATTTCTTCTAGGTTTTGGGGTCCTTCGGAGCCTTTGTGGTCTTTATGCATATCCAGGCTGCTGTCGACCTTGGAGATTCCCAGTTCCTTTCTTCTCAAGTTTTTGTATTCTCCACTTCCTTCTTCCGTGTCCTCTGACTGCTTCGAATTCTTTGATTCTTTGATTTCTTTTAGTTCCTTTTTCTTATATTTACTCTTATTTTTTTAAACAAAAATGGAAAATCTGTTTAGATTTTCCATTTTTCTCTGATTTTTCGGCTATTCTTTTTCCGCTCTCCTTTTTTTCTTCCTTTCCCATTCTTCGGCTTTCTTCTTTCCTCCCTTCACTTAAATTGTGCATTTTTTAAAGAAATAAATAATGTATTTTATTTTTCTGTGTGTTGTGCGCTTATATTTCGTCGAACAAAATAATTATGATAATTTTTCGTAAGGTTGTTCCGGTTTCACCCTAATCCATTATCATTTATAAAATTACTCACCTATTACCTATTTCTTACAGTTCATGAATCAGATGATTGTTTCGTCTAAGGATTATTCGTCTTTACACGTGTTTATCTTGAAAGTTCGAAAAGAGAAATAGAAATGAAAAAAGTCACACGGAACGTCGATGGATAAAACAGAAGTTAATTGTGGCGTAATGAGAAATATGACGTTGCTTAAAAAACTTTTGCAAAAATGATAAAAATCACGAAAACAAAAAATAAGCTAAATGAAAACGTTTAAAATTAATTAATATTAATTAGAATTAATTTTTTATTTTTTTATTGATTTTTAATTTTTTAAATAATTTTTAAGAATTAATTAATTTTAGAGTTAATTAATTTTAATTAACCTAATTTATTATTATTAAAGAATTAATTAATTAATTTTAATTAATTAAAAACTAATTAATTTTAATTTAAAGAGTTAATTTTTAAAAAATAAAAAGCAATTTTGTAAAGTCATCTCTAAAAAATAAATATTTTTAAATGAAATATTCACAAGTCCTTTCGGAAAAAAGAAATTTAAAAAAATTCAGAATGAAAATTATAAATAAAATGGTGCTAAACTTGCCAAATCATCGTTGGTTTGCCGCCACTTTTCCCGCATTTTTTGAATTTAAAAAGGAAGTACCAAAAGAAATGAAGGACGATTGATTCGACTCAGTTCAAACCATTAAACCATTTACGTGTCCCTCGGAAGAAATTTGTTGTTTAAAGTGATGCGGAAATTTCTCGCTTGGAATCGAAATCCTTTAAAGAATTGATTTTGATTAATGATTTTAGGAAATATTTGGTACTGCATGCGAAAAAATGATTTTTCCATTTTCATTTTCTACGACTGAAATTCGGTTTTTCGTCTTCCACTGAAAACAGAAAATAGCCGTCTCACCGATATAAGGGACATTTTCCCATCGTAATTCTGTGTTTTATTTACTTAAAAGCATCATTCTTGGAAGAGATCCATGAATAGCAAACCGTTGAATGGATCTTCGAAAAAGATCCACTGGTCTAGTTTGGGTTATGAAAGAAGCTCAGGCAGATCAAGCTCAGAAATCAAGTGGTTCCAATATTTCGAGAATTATTTTGGATGAATTTATCTCATATTGATATTTCCAGATGCATCTTTCTTGCTGATTCCTTTTTTTCCGTGAAAAAGCTTTTTCCCCGTGTTTGTCCAACAATATAATTTCAGTGTAAATGTCGAGTTTCTATTATCGCCTAAATAAGGAAGGCTTCATGCAAATTTCACTGAAAACATCATTTTTATTTATGATAAATATTTCGTATTTCGGACGTTTTTAAAAAAAAATTTCCAGATTTTTTTCATACCTAATTCAAATTATTTGAATTTTTTCTCCATTTTACTTTTTTTAGCATACTTTCTAACTTATTTATTATTCACAATTTGCTTTTTCTTGTTTTAATTCTTGATATCAAATCGTTTTTATCAGTAGATTCCTGTTGTTTAGTGGAGAATTAATTAAATGATATGTTGTGTTGATAAAGTTCGAGCAAAGGAGAAAATCAGTTATAAAAGTGGAATCTGAATTTTGTTAACTATCATCCGAGCCATGTTTTCTTAGCCATAAAGGCAAGTACAATAGTTAGATAAATCTAAATTTTAAGGGTTTTTTCAGGCTGATTCCACTCGGATGAAAGAAAATACTTCTAGCAATCCGGTCTTTCATTCCTTCCTCAGCTAGTGGATATAACAATGGATCTCAAATATTTGAACATTTCTTGAATTATTGAAGAGTTTATGTAGACTGGCACTTAATATAAGAAGAGTCTTATTTACGCTGACCAATTTATGGCCTATTTCTTCCGCTAGTGTCGACACGGACATTATGCTGCTAATTGTTGGCGAAAATTATCGTCCGTGTGGTCAAGCTCTTTAATCTGTAACCTGATTTGGATAGATCTTGGCCGCTGACAAGCAATGCTTATAATCGAGCCTAACCCATAGTCTAGAATTATGGGGAAAGGAATCTTTTATACAATCTTGACGCAGGCCAGACATGCACATTTGCTTCGGCTGACAAAGCGCCTTTAGTAGATCTGATCATCTTTGCTCAATGATTTACCAAAGAAGCAGTTCTATCAAAAGCAGCAGTATATGAAATATGTACGGTGGACTGCAAAAATTTGAAGCGATATTCCAGTACTAGTGAAAATTTGGTGAAAATTTGGTCACCATAACTACGTTTTGCTTCGAATCCAACTTGAGCGTCCGTCCTATCATGCATGAGTTTCTAGCATGAGTTTAATCAATAGAAATGAGGCTTCCCATATAGCAAGCTGATTGGTTCTTCTGCAATTATCACAATACGGTCCTTTCTTTGGCATTAAGATTGTCTTGCTCCTTATTCAACACTAGTAACTACAACTTTTACAGATAAGTTTTAAGAGATGCAGCGTTTGAAATGTTCAGCTCGTAGAATACCTCCAAGCGTTTTCTTTTATAAGGATTACCTCGTGTTTGCTTGGTCGATTGCAGTTGCAACCGTAAAGCTCTAAAAGCGGCCTAGCAATATGTGAAGCTTTAAATGGACCGTAAATGAGTTTATGCTCAAAGAAATTCTTCCAACAGGAGAGGCCATCATTGAAATTCCTTACGAAATTTCCTTCCGAAACGTTTGCATTGAATAATTACATCTTTGACGCTTCGATTAGTAATCTCGAGGTAAATCGTAACTTTATTTGTTTAACTTTATTTGACTCTTAGACTGTACTTTTTTCAAAACACTTGCGATAAGCACGCCATCTTTATTATACCATTTCGCTTTGGTGGGTTCTAATGGTTATTAAGATTTAAACCCTTTCGCTAAGGAATCGAAATGTGATAGAAATGCAGCTGTGCAGCTGTGCGGATTTTAATGATAAATTTATTAGTGCCAAGAAGCAAGAAGTGAATCCGTTATGACTGACTTTGATCGACCTCAAGGCGAATTCAATTTTTAGTCAATAAACTTCGTGTTTCAGCAACAGAATAATGATGAATTCAAGAAAATTTGTTGAATAAAAAAAGCCCTCAGAGATTAGATAATTATTTATAGATTTTCCAAATAACTGCATTTGCCCCTTCTGGTTTGTTTGGTTATATTAACCATTAAGGTGGAGATGGAATGGCTCAGTGGGTTGTTGCTCTATTGGGAACGCCGACCCGATGCTGAGATTCCTTGCTGGGGTAAACCTGTACAAAAATCCGAATGATGCTGGCGACTCATCTGTATTGCTATCGGCAAGAGATTCCCTGGCGTATTGTCCAGTGCGACAAGCCAGTGTAGCGAGTCTAATCATTAATGGCGAAGACTCTTTAAAAAAAAAAATTAACCATTAAGGTTGGATATGTTTCGGAATTATTTGGAAGCAGAAATAAAGTCGAGTCTCCAGCACCACCGAATTTCGTTTATCAGTTTTCTTCTCCTAAATAGAAGTCGAATCAACTGTTCTCGATTTCAGCCGAAGCACCACGTTGCCATTTCATCATCGATTGGCGATGAAGAAATCTCATTTTTTTTCTTATTTTTCTCCCCGTTATTTTGTTTTTTGCATATTTTTCAGATATGATCGAATTGTCTTTCCAATTTTGCACTGGTCTAATATGCTTTGCATTTGTCTATTCAAACTATGTTTTTCGAGACTGGAAGCAAATGCAAGCGGTCACCGAAGTCTCACCAGCAAGTCACCACTGAAATTGCATATTTCGTATAAATGCTGCAAATGGTGTAGTTTCATAAAAGCTGACCCAAATATTTAAAGCACAAGTTATCACTCACATAAACTAAAAGAATTGTATTGTACCAGGATAATTGACAATTTAATTGACTGCTATTCCGTGAACTTCGTGTGAAAGGTCCTAATATTCACGTTTTATGAAATTGAGCATTTTTTAACTCTTATTTTAATTGTGAACCTATTTTAATTCATTTTGTCATTTGGTACCATTTTTTGGTATCAGGATTCTGGAAAACAAAAAAGGTGGCTATGGCTATGTTTGCATACAGTTCTGCTCTTTATTATTTAGTATCGATTTTGAATTTGCCAAAAATTCGTCTGTGAATTTTTTCTTAAGACTTAGACGTGCTTACAAAGTAAAACAAAGGAATAATCCAAGAAGTGCGTTTTTCTTCAAAGAAGCAGTGGAAATAAAGAATTTCAACTTGAAGTAATTTTTTGGAATTTCATGTAAGATTAATTTTTACTTTTAAAATATACTTTTGCTTTTTTATAAAAATATAAAAGTATTTTTATTTTTTTTACGTTCTGTTGCATGCTTGATTTGATTAAATATAAAATTGTTTCTGAATTTTCAGCCACGTAAGACAAAACAATGCTGTTAAATGTGAGGACTGGCTGATTATCGTTTTCTTTTAACAGTGCTCATTTCTAGTTTAACTGATTTCATTGGCTATTAGGATAAAAGAAAGTTGGAAATAAAAATATACAGATGGGCCTCCAGCAGCTTCTCCATTTCACTTCCATATTTAATAACACATTTAGCTGATGGGTTGATTTTCAAAGCGCCCTAAGGCAATTTCAATAAATTTTCGAAAACTTTTAGCTGAATCAAGAAATGAAAATATCTTAAAACATCGGAAAAACATCGGAATTATTGAAATCAATTACAGTCGATTTCAATATTCCTTACGCTTTCTCGAAAATCTCAAGAAATCAGTTAAATGCCTTAAAATGCCCAAAATGTGATTATACATTCAACCATCGATGGTTTTATAATGTCAGATTTTTTCTCAAAAATTTAACTATTATGTTAATGTATGCATATGTTTATTCAAAAAAAGCACGGCTGCAGTGCTTTTCTCTCCTTTCGGATTGAAATTTTCTGGTATTTCCCAAATCGTATTATTTTTTCAAAAAATCCCTTAAAACTCTTTCATTATTTCTCTATTATTTCAAAATCTCATTTTCATTAAATGCATCATCAAATATCGCTTCACCTTTCACGATAACCCATTAATTAACATCTATTTAAGTGACCAGCCCTTCAGGTCCCACCAATAAATCAGATGACAGAAACTGAGATAATAAAGAAGAATAAGGAATGAGTATATGGAGACTGTTAAGGTAAAGAAACAGGATTCGTAGGTTTGCTAGGGAACAGATTATGAAAGAGAGCTATAGCAAGCTTAAAAACTGATTTGCCTTCGGAAGTGCTTTTCTTCATGTACATAAATTTTACTAAGATTATGAAAAACCGTAAAATCTCGATTCATATCGTCGTAATAATTCAATTAATCCTAATTTTAGCTGTGCTATATCTATAATAATCAGACATATGTGGCATATTATAAATACAATTCCCATTTGAAATTATATGAAACTGAAAATTGAATACCTTATTGTAAAAAACAAATAATGAATAAATAATAAACTATATGCAAAATTATATGGTTGTGTTCCAACATATTTCTTATTCGAAACAATAATTGGTTTGGTTTGAAATATATATAAATAAAAAATGTAAATAAAAAATATAAATAAATATAAATATAAATAAATGAATGTAAATAAAAAAATAATGTAAATAAAAAAAATATTGTAGAGCCATTGCCAATTATTTGTTCGGTAGTTAGTTCGGTAGTAGAGAAAAATCCACTGCTTAATTTATTTAAATGTTAGACTCATCAATTAGAAATTAAGATAGAACAGGATTCATATGTAAGAAATGAAAAGCATCCAGATCAGTAAAGCGTGGTTAATGGTTAGCACTTCCACTTCCTGCTCGGTTTGGCTAGAATTTTCACATGGTTTACTCCTGTCGGCGATAAGAGCCGAATCCTTACCTCTCAGTATTTATTTATTGTGCTTGATAGTAACTGCCCAAAATCATGAATCTCCTCGATTTTCATTGAACATGTGTATCAATCCGAATGTATATTAATGCATTATTATTATTATTATTATTATTATTATTATTATTATTATTATTATTATTATTATTATTATTATTGAATGAATATTGTATCACAATAATATATTTCATTTCATCTTTATAAAATTTCAATTAAAAAAATAAAGACTTGTAAAAACCCTTGAAATACTTTTGATATAAATTTCTAAAATTTCTAAAATCTAAAAATTTTAATACGGAAAAAATTTTTAAAATGGTTTTGTTTAGAAATTTCTACCATAAAATAATGAAAAAAAATTAAAGATTAATTAATAATTATGGCTTATAAAGATCGTGCTGGTAATTGTTTGCTTAATTTCTTAACAGCCCCATGTTAAAACTGGGTAGTTAATCTAGCGAAATTACAGATGAGGCATTATTACATATGAGGCAAGATAAAAAAGAGAGATTTTTCTATCCCTTTTTTTTAAAAATCATCCGATTTGAACTGGAAAAAACTAATTCATAAAAATTAATTAAGACAAATAAGAAATGAATTCAGAAACTTTCGTATTAACTGTTATCATGATGGTTCGGAAAAAGGGTTCCATTATTGAAAACGAATAAAAAAATGAAACCAAAATATTCATCGAAATAAAACGCTAAAAACGCTTGAAAGGCTGAAAAAAAATGATCACTGAGCGCTGTAATATATTACCTTTTCTTTTACATAAAATCGTCTGCAATATCATCATATTCGTCGGCAATATAATCATCATATAAATCTTTTTTGTTTGACTTGCCGGTTGATTTTTGTGCTACTTTAATGGAAGGCTTGCTTGCCGAAGCATTTTTTCCTTTGTTCGCCTTAAAATATATTGTTCAAACATTAAAATATATTATTAATTTATTTCGGCACAATAAGTAAAAAAACAGAAAAAAACGAAAGTATATATTGTACTAAATATATTTTTAAAAAAATGGAAATAAAAATTAAAAAATATACCTTCTCAGCTGCTGTTTGTTCATCTGCCATTGTTTTAAGGAAATTACTTAACTGCCTTACTTTACTAGCATCCACTGAAAAATAAAAATCATTAAAACAATAAAATGAATTTCATAGAAAAAATGCAAAATCATGTAAAAAAAAAAAAATTAAATGCGATGTGTTTAAACCAAATCACAAGGTATCGATTTAATTTATCACCCAAAGAAAGGTATTTTCATCAAATTAAAAGCAACAAATAAAGCTATACGCTTCTCATAATTTTTAAAACCATTTTAAATAACCGAAGCTGCAAAGTTGCAAACACATACTATTACGAACGATAACTTTAAGAAGTGAAATAAGCATTTCATGGTAATTGGTTGCTTTTGATCGAATGATAAGTAATTTCCCTAAGTTTTCTCCGAAATTCCTGAATTCTTCCAATGTATCGATCTCAGAATACAGAAGATTATCATCTTCATCTTTACCTTAAATAAATGAAATTCCTTGAAATATACTTCGAACGTATTTTCGATTTACTTTTCATTTGTTTTGAATCTGAATTCATAAAATTTGTTCTAAAAAAGAAAATAGGCGATTAAGATTTGAAAATAAAAGAAATGAAAGAAAAAACCAAATAAATCCTTTGCTAATCTGAAATCCGATTGTCTCTGGATTTCTATTTGCTCACGCTCAGTCAAATCACGGCTGACAACTTCTGAAAAGCCTTTGACAGCCTTTTCCTTTTCTTTTACTTGTGGTTTACTTGTCTGAAACATAAATATTAAATAGTTCTGCAAAATATATTTCCAAAAAAAGAAATGTGAAACAGAAAGCAAGGTATAATTTAAAATACGATTTTTTCACGCGTTTTTTTAATAAAAAATCTTCACCGTTAGCAAATATAAATAGAAAATAATATTAAAAAGTTAGAAAATTAAGGTAAAACGGGAAAGCCAAAAAAACCAAAAAATTTTACAAAACTATAATGATGTATAAACAAACATACTTCTAGTTTTTTTAATTTCTCACTTATTTCTTCTTCATTTTCTGAAAAAACGTCGATTCGTCGTTCATCCAATGCTTCCACGTTGACCTCGAAATCTTCATCATCTACAATTTGCATAAAAATTCATTTATGAGAAATAATGAGAGAAATAAATTCCAATTCAATCAATTGCGGCCAAACTGTGAATGCAGATTGCTACTTTTGAAGTTGGCCAGCTCCCACTTTTTTAAACTCCGGCCGGAGAACTTTTCTTTCCTTCACTCAGCCATTCAATGAATTTAGAAACTTTCTCTTTCGTGCCCCACTGGCTCTTATCCAGCTTTCTTTATGTTTTTTTGTGTGGACGCCATTGCCTTATTATAATATTTTAATCCATTTTGCCGGTTCGCTATTAAGCATACCAATAATTTTCGACGCAACACTCTGAGAATTACCTTAATGAAAACTACCTTATCAATTAACTCATCATTAACTGGTCCTAGACTGATCGATCCATATTTGTAAGGCATACAAGGCATAGGTCTAGTTTTCAGTTCTTTTACGACGCTCCATAGAAGCATTTTGCATTCGCCGTTTGACACTAATAATTAATGTAAAATATAAAATTGCTAGCCTTAATATATTAATAATAAGTGCAAAACATATGAATAAAAAATTAAGCACCATAGAATTTTTCGAAATATAGATAAGTATAAAAGAATAAAATAGAAAATAAAAATACAAAAATATAAATAACGCACCCCAATCGCCCATCTTTTTTATCGATTGCTCTCCAAAGTTTAATTGTTGAAAAGAGTGCTAAAAATAATTTTTATAATCCAACTGCAATGTTCAAAAGAAAATAGCAAAGCCATAGTTGGAATTAAACAGCTATTTAACTAATTTCTCTTTTCAAAAACTTTTAATTAGACAAAATTGATAAAAAAAAATTGAAATATGGAAGCGACTTTTAGGAAAGAAATTATTTTAAAAGAAGTCGCTAAGCTTATCCTATAAATCCCATGTTTATCCTATAAGCCTATAAATCCTAAGTTTTAAACCATTCAGTGACAGAAGCGCGAAATTGCGACATTGATAGAATTCGAATTTGAAACAAATCAATTAGAATAAAAACGACTGAAATGTACGATAATATGGGAGAAAAGAGATCGGTAATTACGAAAACCACTGCAAAAAGTCACTCAGAAATAAGAAAATTATTAAGGGAAATAAAGTGAAATAAATAATTAAAAGCATTAAGATGTATAGAACTTCTCTCGTTTCATTATATTCATACTTACATCAATTAATGCAACGGACGAAATTCCACTTCAGATAGCTGCAGCCAGAAATACTTTTATAATCAGACGAAATTATAGAACCTCAGTGAAACATATCTATTGAAGCAGTTTAAAAGTGGAACCACGCACTCACAGATGAACCATAAGAAAAATTTGCAACCAACCTTATTCCCGTTAATCTGAGGCCGAATTTTAGTATTTCCTTACTTATTCTAAACAATAAAATAGGCAATAAATGGGAAACCATGGTGGGTTAGCATTAACAACAGCTGTGGATAGCTTTAAAAGAAACATTATTTTTCCAATTTATTTCATTCTCAAGCATTTTACTCAACGAAAAGGCCCAAATGCTTCACAAAATAGGATGCGGCAAAATTCAGCCGAAGCACAGAAGCACCGATTTCGACGAACATTCGATAAGAAAGAATTCGGGAATTAAATAAAACCACCGAAATGAACAAACCAAATGAAATGGACGAGTTAGTAATGAAAAGGAATCAATTTAAAACGAATATATGCAATTTAAATAGAAAAATATGTTAAATTCAATAAAAACAATGTGCAATTGAAAAATAAACCACTCCTCTCTCACCTTCTCCCCCCCCCCCCCCCCCCCCCCCCCCCCCCACCGTCCCTCCCCCTCCTAAATAAACTTTTTAGCCATTCAATTTTACTTCTACCAATATTTTCAACCTAAACTGATCGTTAGTAATAGAAAGCTCATTACTACAATGCAGAACTTGCAATTAGGTTGGAAAATAAGTGAGTGCTGGCAGTATTCCATAACATAGAAAGGTGTGGGGTGGACTGTTCGCGTTCGTCACTCGTCAGGTGAATGCGGCGGAAGTTCTTCAGTTATTTCTCTTATTTATTATAAAAATTTGAGCTATTCCGTCCATAAAATATATTTTTTTATTTGAAATCGTCCGCGAAGCGTTTTTCATTTGCGATTTATTTCTTTATTTAAAATATTTCGTAAATTGAATAAATTTCTTCAAATTGTTTTTCAGTTTCGGTTTAATTAATTTTCGGTTTCGCTTCCAACCGATTGCTTAAGAATTCATTTGAAAATTAATGGAATTTCAGCGGAACAATCGATTTATTTTTTAAATAATTTTAAAAATTAGAATTAATTTCAAATTGATTTTAACTTTGCAAAAATACAATTAAAGGGAAAATCTGCTTTATTTGCAAAATCGGCACGTTTTCCTACATTTTCTATTCAAAAATGACTTATATGGCTCAATATCGCAGTAAATTTCTAATTTATTACAGTCTTTCCGTTTATCAGCACAATCGATCGCTGCAAATGTTGTCGCCATTTGATTAACATTCGCTGGAAACTGATTTAGTCTCAGACTTATCATTTAAGATTAATTCTTTGAACAACGATGATAACAGTTTGAGCAGTGAAATTCTACGAATGCTAAAGGACTTTGAAATTTAAAATAAAAAAATTATTTTTTGCTAAAATTATTTATAAAAAAGGCATTAAAATCATCTAGGATCAATTTAGCGAACCAAATTTTGTATTTTATAAAAATTGGAAATTCGAAAAACTTTTAATAACTACGCAACGAAAATTGTGATGCAACTGTAACTTACATAAACAAGTCTTAAGTCGACAACTTTTCATACAGTTCTCCTGCATATATGGATCGTTGCATGACATATAAGAAATCATACTCGGGCATTCATCGTCAAAATCAGGGCAACCACCGCCCGCTCCAGGACGATCACATAACCCACACGTTTGAGCACATTTGGCTAATGCTAATGAGGTTGTGTTAGGGTGATTACAGAGTTTTGCAGCATGTAAGCGGTTGCATGTTTCCAGTTTATCCACTAAATTAAATGATAAGAAGAAAATCGCTGATAAGAAAGTTTAATGAGATCTTAAAAAATGAAATTTTAAAAAGTGGACCCAAATTAGACATATTTTTGAGAATACTTTGCCACATAAGTTAGTAGTGTAATGGTTTCGCTATCATTTTGTTGAATCTTGCTTAATATGCAAGGAATGAGTTGTAAAATTAAAAAATTTCGAAAAATGGCCAATAATTACGGAAATCAACCATTGAGGCAGTTAAATTTTTCTTCTTTGCAACATAATGCGCACGTTGAAATGCATAAATTTAGAGCAAATTTATCCCGTTCTCCTAATTTATTGTAGCACTGCGCAGATACTTTGTAATGATTTGATCTGAAAAAAATTTTGCAAAAAAATATTGAAGTAAGCTATAACGTCTTCAAGCACTGCCAGCTCTCTTTTGGCAGACTACGATGGATGAGAGATGAAGATTCGGTTTCTGCTCCCGGCAGGAGTAAACCTTGAAAAATCTGAGTGGTGTAAGCGTCCTGAGGAATGTGCATTTGACAGCGAATTACTTCCTGGCAAAAATTACCATGTTTACCATGTTACTTACCATGTTTAGCCAGATGAGCTAATTTGCCCAGAAATACCGAATGCTAACCATTTTCTTTTACTTACTTTCTTTTAATCTTAAAACTACCAGTTATTGGAAGTTTGGCTATATTTATTCATGTGAGATAATTTGCGATGTAATAGAACAGATTGCAATATGTTTCCATAAGCTGGTTGTGGCCAGAAACCATATGTTGGGTTCCTTTGGAAATGATTCTCCTTGACCCTCAACGCACCGTTAAGCCTGTTTTCTCTTAACACCTTATCAAAACCAGTTGTAATTTTTTTAGCACAACTAATTATAAAAGGCAGAGAGTTAAAATTATATTAATCGAAGCAAGAACATCGAATTCGATCATCCTACCGTCCAGCAAATAATAGAAAAATACCAAATTCCCTATCATGATTACATACATTGTTTTGAAAAAGAATCGCATTGAAAAACTATCAATTTAAAGTTAAAAAAAGATTACTCGTTTGCATTCGCTCTTTTTATTTCATCCGGTATGTTGTAAACCAAATTGCAAGTTTTAAAGGCGTTATCAATACAGAAATGAGGAGGTGGTTGTGGCCGAACAATTCCGTTGATAATAACGTAGCATTTGTCGATAACGTGAGTTTCTTGCAAAATGCCACCAGCGAAAGTAAGTGCGAAAACGAATTTATAAAGTAATAAATTTGTAATAGATGTAAACTTCTCACGACACATTTCGCATTTAACGTCACATTTGATGCGGAAAAAATAACCACAAAACAATAATTCTAATCTATCGTATTTGATGGATCCGTTCTATTTGCACAGCAGTAAAACAAATTGGATAACCGGAAATTTCCGGATTTTTTATTAATTTTTTTATCTTTGAGTTGAAATCCAAAATCTTATTTTTTTTCAGAAATTTTACAAAATATTTTCTGTGCCTTATATGCAGTTTTATTTGATATAAAAGAAATGATAGGAACCATAGAAAGTTTCGACAAATACCTTCGAACTGTTTCATGCGGCAGTGTATGGTACGCATGGAAGATAAATGGGCACATATTGCAGCAAATACTGATTCGGTATTAGAAAACGAACGTTATGGAGATTTAAGCAACAGAGCAAATCTACTAAGAGGTAGACAAAAAGATAATATGAGGGTGCGGCTATTATTTCACCCATTATTTCATAATTCTAACTTCAAACATAATGCGTCGCTGAATATCGAACTTTATAAACAAAGCTTTTTAATTATTTTAATTATCTTACCATGCATCATCTGTGGCTTGGCTCTCTTCGCTGCTTAATATGAGCCTACTTCACCAGACTTGGTGACATAAGTTCTTTTTGAATTGTTCCAGAAGCAGGGTTCGAGCGTTTATGCTCCAGATGAAAATCTGAATATTTTGGCTTTTGCAAGGGATTTTTTTGTTTTTACAAAAATATTAAATGATTTTTTAAATGATTATAGATAAGCATTTTAATTTTAAATTTTCTCTGCCTTCTTTTTCTTCTAATAGTTCTCACCATTACTGGTTAGGCTGGCTCCACTAGCTATAAGAGTAAGGCGTTTCCAAACTCAGAAGTCATTCCTTTTTCCACCATCTAAGTCCATCTATCGCTTGTCCTCTATATGTTCAAAATCTTTTTTGACTGTATCAGTCCAGGTTTTGATTGGCCCACCTAATGAAATATATGGCAATTGCCGTGGTGGGCGAGGAAGAAAGTGCTTTAACCAGCGAAGGCGAAGGTGATGGAAAAGTGTTAGTGGTTAGTGGTATTTGAGTGAAGATGGATGAGATTTTATCCACTCTGCTAATCCGTAAAATATGTAATATAATGAGAAATAATATAAATAATAAATATAAATAATAGTAAATAATAATATAGATATATAATATATAATATAATATAATATAATGAGAAATCAAAAGAAGATTGTGATATGAAGAATGATGGACAACATTTAAAGAGTTTGGCCCGAAGAACATCTTTTTCTCTTTCGGGAGCTTCAAGACCATCTTCAAGTTTCTGGATAACAGAGATTATCTGTTCTCCTGGCGGTTCGTAGTTGCAAGCAAGTGGCTCGACGAGATATCGTTATAGCCACTATTATCCCATATCATTTTAGTGACCGTTCTACGAGTTATAGTTGTTTAACTATAAAGTTGTTATATAAAGGCGAAATAGTTTTTTCTATTATTGCCTAATCGAATCCCCATTCTCAAGTCCATATCAATAAGATTTTTCTCCTGTCTTGCTGCTGTCGTTATAATTCTTCGAAGCATCCGATAGCCAGAATATCTTGACATTCATACTTTGATAGCCTTTTCAGACAATTGCTTCCTATACCCGCATTTCCTACTAGCATACCTTAGTCTGGAAATGGCTTTTTGAGATATACCTTTAAACCAGTACTTATCTGTAGTTTCAGAGACATTACTGATATTTTTTCATTGAGGTATTTAAATAATTCCATTTGAATGCACTTGTTATCCCCAAATCTTTTAGTTTGAGGTAGTTGAAAGATCTTGGGAAGATTGTTTATTGTGAATTTCACGTGAATCTTGGCTCGACCATGACATGGTTTTATCCATGAAGGCTACCAGTTTCAGGGCTCCGATAGGAACGACTATCTATTATGAGAACTTTTCCAGTGGCGACTGACTACGATATGATCACTGTGGTTGGAGTGGTGGTTGTCCGAAGAGTTCCGCGTAACTATATATTCTTCAGTCGGAAACATTGTATTAATATATATAAAAAAATTCATGCTCTCTGCCAAAGTGAGGAAGGCTTTTTCCATTGGTGTACCGAATCTACATACCATATTTACCAATTATTGAATTCATCGGCATCACAACCTACGCGCGCATTCCAGTCTCCTGCGATTATGACCATGTCACTTTTCGGTAATGATGTTATTAGCAGTTAAAGTTCCGCATAGAACTTATCTAAAGATATCGCAGTCGTCTGCGCTTAAAGTTGGAGCATATACACTAATGATCGAAATATTGCAGAATTTTCCTTTGAAGCGAGCATAGACCATGCAGTAGTTCTCCACTCATTTTTGTTTTATTGTATTGACATTTTATAACGGTGTTTTGTCACCATTAAGTGTCTAAATTTTATATGCCTTTTAATAGTCTAAAAAAGTAATTTCTAGCAATTTTTTGAAAAATATTTTATAAGACAGGAATTTTGCAAAAATTTATAATTCCCATGAAACTGGAGTTTATAAACATGTTCAAGAACTTCAGTGACTACTTTATCATCGCCACAAATAGCTTTTTTATAACAAAATGCGATTGCGAAACAACTTTTTTCTACACCATTCACCATTCCTGATTTGATTGGCTCCAATAAAATAAAACCTTTTCGCCAGAAAGTCTTGGAGACAGAAATATAGATGTAAAATCACTTATCAGGTACTATCAGGTGCTTTCTGAATTTTAATTTTCGGATTTTTACCAAATTGAATTTTATAAATTAGCCACAATGTTAAGATCTGCGTTTTAAAGCGAAAATAAATGCAAAAAAATGATTTTTTAATCGTTCGTATTATAAAATAATATAATAACAAAACGTTATAATATATAAACTAAACTCAAAAGTTTCCCCTATCCTGATTTTCAAAAATTGGTTTTCATCGGACTAGCCAAATTTTTTTCTTTTTTTTTCCTTTCATTTTTTTTTCCTTTATCTTTGTCGATATAATTTTGTCATAAATCGCTAATTTAAAGCTGTGCAAATTTTCTCTGCAAAAGAATTTTCTATCTCAAAAATTCATATTTATTCATAATGGTCGATGTGCACGTCCTTTTATAAGGCGAACATGCAATCGTCACAATCCTGTCCTATTCCATATTCCATTGAAAATCATATCCAATTCTGTTAGTTGATTTCGTTATATTATGTACTTTTATGCATTCCTTTTTAATTCTTCTCGTTTCCATGAGACAAGAGGATTTTTAATTTATTTAGAATCAGTGGAATGAAGAATCGTAATTCTAAGACTTTCCTAAGAATGGATAGAATTTTTAATCTAAAATTTATTATAAAAAAATTGGAGTGGTTTAGTGGTTTTACTGCCATCGTCGTGGATCTTATGATTGTATTAAACAATGCGAAATACAAAAAAATCAAAAAACTGGCTGAAGATAAAATCTCACAATGGGGATTTTGGGGTAATGTAGCGGAGGTTAAGTAAGTTAAAATGGAATAGGTTGGCTAGAAGGTATAATAAATTGCAAATGGCAAAAGATTACAGCGCAGTTTGATGGTTTATTAGAAGACCACAATGGAATTTAAATTTAAAAGAAGGGGGAACAAAAAGAAGGTCTGAAATGGTTAAAACATGGTAAACTAGTGAAGATATCAGAGAAGATATCAAAAAAGACCATATCATGAATTACTTTTTGGACTTTTTTAGCCAATTCGTTGGAGCTGTCCAGATTCACAGCTTGCAGATACCGAACGTAACAAGCGCTTGATTCATAGACATAGAAATAAGTTATCTAGTGGTCAAGTGCCAAACAAGGATGAAGAAATGCCTCAGAGCAGTATGCGAAAAATAGTTTGGTTTGCACCTATTTCAACTCGACTAGGAGGTAGCGATAAGTGCGCAGAAACAGTTTTTTATTCGCAAATTTCTTTTTATGCTTTCAGGAATGGGATTGTAGGTTAGAAGCGAAAGCGCAAGAATGGTGGACCAACCACTGAACATTCCCGTCGAAGTCTTAGAAACAATGGAGGCGAAAATATCTACCCATCTTGCAGCTCAGCTATCAATATCGATAAAAATAAGGGAAATTCTGCGAAATTAGAGTCTCACTGGTTTTTTATAGTACTGTAATACTGTGCAATTTAACTGTTAAGTGTGATTTATACATCATTAACTTACATACTTCTCTAATGTATTGTAGACGGGCAAATGAAAGTAGCAGCAGATGACTGGTGGAGTGAGGTTAAATGAATGTTTACCACAACAAATTTCACATATAAAGTTCTGTCAGCAGGAATGATTGGGCATTCACTACGCAGATTGGTTTATTCGAAAAAACTTATGATAAGTGTTTTCATTAATGTTCTCAAATTCGCATATCTGCCACAGCCTCGTCTTCAAAAGCGTGTGATCTGAAATAAATAAATCTGCTCTATTGGTAAACTCGTAACAGTAAAAGAAGCGTCTTATTAGCGTGTAAAAGAAGCGTCTTATTAGCGTGTAAAAGAAGCGTCTTATTAGCGTGTTTTCCTTTGATACTCTACGTCACTGTGGCCTCACCATCTGTGTTGAAGAGTGGCCAAATGATTTCGAACATAAATATAAATACACGCAGCAACAAGTATGCAAGCAATTTCATTGTTTCAATTCAATAAATGCTTAATATTATAAAAACATGGATTTTTAAAGATGGCGTGGGCAGAAAGCTTTAAGCTCGGATGTGGACTTGCTGTTTATCCGCAAAGCGGCGAATTTTCCCACATGCTTTTTTTCGTGTGCCAATACGACCCTGCATACGTTTTTTTTGATAATTCAAAAGAATTTCTCCAATCTTGATTCACATTTAACTAAATACATCATATATTTTGAGTAGGAATATGCTAAGCAAACGAATATATCAAGTTGGAGTACCTTGTTCTAAATGTGCGCTTTATCCGTGTTCAACATGCGAAGATAACCTTTGCACTGGCGGTGGAGCACGTGATGAAATATTTAATTAAGCTAAGAGTATCATGGTATTTAGCATTTGGAAGTTTAATTTTCAATTTTAAGTTTAATTTAAATTCTTCACCATTATTTTTTAGGCATAGGTTCAAAATTCTTGTTTAAACCTATCGTTTTCCAGCCGTTATATGCGACGATTATTGTTGTGACTTTTTCGTTTAGACTGAACGGGGTTCAATGATTCATAGTTTCGAGAAAATTCTCGACATTCCCGAGAGGAGAGAAAACTAGCAAGAGGAAGGAATTTGGGTTGATAACTTAAAACATTTTTAATGGTAGTTTTAAATTCCTTTTTGTTGTGTAGATTTTCCCCTAATAAATTCATAGGGATAGCAACGGTTTTTTGATTTGAATTTCTACTACATTTTGGACATAAAGGAAATAAAATCAATTGACAATTTAATTTAACAATAATTAGCACTATCAACAGAATGAGCACACTAGTTCCACCAATAATCATGCGCCAATGTACGGCAAATTCCGAAAGTTCGTTTTGTATCAGTAACGTAGCTTTGCCAATCTCATCATCCAGCTGTTCTGTTAGCTCTTCTCCTTCTTGACTGATTTATTGCCAGATAGTTTCCATGTTTTGTTGATGAGATACTGGATTGACGGATTTTTGTTTGTCAGCCAATATTTCTATTTCCGCATTAATTCTTTCAATTTCAAATTTGTTTATTATACTTCGAACTCAACCGTGTTCTGTGTGATGTTTCTCGAATTACAAGGAGTAACTAATAAATTGTCATCCACCCTTTTAGCGATGTTAAATGATATTCCAGATCTCCATTTACAGGTTTTTGTTGCTAATGTTCTTGTCGACATTATGGATAGAACTGTTACTAACATTATATATAACATTGTGAAACTTGACTTACTCCTTAAGCTTATTGGATTTCGTTGTTGTCTTGCCAAACTTCTAGTTCGTCGCGCTATTGGTTCTTCATTCTCGATCACAGCTGGAGTTCGTAGCTCCTTTGTTGAACTTCGTGTTCTCCGTGCGATGGGTTCTTCGTCTTTTGCATTCGTTAATTCAGTTACAAAGTCTTCGGGTTGATCTTCTTGTTCCACTTCTAGATGGTATAACATATTAACTGGTATATTGAGAAGGCCTAAATAATCCAAAAGGCAATTCAACACTCCTGACATTTCCATCGCTACTCTTATTAAGTTATTTATTTATCTTTGCTAGTTTCCACATTCCGCGAAGAATGCGTGGTTCATTTACTAGTACGACTTCTCCTAGGGAGGGTGATCGTATTATTGCTTCTAGGAGATTTGTGTTTTATTTGTGTACATTCCCTTAAACTTTTCGCCATTCCAACTTCCGTTTTAGCAGTGACAAGGCCTAAATAATCCAATCCGATTCGAGCAAATATTCTGGATCGTACTGTTCGGGAGTCATGGTAGTCAGGCATGGGTGGCAGTTTAAACGATTTGGCTTTCTGATTGAGCTTGTCTGAGTAACAATTCAACAGCAAATTCATATTCATATGGGTTGATTTGAGCTGTGACATATTGCTTAATAACCGGGGAAATTTATCTTTGGATATTAGTTTAAGAAATTTCAAAGCTCTTACGGTAGTTCGGACCATTCGTGACCAATTGCTGAATTGAACCGATTCGCATCGACAAATCTGATTGATGTTTTGGTAATAGTTTCTTGAATCGCTGTAACTACTACTTGTTCTCCTTCTTCGTCTATGGTTTCTTCGTTATCGCTTTCTTGTTTGATATCATATTCCCAATGGAGCCAGTTTGATTCTTCTTCCTTTAGCCATTCGGGCCCATTCCACCAAAGTGTGAAATTTGCCAGATCGCTTGGTGATATTCCTTTCGTAGCTATGTCTGCTGGATTACACTCACTTGGAATATATCGATACGCAAATTTGGCTTTTCGTATCTTTTCGACTCGATTTTGGATGAATCTTGGTAAGAGTCGAGAATGGTTTTGTATCCAGTGCAAT